TCCGTTCCCCCAAAAAATGTCAGGCTATTTTCTAAGAAGAACGTTTCATGCATGAAGATACTGGAATTATGCGGGCAACAACTGTTGAAACCTCTACTTGATGTTATTTGATATTCTGCAAAACCGCCTTGGATAACCTCTAAAGTTGGCCAAGGCCTGAGAACTGCAGCCTCCTAGTGATGCCACATGCTGGAATTTTTTCAAATATCTCTTTAGTTCAGTGGTGGTGACACATAGGCTATTGCTTGAAACCTGGCCGCTAGGCGTGGGCTTAAGAGGCTGCTCAAAAACGAAACACGGGTTTGTTTCAGGTGACGTTTGTGCTGCAATGAGTTAGATTTCTCGACACAAAGAATCTCAGCCAATACAGCAATAGAGCCGGTGGCAACAGGTTTAGCTACCAGTCACAAGTGGTGAGAAGTTCAAAAAGTAGTTCAGAAAGCCTGTGTCGTTCTATATCACGGAATAAGTCTACCATTTGGAGTATCCATCTCCCAACCAGTATCAGCTGAGACCTACTAGGCAAATAAAAGTGGCTGAGTTATGACCTCACGACCCGCAGCGCAACAAGGTACTGAATCCTTATCCATGATACTAAATCCATATTGGAGCTAAGTGGCGGTGAACATACTGGTGAGGATGAAAACTAATGTCAAAATTTCACCACGCAACAGGGTAATAGAGTCTGAGTTTCAGCTTCGCGAGCCTTCTGGCTGCAATGACTTGTGACTTGTAGTCCTGGAGAACTTCCGTGTAACAGACATCAAACCTGTCCATAATCTATTCAGGCTTCCCTCTGAACCAGAATAACTCTGCAGCGAATGGAATCGGCCTTCACTTTTATCCGTACTCAGTAGAGTAGATAGGAAGAACCCTGACAACCATCAGCCAGCTGACTTAGTTCGCCTACTTTGAAAAGCATTGGTAAGTCTGTCAGTAAATGGTGACAGTTCGTGCAATTTCCTTGAATTTAAAGGTTAAAAGTAATGAAGACTGGGCCTCACTAGACAGTGTTGGTCAATAAGAAAGTGAACAGATGTTGGTTATAGGGCTGCTTACGGGCATCGCAATATAACACGACATTGCGCTAAATGCTTTGGGTGTTTGACCACGTACCACCAGCCCGTCAAGACCATGCAGATTGGCACTGGCTCCGAACTTATTCGAACCCTAGGTGACTAACTTTTGGGGAATCATTTTCTGCAGCACCATCTACATGTCGTCATCGTCCACATCTTAGACTCGACCTCCAACTAAAAGCGAATCTCGGAAACAGCGAGCCTCATCCTTCGCCTTCCACGATGACGTCTCAGTGCTTTCTTCAAATGTGTAGTCAGTTACACTTGCAGAAAGGGAATGAGGTCACACCTACGGCGCTCAAGAAACGCTGCAGTTTCTTCAAGAAGGAAGTGAGGAAAGCAATAAAGACAGTTACGGGTCTTGGGGAGAAACGTAACGAGACGGACTAAAGCATCAATTCGAAAAGAACAACTTTGTTGGTTCGAAACCGACAGTTGCATGGGAACCTCATTCTCTTATCCCGACCAGGAGACAGAGACAGGAGTCAAATCAAACTTCTTCTTCTACATGGGGGATGCTTCATGGAACGGTTTGTGGAAAGAAAAAGAGAGCCATCTCATTTGATTGGTTCCAGTGGGTGTTCGATAAGTACGTGAACACGGATAGCCAATCCCCAAGATTCACCGGCGGCAATCGTCGGTACTTTAATCCATCCCCTGATTACCCATTATGTTGTCCACACCCTCTTCATGTTATTACTGATAGCCCTTACTTTTTCTGAGTTACATCCTGCCTCCCTTCTCCTATGTCTTACCAGTCTTTTTTCTCACGCAGCTTATTAAATGACGCGTGATACTTACCTATAAGTGCTGACGAGGTTTTGAATTTTGTGGTGTCACCATTTTTAGTCCTTTGGGTTCCCAATGGAACATGGGGCTTCAGTAGCCAGTCTCCAGTTCACCCTCTTCTCTGCAATCTTCTAAGCCTGGATCTGCGACCGTCCATATTCTTTCATTTCTTCCTCACACGATCTCCTCAACGTAACCGCCGGACGCCCGACTCGTCGTTTCCCATCTGGATTCCACCCGAGGGCCTGGTGTGTGATGTCCCCACTTTCTTCTGCATAATTACTGTTCGACGGTTCCCCAACTGGTCTGTTCCCAGAATTCCTTGTTGCTCATTCTTTCTGGCCATCTGATCTTCAATATCGAGTACATATAGACGGCGGCTGTCTATGTATGTCTGTAATCTGTTGGAGAGGCTTTTCACAACACGCCTTCCCTCAACCATACAGAAGCATTGACTTGATATCAGTGTCGAGGATCCGGAGCTTGTTCCTAATATCGAGTGCGGTACAACAGATCCCCACGCTGGTTTCAGATTAATGAGGGCCCGAATCATGAATTAAAGCGGGTTAATTGATCCTGTCAGCATATCCGTTTCTTCACCAAACAAACCAACCTTAGATTTGCAAAAGGAAACCTTGAAATGAAGAGCCTCTACCTCCAAAGCCATAAACAGTTAATATCAGAAGACTTCTAAGCCGTCAAAGAAATGTAACCGGAAAGCTGACAAGCCCGGAGACCGAGAAGCAAGAGTTCAGAAACCACCTTTACACTACCCACACAACTGGTGCTAGATATTCTGTCTAAATCGGCTTGGTTTCAAGTATTATTAAAAGAAGAGGAGCGTTTTACGAGCTACCCGAACAGGTCTTATTTGTTGGCAATGTGGTGGCCATCACGAAGAAAAGTAATTGAAATATTACACCACATGACTTCACTCCAGCTCTGGAGAAGTGCAGGGTGATGTATTTTCGCACACCAGGGGCGATGAAAATCAACTACACTCTTAACAAGTATGCAGTCACTAAGGACCTGAGACAAAACTTATTTGACACGCTGCATACTACTGATATTTATAAGGGAGTGACAGGAAAGGCGAAAGCCACTATGCGCTTTCTAAGAAAGTACCTTGGATTGTTAACCTACGTTGGACCACACCTAGAGGCGTTTAACACGATAGCCCCTTCAATACCAAAGAGAGGCGCAAATTCTCTCGAGAAGGTACAACGAAGAGCAACAAAGATGGTTGTCGGGCTAAGAGGCAAAATGTATGCACAACGCCTTAGACAACGTAACTCGAGTGTGATCTGTCTTGGGTTGCGTTTTACTTCTGACCTTTGTTGGTCGTCCCGTATTTTATTGACTTACAAAAAATCTTTCGTTTAACTTATTACGTAAAGAAATTGAGGCTTTCTGGTATGACTCAACTGCTTCTTTTACAATTTATTAATTCCTGCATTTTACCTGTTCCTCTGTACTGTTCCCCGTTAATCTTTCCTGGTCTTCTTAAAAAGGACTATGTTGTGTTACGTAGGGCTTTCAAGGCCGTCAGCAGGGTGAGTGGTGTGTCTCTGGCTCAGCTGACTGACACTGGAGTTGATCGACATATAAATTCCTGCAAGCTACTAGCAACAGAAATTTTAACTGATGGTGAGTATCCACTTCATTTACAGCTCTCCCCATGTATCTCCTCAGGGAAGACAAAGAGAAACTACATAAGACTGTATGCTCGTACAGCTGAGTATGAGAACTCGACTGTACTTTACCTTGCAAGTAAATTTTGTGAGGAAAGAAGTGTTAGAACAGAAATCACACATCAGCTCTGTGACAGTTAAAAATCTCGTTCCAATAATTTAACTTACAAAGCAAAATTTCCTCGTTTTTAATATTCTTCATATAACTTAAATTTTTATAGTAAAACAATTCAAAAGGCTGCAAAGTAGTACGTATATACTTATATTTTGTTGTTATTGCAATATATATTACGCTGAGAATTTCAATTGTACCACAAATTGTTTGGAATAGAGTGAATTATTATTATTATTATTATTAAACCTGTTTACACTAAGCTGTCGAAGAAAGCGAGGGGATCTGATAATAACCCACAAGATCATTCAGAAAGTGGACCACCCAAACAGGACAGCATTATCCGTCCATAACCGACAGTCCAGTGGGAACCCCACTTGCATGCCCCACTATGAGGCAGCGACTAGATTGAGATTTAACTTCTATCATAGAGTATGTGTCTTATGGAACGCGCTGCAGCAGTCAGCTCCTTCAAACAACCACTGGATGAGTACATGAGCGCAAATGGCTTACCACGAACATTTGTTGGTAGAAACCGGCGATAGTCTTGCATCCCAGCATTCCTCTTGTTTTCCACAACCCTAGTATCTGCAGTAAGACGCACCTCTCCTCGATATTATTACCAGTCACATTCATCTTTTCAAAAGTAGTTTTCACTTCTCTTTTTCTCATTCCCCACACACCTCGTTTCTATCACTATTTAAGTAACGCTTAACACTAACTTGCAGGTGCCTGCAACAACGGGAATTGCAAAGGGTTTATTGATCTTATCGGCAGTTCCGTTGCCCTCCCTAAACAAGCCAAGCCACAATTTGCAAGTAAAGCACCTTCAAATAGACAAACACTGCCCCTAAAGCTATAAGCAGGAAAATGAAAAGACTTCTGCGACCATCGAAGGAGTACGACTGAGCAAAAAAACGCCTCTAGACCTAGAAGCGGGAGCTCAAAAACTGCAAGTTTCCTCTACTTGCACTACTGACGTTGGACGATGGATGTTGGAAGTCAAGTTTCTTGCCGGCTGACCAAATTAACACTTCCTACTTTTACCTCTTGGGAACACACTGATTTCCTTACTACTCTTACTCTATTATTCTGCTTCAGGTTTATATGCAGGCAGAAATCACAAGAAGTCCTCAATTTTCCCAGTGTCCACAGCTCCTAACTCAATCTTCAATTAGGAAACTCAATTTTATGGGGAACATATTTCGTGGAAGGTAGTGTAGAGAAATCAGAGGTACTTTTCTTCACGTTATACTGGCAAAAGTGAACATGAAAAAACGAGCATCATAAATCGGATATTGCAGTTTGAAATTTTCGATATGTTATCCCACAATTTGAACTGAAGGTCACGTATGCTAGTGCCTAGTTGGACGGAGCTGTACTCGTTTTCCCCATGTATGTTTAATATCTTTAGTCGTAGTCAATATCTAATAAACGACTATTTTTTATACTTGCTCCTTTCATTTTTGTTTCATGGAACGTTTGGTATCGTGCCTTTTTATTTTTAAAACAGTGCTAAGCGTAATTTAAGTTTTTCGTCGCATTTGTTATTGTGGTTGTTGTGGGTATAGTGTTCTGCGCACTAATTCGCGTATTTCTGTATGCCGCTTACTTATTCTACATATTTGAATGGTTTGTAAGACGCTATCCGTCACTGAATCATGTTTCATGCCGTTTATTACTTTGCAAAGTTATACTTCCTCCGCATAGTTGGATATAAGTACATTAATTTATGAAGAATAACGCTAACAAATCAATCTAAGTTGGTTGGGACTTGAGATTACAGCAGAAAGGATTTATAATCTTAGTCAACACTTCGAAATATATGCTTACAAAGCCATGGAAATACGTTACTTCACACAGAACACTTTAACACCTGAGGATAATTTTTAGCCTCGCCTACTTATCCGTAAACATTCTTTAAGATGGAGAAACTCAGAGGACTGACGTTACAAGGGGTTTCTAATCATTTGGTCTCGAGTTAGTGAAACATGTAATATTATCCAGACATCCGTGAATTAGTCTAGGAAAACAATATTTATATTTAAAGCAGTAAGCGTTAAGACGTAGTGTTTAGCTTTTTTTGAGCTACTGCTAAATGTCTTTGGCTGAGCTGTTTTCAACACAATGAGAGGAAAATACGGCTTGTACGATTTCTTACGTTTAGGAATCTGTTTAGGTTTTTGACTGCTTTTTCCAGCCTAAAGTTGAAGTTCGCACTACAACCATATGCATCCATCTAAGCAGAAAACATCCAATCATCCAAATTTTGACATAGATTTAAATAAACCTTAAATTTGTCCCTTATTGCCTCTTAATTATTCGTGTGGATGGACTTAAGAACTGAAATATAACAGTTTAGAAAAGATAATAGGTTCATCACATTGAATTTCGGGTGCACATCTATGAATTTTGAATTATAATAATTCACAATTAATCTACCGAACAGCAAATGTACAGGTAGTAGGACTTCTTTTGAGCACTGATGCTGCTTTTTTAAAATTATGATTCTCCATTGTTACTTTGAAGTACCACTTGTTTCCTTATATCTTGTGTTCATCACCTTACCTCTCATGATCCTGTCCAAGCAACCTGAAGAAAGTCGGTCTGACCGGTAGCTGCTACATAGGCTTATAGCTCAGGCTAACATATAATACTGACTCAGCCAGTAATGTTGGTGAAACACTTCAGGTCTTGTCATACCACAAATATTTGCTAGATAGTGAAACAGAAACCCCCTGTTGTTGAAGTCTAAATTTCACCTTGATACGGATCTGAAGGTGAAACCTTCTGACAGCATGGTGCTTGATATCAGTAAAATGTTTGGTATGGTCCCGACCGATAGCTGATACCTTTATATGATGGACGGGTTTGGAGAACACGGTGGCCCAACGCGTTACACTGGGTAAAACGGTTGTTACTTATAGGTCCTACTATGCCAGAAAGATCTGTTGGATAGTGGTGGGACAAATAGCAGTTACTGTTGTAGTGTAAATTGCTGCGGTCTGATGGGGGTCTGAGGGGGGAAGTCTAACTGCTGACTGGACAGGGTGTAACAGCTGTAGGGTGTTTTTCTTGGACAACCAAACAGTACTGTGCTGATGCTGATATGGCAGGGAGTAGTCAGCAAGATTTGGCCCTCAAAACAGCACACTCCTCCATGCTCTGCGGTGCAATGGTGCCAGTGGTATAGGTTTTTTTTGTCTAGTGTTAGGACAAACAGGTTACAAGCCAACAATCCTCGAAAACCTGTGAAAGTCCTGAGAGAGATGTTCTATGGACTCTGTTATCCCATGAATCGTTTCCTCTTCCAGGTACACCGCAGAAACAGCTTCTATAATGTTGGTATCTGATGGGGGGGGGGGGGGGTTAGACAATCAGAAGTATCAACATGGAACCTCGTCATCATTACTATTATTATTGTTGTTGTTATTATTATTATTATTATCACCATTGTGAACAATTATTGGAACGCAAATGTGGTGTGGCTAGGGCACCGTGAAATGCGCCACACAAAATATCACGAAATCGTGTAGACATAGGGGGAAAGGGAGTGGGTGAAAGAAAAAAATAATGATAGAATGACCAGAACAGCAGTCCAGTGAGATATCTTCAAAACAAAACATCCATCACTTTTCAGCACCAGAGGATAGGAGAAAGCTACAGCACAACCGCCACTGGATTCTATTCCGAGCGATGTCCGGTAACGCCTCGAGCCACTGAATTGTGTGATCTCTCGGACACCACTCAGAGTCGTGGTGCACCAACAGATGCTAACATGATGAAACTATCCTTCATCCCATGGTGCCACGTCATACAATGACCACCCTTCCTTTTCTCCTATCCAGTCCCAGGCTCAGGACTAGCAAACAATAAACGGTATGGGAGCCGTTAAGACGGGCCACCGAAGCCTGTGTTTCCAGTTGAGTTAACTTATTGAATGGTGGTTTCCACCATGCCAAAACATGCACTGTCGTACTTCAGAATTACTTACACGGCGTTGCCCCTGGATACGAGCAATCCTACTGAGATAACGATGGTCGAACACACAGAGCCGTCGCACATCCTCAGCTCGGAGATACTAGGTTTGATAGGCGTAGAGCAGAACTGCTCGCGCCGTAGCGCCGTGAACCCCACTTTTTATGGTTGGACTAACATCACGATGACGCTAAAGGTAGGCCAGATTGGCGTGTACCACTTCGGCTTTCGGTATGCAGTTGAAAATTTCTTCACACACCTCCACCAGTACTCACACAGCTACCCGGATACACGAACTTCCAAACGCTCACCACCAAGGGTGAGCTCAGACACAAGCTTCTGTCGATCTTACGAAAGTACCTTTGCGCTTCAATGGAACGAAGCACATACTAAACTTATGGACACTAATCACCAATTGATTAAGCGCAATTTGAGTAGCCTGTGCGTTATCGCGCAGCAAAACGATATCGTTCACATATTCAAGATCGAATAGCCGTTCTCCGGGTAGTAGATCTACACCATCATCACTCACCTCCTCCACAACTGTCTGAAGAATGTCATCGATGGTAGTTAAAAAGGAATGGGGAGGTCTGGCAACCCTACCTAACCCCGCTGCAGGTTTGGCACAATGGAGACAGGTGGTTGCGCGTCGTCACTGTTTGAGATTTTTTTATAATAACACCTCAGGTAAGCAGGGCCTTCAAAACGTTAATAAACTTCACAGGCATGCTCCTCTCCAACAGACAGTTTCAGAGTATAGCTCTGTCCAACGGATCGAAGGCAGACCTAATGTCAAGAAACACCACGACTGTTGGCTTGCAATGCATGTGGCAATGTTCAAGCATCTGACGGAGGGTAAACGCATGATCAATGGGCCCATGACCTGAACAAAACCCGGCCTGCTCCTCGCGAATCAATCTCCCACGCATTTTGCAGTCTGCGAAGTATGATAGTAGCCAATATTTTCTACGTGACTGGTAACAGACTAATACCTCGACGATTGTCACATACATTACGTAGACCTTTTCTAAAGATGGGCACAATGCTGGCTTCATTCTAAAGTGATGGAACACTCAGTTTGCCATACTTCTTCAAAAATTCTAGTCATTTTCTTGACTAGAGTTGTTACTCCACTCCTGAAAGGAGCCCGGGGTAACACTAAAACGCGAAACAAGCACAGCACACACTAAAGCATGATCAGAGTCTAGGATTGTGAGTGTCAGATGGAGGGCGCCAAGATAAGGGCGAAAGCGAAAACGGTAATAATGAAGAAATATGGTTCGTATGTAAAAACAAAAGAAACAATATTATAGCAAGAGGTTGAGCAATCAGTTATAAAGTTCGTAGTGTGGAGAGCTTGAGTTTTCGCGGGAAAGTTGGTTAATTGCTTCGCAATCTTCAGTTTACACGGTAAACTCATGTTTTCTGTGAGGTCTGTAATACTTCCCGGGCGGCCAAGTGCATGCAAGTGCATCGGTTCAAGTTGTCACACTTCACGGTAATATCTGAAATACAGGTGAATAAAGTAAGAGTGATATCAAAGTAGACAATGTAGTGAGAGAATAAGCAATTTGAAGATAAAGTTCAGTGTGAATGTTGAAGCCTCCGAAGATGTCGGAGAGTGAATGCATCTACCCCACCGCGATGTATTTTCAACCATATCACCAAGATTTCTCAACCACTGATTCCTAATGTCTCGCAGACCCCAACCAGGGACTCTATACTTCCCCATGCAGCTTAGACCAACAGTCAGGGACCTTACGGACTGGTGGCACGTCTTGTTCTGGCCACCCTGGACCTTCTTTCAACTTAATCCCGCTTCCCCTAGCATGGCACGTTAGTGTAGGTGGTGAGTTGACATGTGCAATACACGTCAAGGCCACCTTAGCCAATGAAGGTTCACAACGTCATCAGCCAGCTGAGAAGCGTCAACCATCCGCACGTTTCAAACCAAACATAACCCATCTTCCTCTTCTGTATCTCCTCTTTTTCCCTCGCCTGTTACCGATGTAAGGCCTCTTACAACCTTCTCAACTCCTCACTCTGTGACCACTGTCAACGATCGAGGCCATCTGAACCTCAATCCCAGTCTCCTAAGACCTCGCTATCCGTTTCATATTGGATCTTTCGGCCATCGAACCCTATGGCAGATTAGACAACAGGCATTAGTCGCCAGAACTCTGGAATCCCCTAGCCATGGATGTGAGCTGTCTTGGAGACGCGTATACAGGGTCCGAGTGTGGTTATTCATTTGACCTCCGCTGACCAGTGAGGTAAATCTCCAAAATTCAACTTACGAGCATCTGGAGACCTACTGGCCAGCTCTCGTGGACTTGCTGGTGTGGGCATAGCATAAAGTTGTAGAGCAGAAAGTTCACTCTCTGACTGGATACCAGTCAACAACTGTCTGTGGGCTTTCCGACTGAATGAATCTGTAAAACCTTGGAAGGACTGTGATACTAACTGATGTCTATTTGTAATCTCCGCCAACGCGCCCACCGACTACAGTTTGGATGATGAAAAGGATGAATTCTATCAAAAACTGTTAGTTTTGCTTCAGAAAGCAGAAAGCGGATAGTGATAGTAGCAGGCGACTTTAACGCTGAAGTAGGGAGGTGGAGGTGTTCGGTGAGGCCTCTTGGAAATTATCTACGAAAACCTTCGCCAACGAATTGAGAACGGTAATGTTCTGTTACAATTTTGTTCTGACGGTCATTTGTTTCTGACCGAGACAAACTTCAAGCATAAGGAGAGACACTCTCAGAGCGTCCACCGACATCGAACCGGTGGTGGACAGAGATAGATCATATTGCTATAGGCCATCTTTGGAGAGGGTCGGTGAAGGATTGGGTTCCTTCTGAAGCACGTATTTGGACTCCGATCGTGGGCTAGCGTGGACACATCTATGTCTGAGCCCTACCATTTTCAGAAAATAGTCCTGTGCGTGCTAGATTGAAAGACGAGATCATAAAGTAAGTATATTGAGAAGAGATAGCTAAGCATATATCCGGACGTGAGAGCAGTTTTCATCTTGAGGAAAACTGGAGTGATATCAAGTCTGCTGTAGAAACGGAGGTAAAGATGGTCTGTAGCATACACCAGAAGCCCAGCAAACGTCATTGGATTTCTGCAACACCATCGGAACTGACTGATGTGGGAAGACTTATCTCAAGAGGTTAAGACCGCAATATAAAGCGAAAGCAACTTAAACGTAAATCGGTTGAGAGTCTTCGCCACGATTGCGAGCAGTGGTGGGCAGTGAAAGTGAGAGAAATGAAAAGAACATCAGCATTAGATGACGCGACAATTATTCAGGGCACATAAATATGCTAGTTAGAAGAAGACAATGGTAAGTGAGAGCATCACTGAAAACGATGAGGCACTGATAACCTCTCAGGACAGACACTCACAAAGCTGAGCAGAACACTTTGAAGCACAGTTCAACTGGCCTATAGCAACACTTCAGTTGCTCAGCATCCAGGTTGGAATTGAATAAGACGTAAACATCATTCCTCTAGCTGTTCTCGCAGTTTAGAAGGCTGTGACTAATCTGATGGGACGCAAAACATCTGGACTTTATTATTTGCCACCGTAAGATTTTTAAGATGGAGGTGGACAATTCATGATTAGAGCAGCGAAGGAATTAGTTGGTGCATGCGAGTGGGAGGTAGTCCCGCCAGGATGGTCTGCTTCACTAATTATTCCCATTTATTGGAGAAGAGAGAGAGGTCTTTCTATGACAAACGTCGGAATAAGTTTCACTAACTTCTTGTCCGACATCCTTTGGTTTATGTTTACGCTATGCCAAACTGAAGCCTAAGAACAAGCAGCTCAAGCAAACCAAGTGGGTTTCAGGACTGCATGAGAATGTGTCGATAAAATCTTCACATTTTGTCAGCCTATGGGACACAGACATACTTACCGGCTGCCAGCACTTGCCATATCTCTTGAGCTGAAGGCAACATTGGACTCTGTTGACCAAGATGTGTTGTGGCTGTGAGGACAGTAAATATCCGATACTAATCAAATTTCTCTACTCGAACCAAAGCTATACTAAGTTGACGTCTGAATTAATGAAAAGCAACGGGGTCTGTCAGGAGTACCTTCCGCCACCATTGGTTTGACTTATTTTATCGACTAACGGATGGATAAATCCTTAGGCAACTCAGACTTCATGGAATTGATCTATCCTCTGGAGGGCATCTAGTTGACTTGAAGTATGCGGACGATATTGTCCTCTTAGGTGAAGACTCTAAAACTGTAATATTAATTCTGAAAGCTCCTAACCAAGTCGTGTGTACGTTTGTACGCGTTTCGCACCTTGCTAGTTTAGACTGATGCTCTAGGTTTTGTCCGGAACTACTCTGCGTTTATTATTAGGACGTTAAGAACGTGAATGCGTCGACCACTTCACTTATTTTGCAGTTGCAGTATCCTAAACGTTCCTGTTTCTGACAGTAGTTTAGCTTCAGTCATCATCTATCCAAATCACTATAGGACTAGGCAATACTGTGTTACGGTCCGAGTTGCCACAGGTCATATCAGTACATCAGATAAAGCGGTAGTGAAGTGAAAATTGAGGAAAAAAATTCAGTCAAAAGAAATTTGATGTACTGAGAGAGAGGAAGGAAGAATGAGAAAATGTTGAGTCTCGGTATAGCGTTGAAGTGAGGATAATGGGTGTATACATCTGCGCCATTGACATCGGTTCTCAGCCATGTTGCCTAGAGTCTCGAACCACTGGTTTCTCTCGTCCCGCTAACCCCAAGCGGCTAGTGTGGATCGCCCCACATGGATCAAAGCAACAGTCAAATACTTTATACAGTGATGGCATATTTAGCTTAGATACATTGCTCCTGGTTGGCATTTACCGATGTGCATCATCTCTGACGGATATTGACCAGTTATCTGACTATGTGTTAAAGGACTATTGTAGCGCACTGCAGTCGGTTCTGTTCTGTTACATGGCTGTGAGGCATTTTCATTTCAAGAAGGTATGAATAGACTGTTAGTTTTTGACCTTGTGCATCGTCGTAACATTGCTTGCGTATGGCGGAATCGCTATATTAGCAAAGCAAAGGTTAGGGAAGGGTACCAGGCAAGAAAAGTAAATCGATTGATGAGATTTTGAACTTTCAGCCGCTGAGGTGGCTTGGATATGTGTTGTGCATGCCGAGCCACCACGTATCTTGACGTAGAACGGTAGTAGAAGTTGGATTGGGTTGGTAAAGGAGGCTAAGGGTGGCGAGATCAATACGTGGCACCAGTCCGTCAAGTTTTTGGCTGCTGGTCAGGATGATATGAGGAGTGTGGACTACCTGGCTGAGTTCCTTGGAAATCGGTCTTCGACGTCTTCTAAAGCTTGAGTACTTCCACTAACCTTTACATTCAATTTATTTCCATACTTCCATACTTTAGTATCGGTATTTTTCTATTCACTTGTTCTTTTCATGCTACTGTGAAGTATGGGGACCTGAACCAATGCACTTGTATGTGAAGTACTACGCTGATTTTGTCCTTGTTTCTATCTTTCCTGTGGGTGACCAGTTCCATCACGCTGATGCTGCCTTCCCTTTGGAAAGAGTAGGAAGCAGCTTTTGTAGATTGACAAGAAGTCTTTGCAATAAGCGTGAGCAGTGGCGGGTATTGAAGGCTCAAATGATGAAAAGGTCACTTTGATAGGCTATTTGAATCTATTCAGACTAAACAGTCTATATATTTTTCTAGGTTAAGTAATTAGTAAGTCTACGTTCGAAGATGCCATGAAAGGACTATTGGAAATCGAAAAGCACTGTATATTTGTTGAGTAACAGTGTGAGATTCCTCAATCTGTATTCATTGAAACGTGTAATACATTTTATTGACATCTTAAAATACATCGACTAGATTTTATATCATTTTAAATTATTTCTCATGAGTATCTCTATTTTATCGCGTCAGTTAAAGTTGATTTGGGGATGGATACTGAAAGAAGATACAAGGAAGTGATCACATTTTCTTGTGGACTGACAAGTTCAAAAGTGTAACTGTTGGCTCATGAAATAATAATTAAATTGGTCACTTCGACATTTTTTAGTTTTGGGCTATGTTCAGAAAAGATTCCAGAATGCACTGATAGGTCTATAACTATGGCAGAACATTTTACGGCATACACTAGTTCTCAATAGTTCCCTCACTAATATCAACATGTGGAAAACTCTTTTCAAGCCAACCAGTCCCCCACAAAGTATCCAGTTGCTAGTTCTTTTATATTATTATTTAACAGGAATATGTCGCTTCCAGACATACAATTGTAAACAGTATCGTACTTACAAATACGAATCAGACTAAAGGAGGAGCTACCTCCCTAGTTTTATAAGATAAAATTAGTGTACATCAAAAATATTTTTGCGAAGTAGAACTATACTAATTAGGTGTTAATTCATTTACTATGCATCATGTATAAACATTTGTTTCCTATTAACCTCTTTTTACTAGTTTCCCACCTAGAATATAATTTGTTCCTAACTTTTTATATTTGTAGCTGTCTGCCTATGAGGTTACTTAAGCCGGCTTGGGTATCTCATGGATATCTTTCAAAGGATAAAGCTGTTGGTAGGTTTTTCTTAGTTTTATTGTTCTTATTTCAGGTCGACCTATATATAGTCTAGATATACATCCTGATGGATCACGCTTGGCTACTGGTGGAGTAATTGACACATGCGGAGTTGTCGTTTTGTGGAGCATGGCTCCCATTCGGGACCCAACTTTAGAGTTCGATGAAAACTCTTGTCTTAAGCTTTTTCAAATGGACAGTCACCAGGGTAAACCTATGAACTAGATTCTAGTTATTTTATAACAACTGAAAGACCTACTTTTTAAATATATTTCTACGCTGTATTGTATAATGCTGACTTTTTAGTAGTCATTTAAGTGCATTTTCGAGATGACGTTTGTTTTCGGCTACTTATTGGGCTGACACTAAGTAACTAATAACACGTTTGTGCTTGTGAATCACGTCTGCTGTTTCTCACCTTCCATATATTTTATTAGATTGTGAGATTTAGCTGATTATATGACATTTTTTATTTCTTTAAGTAAAATTGCAGTTTCTTCTTTGCTAATTTCAGTCTAGATACTTTCATGTCACTTTGAATTTTCACTGGCATATCACATTTTTTGTGAAAGTAACTCTTGCAGTCACCTTAGCTGGTGAAACTATTGCATTCATAATAATCGCAAGAATATACTATGGTTTAGATAGGTGGGCTTGTAAAGAATTACAGTTTAATTTCTGTGACAAGTTTATCCGACCTACATCTTAGCGTTGCTTGCATATACTTAACGGTTTTAATCTCACTAGCTATTCAGAAAGAATGAAATTGCTACTACTCAAAAGCCACACTTAATAATTTATAAACAGTTATATGTAGACCTTCTACGAGCAACGCGATATTTTAATGTTTTGAAAAAAAGATAGACCTCAATAATGAAAACCTTTCCCTTCACAGCCTGCGTCAATTGTGTTCGATGGTCACCATCTGGTCGTTGGTTAGCCTCAGCTGGAATGGACAAAGTTATTATGCTTTGGTCAAAGACGGCGTAAGTTAAATACTTCCTACTCATTTTATTACATTTATCTGTGTCAGTTGATTAGTAGAATTCTCTGTGTATATAATTAGTCGTGTTTGATACAGGAATTCTATTTCAGACAACATTATTCTTATGCTTGAAGAATAAACACACTCAGCTACTTTATGCACATTCGTGTGGAAGGCAGTGAGCCACAACTATTATATGAAGGCTAGTGATACTACCTGACCGTTGTTATCGAGTGTTATCCTCTATATTGAGGCAAACTAATCGTTATTATGAAACTAAGTGAAGCCATCGGTTTGTAATGTAAGATTAGCGGAGATATGGCTTATTTATTTAGAAAATTAATTGCCAACCATTCAGTCACAGATGTGAGTTCTAATCTATCTACCTCGATCTGGGCAAACAGTTGGCATCATAAACTCTAGTGCATCAAGCAGAACTCATAGGCTACTGCATGAAAATGTTATTTTGCTAATTCGAAGTAACAAAAACTGACCACTAAAATCATATTTTTTGAGCTTGATGAAATAGTTTTTAAAGTGTCACTATAATTCTGAACAGCATAATCGGGTCGGATTTGTTTGAATCTAGCGTTATTGATCAGAATTTTCCTTGGGATTTTCCTAAATAGGGTTATTCTCAACCTCTTTTGAAAACATGAAAATCCTTGTAAAAATCAAAATTTAACTCGGCAAAACTGGGATCCTCAATTATCCATTGGTCAGACCACCCTCTAGAATCCACTAACTGTGCAGACATCGTTCGTTTATCATCATTAATAAACTCGTAGTTGAAATGCAGTAGCTTATTGGTGTAGGTAATATAAGTGTAAAACTTGGGCACTGTGGTCGATTGTAATTCCATTTTAGTCTGTTTATTAGAAATATCACACAGTGAAACAGTAGCATTTACTGGATTTGAGTGATTTCTTATTGGACCTAACACCATTGCTAAATATTTAGACAACCCTTAAGTCGGAGTGTTTCTAAAATCTACTATAGGCCTGGTGGGATAACCTGGCTTATGAATCTTAATAGTACCATACATTCTACTGGGATTATTAGTTTTCGGCATTAAATTAAACCACTTTGACTCACCTAGAAATGGCTTCATCCGGCGTATCAGATCCCCTGTCGATTTCCTATCCAGTAAATGCTTCCGTTTCACTGTGTGATGTTTCTAATAAACAGACTAAAATGGAATTACTTATGTTTCAACCAGTAGGTCACTGGTTCGAATCCCCTTCACTTGCTGAGGTTTTGGTATTCAGATGGTATCATTAGCCCTCACGCATTATATGTGGCTCACAGTATACTGCACAAGCGTGCACGTGGATGTTAATTGCATTTCAATTTTCTGGAACTGATAGTTTTCGTTTTTGTTAATGATGACTGGGTCATTGGGTATATCACTTTAAGTGCTACTGTTTTTTATGCGATTCTGGATTGTCTTTTTTAGTTTCTTTTCGTTTCATATCAAAACTTGTAGTGTAGGGTCCAAGCGTTGGTTGTGTGTACTATTTCGTGAATTAGGCTATGAACCATACCTCTGTTAAATAGAGGGTGGCGAAACAACTTGGTTAGGGAAATCGGGATCAGTGGAGAGAGGAAAGGAGCTGTAACATAGGGGTTAAAATTTCAGTACCTAACTCAGTGGTTTTTAGGTTTATGTCTAGTCTGTAGATGAGTTCATCTTTGGGGCTTTGATAGTTCTGATGTAAAAAAAACATCCAAATAAAAAAATTGCTGAACTTGTACATTTAATGTTCCGAATAATCAGCAACACCTACTGTTATGCAGCGAGGTGTCAGAACAGCCTAATCGTCAAAACAGGAATCAAAATAAATCGTAAATGTGTAACAAGTAGTTCTAAGGTGTGTTTGAGCATGGTGGAGATTGTCATTCCATAAGTGAAGTCATCTGGAAACACCGGATTCGGTTGCTCAGACATATAATACTCATGTCATCTTAACGAGTTCCATACCGTTCACCGTTTGCTGCCCCTGGGCCTGAGCCTGGATGGAAAAAGCGCAAGAGTGGTCAGTGTATGACGTAGAGTCGTGGGATGAAGGATATTTGTATCGGGTTAGCATCTGTTGGTGCATCATGACCCCCTGATTGGTTTCCGAGAGATCGCGCAACTCAATAGCTTGAGATGTTATCAGATATCGTTAAGAATCGAAACTAGTGGCGGTTGTACTCTAACTTCCTTTTATCTTCTGTTTCTGAAAAGAAACGGATGTTTTGTTTTGAATTTATCTCACTGGAGTGCCTTCCTAATGACTCTATTCTTATTGTGTTTCTCTTTTTTATCTACTTCCATGTATAATATTATAATACTATTTTGTGTGGCGCATTTCTTGGTACTCTTGCTGCTCCATGTTTTTGTTCTAACAATAAATGATAATAAACGAAGCACATTTTAACACACATAGCTTATACTACACCATTATGCTCCTGTTCTCATATTTGCTTGAATGTGATTAGAAGTTTCTATATAACAACCAGAGTTTTCAAAAATACGTTATTAAATTCGTAGGTAACACTTGGTTAGTCTTTAAAATAGTATTTCATATTTCAACACGTTCAGAAAACGTAGGGTCACTAGAATCGTAAGTTTTTCGCATCATTTTGGGCACAAGCATGTTGCAACATTGATTAAAAAGAAGGATAAACTGAGCAGTTAGTTTTGCTAATGGCTTATGGGCATTCGGTTAGCTGAATTCACTTAAACTTCATTTAGTTTTTCGCAATTTTAAAAAAAATATTTATTATTGAATTCAATAACATGGTTTTCTTACCTATCAGCTCTTGAATTAATTACACCACTGAAAACACTTGCTATATTGAAACTTCTCTTCTACGAAACTTAACGCAGATGTCCTGAGGCAACAGTATTTTTTTCTTCTCACTTTCTCACCTCCTATCTGTGAACTTTTTGATTGTCTGTTTGAGCAGTCTAGGTGTATGCTGTCCAACTGAAGTACTCAAGATATTATCGATCAATTATTGCAGACCCTTGGTGTTATCTCAAAATCGCTCAAATATATTCACTCATTGTTTTCAAAATTTTTCCTATTTTTACTAGCCCTTGTTGCTTTAGTTTTACTACACACTTTTCTCAACTTAAGTGTCATTCTTTTCCTATCCACGTCTATTTTATGTGCTATTGTGAAGTGTAGCAGTTCGGGCTGTTGCATTTAGCGCAATATTTTATCTCAATTTGTATATTTGGATGTTTGACGTTCACAGCTTGATGTCGATCAATTAGTATTCACGTGTAGGATATCACTAAGTCTGTTTCTATACGTAAAACTCAGTACAGGGTAGCGGTTTAGGTCTGCGAACCGTTTTATATCAGTTGATTCGGAAAATACGCTTCACATTTGTGAAATTAGTGTTCGGCCTTACTGATGTCATTGTCGATCCGGTAGTTAACTTCAAAACTATCATTCTCGATTGCATTTCCACAAAGGGTTAGTGTACTTAAGTATTAGCTGATTGTCACTTTGTTGCTAATGTTTCTGTAGATCACACTTCTAATTCCATTTTAGTGTAGCCTAAAATGGAATTACTATCTACCAAAGTGCCCAAGTTTTACCACTACATTCACGCACTTTTGGTTGTTTTAAGAACCGATTTCGTTATTATTAAAATTGCCTAATTCACTAAGTCTCAGCTTCATCCTCATTGCAGCAGTCAGATACGCTCAAACAGAAGGTATTGCAACTACAACTCCTATGTCTACGTTTACAACTTTTTTACAAGATTTTTGTTGGCGGTTATCATAATACATCAACCTCGTCTAGTTAACTAGTTACTAACCCGTCCTAAGCCCGGATAAAGAGGGAAGTTTGGGCATAGGGCTAGCAACCCTACCCCGTAAAACCAATCCAATCGCTAAGCAAACTTTTAAGCACAAAGAAAATACGAAAAGTAAAAATAAGCTCATTCCTCTGTGGAATCGGGGAGACGCCAGTTGGTGAAAGCCTTCTGAAAGGCAATTGGCCGATGTGTCTCCTCTCTCTGGATGGAAGCAAAAGTAAGGATGGGGATATGGAATGTCCTCACCATGTATAAACCTAGGAAGGCTGGCCAGATTGGAAAAGCGATGAGAAGGTGTGGAAGGTGTGTGTTAGGAATCTGTGAGGAATCTGCAGATGGAATGGAAGAGGATTCTCGAAGCTGTTAACTGGAGAGTCAATAATCTACTCCGATATTGTCAAGCAGACGACAACCACGAGCACACTGAGTTGTGGAGTGGCTATTATGATGTCCCCAAGAGCATCGAAGGCTCTCTCTCATGCAGTGGGAATCAATCTCCTCCTGCAGGATCAGGATCATGACAGCAGGATGGATTCAACTCGAAAGGAAGGAAGGAAAGTCACAATCATAGAATGCTATGCTGCTACACTACGCTACACACCTACAAATAATTCAGATGGAGAGAAGAAGGAGGAATCCTACAGACAACTGGAATCAGTACTGGACAAGACCCCACCGCAGTTGGCGACATGAAAATTTTAATGGGTGGGGTTGGGTTAGGTGGGGTGGGTTGGGGGTTACACGAATGCGAAACTGGGAGCGGACAACACAGGAAGAGAAGTGATCATGGGTCGAGAGGCACTCAGTGAAGTGATGAGTGAGGATGGAGAACTGTTTGCAGACTTCTGTGCATTCAGTGGTTTGTTGATTGGAGGCAGTGTGCACGAGCACAAGGATATTCACAAAGCAACATTGACTGCACCAGATGGACACACTAAAAATCAGATCGACTTCATTTGAATGTGAAGAAAGTGGAGACGCAGTCAGCCTAGTGGACACAAAGAAGATGAAGAAGGTGAGCAGACGTAGGTTCACACCATTCACTAACTAGTGCCAGAAACCTTCAACATGTGGTTGAAAGCCTTCACAGAAGTTGGTGATAGACCATATTTCAAGTTTAACACCCGGAACATGAACTGAAGGACGGGACCTATTACCTATTTACTATAAAAATCCTAATGAGGTTTCTAAGTGTTAGTAGGAAACTGTAGTACGTTGAATGCATTAGGAAGCAACTGATATGCGACAGTGCTTGTTGGAAATCAGTCTGTGACTTTATTGTAATTTTTTCTTCTCTCACGTAAAAAACACTTCACTAGAGTCACCCGACTGTTTAGAACTGACTAGCGTAGGTAGTGAAAGGTAAGTGAATAATGACTGAATCGCTGTTTCTAAAACGCCGTTATAGTTTTTAATAACATCGGATCATTGTCATCTAGCTTCACAAAGTATATCACTCTCATATGTTCACCTGAATGTGAGAAACAACGTTTAGGAAAATACTAATATACGAATCTACAAGTTATTCTTATTATATAGTAAGGAATGATATTTGTCTGGTTTTTATGTGCAACAGCCTTAGATCGTTATGTGTTGGCCTCATTGATTTCAGACTAATGTAACAAGCAATGTAATGCATAAGTATCTTTATTGAAGTGTGATGTAACTATTCTCTTTTTTTTGCAGAACTGCATCTCGTCCAATTCAGGTATTTGGCTCAAAAGAACCAACTAAATTTACGGAACACTGGAGGTGTGTATCAACACTTCGAGGTCATAGTGGGGGTGAGTTACTGATTCTGACATAATGTGGTATAACTTGATGTGAAAATGTCTTCGATCTTTGGCTTAGGCAACGTCTAGCAACGAGTTTTAAATGCCTCCGTGCACTGTAGAACGTAACTCATACCTTTCAGATTATTCAAAGTTTCAAAAACAGAACTGTTTACCTTTAAATATATTCTCTTACCTAACAGTTTCCCGATAACGATAAATCTCCAAGTTACAGTTTTTCAAAAATGGGTTTTTGTTATTTCTGGTGTTGTATTTTCTGGACTTCGATGGTACACCTAGTGCGTGATTATTTGCAGTATACTTATGTGATATTTCCACATTTTTTAGAGAATAATTTTTCCGTCTTTGTCTGAAACCAACTATCTGTTTGTTCGGTCACCCATTTAATTAAGGTAATACTAATCGGTCTTAGCCAAAGAATCCACTTCATAAAACATGACAAACACACCAGTTGGTTTTCATGAGATATATCATTTGATCTCACAGTCCATCACTATGCTATGTTGTACTTTGTTTCAGTCAGTTAACTAGCAAAAAATTTTTGAAATAAGCTTTGGTTTTATGGATATAGTAGTATAAACATCTGGATTCCTCTCTTCACTTCTAAGGGTAACACAGTTCACTTTATTTCGAAACTAGAATATGTCGAATAAAATCTCCAATGAATTTATTCTGGAGTGTTCGTTCACCAGGTTTCTATATGTATCCTTGTTACTTTAGAATGAAAAACAAGTTTTTTTCTTCCCTAGATGTCATTGATCTTTCTTGGTCACATGACGGAAATCGTTTAGCTTCAACAAGTGTCGATAATTCAATTATTGTCTGGTGCCGTCAGAAACTTCCAAGTGGATCAGGTTATACAAACAATTCATTTTGTCTGCAGGCAACATTGAGGGGTCATACAAATTTTGTTAAAGGAGTCACATGGGATCCAGTTGGTCGTTATTTAGCTAGTCAAGGAGATGATTTAACTGTAAAGATCTGGCGTACCGCAGACTGGCAAGAAGAAGCCAGTATCACGAAGCCGTTTACTAAGGTATGTCAATAATAAGAGAAATTTTTCAAGCATATCCCCACACTTTATGACTACAAATATCTAAGGATATTTGAAAACTTTTGTCATATAAATGAAAATCAGTGACATTGGTCATTATATTTATTGAAGCAAAAAGCAAATGGTCACAACCAGGATTGGTTAGGCAGTAGAGTGTCTGTTGCGTATCTCACTAGAAGCCAACCTTTATTCGTACTAATCAAGTGCTTAGAATAAGACTTACTCCAAGCACTAATCAACTTAGTGTCATTGATTTGGATCCCAGATTACTGATATTTCACTAGTGAACATATTATAATCATTCTACCGATCTACATATTTCTGCCTTTTGTTTGGATTATTCAAAACACGGCGTTATGTTAAGAGGATTTTACTGTAATTTTGGATGTTTAAAGGCAGCTAGTAAGTGACCATGAAACTGCGTTTTATACTTGTTCCCGTTCATAGGCTTGTGTAGCGTACCTTCTTGAAGAAGTTCTTGTTGTCTTTGAGTTTTGAACCTGTGTATATTTGGCTCCATATTTCAGGGGTTATGCAACACTTGCGGTAAACTGAAATATATTTTTATTTGCGAATGGACTAACTAATTTGATAAATGGGTGATAATGATAATGAAAAGTTTGATTCTCTAGATGTCATTATTGAAATTTTTCCAGGTGAGTGGTCAAAGTCAGGTGATGCGTTTATCATGGAGTTTGGATGGTTCAACACTCGCTTCGCCTCATGCTGTAAACAATGGATTCCCTACTGCCAAACTCATCGATCGAAATAACTGGTCTCCAAGTTTAGATCTCGTTGGACATCGTAAACATGTTATATGTGCGGTAAGATATATTTTGAATTCGTATACCTCAAGTAAAATTAATAGGTTGTAAAGTTTTTATATAGTCATATAGGAATCAAGAAAAAACGTTGGTCTCAACAATCGTTTGTGGTTCTGTAGCTATGCCATTTTTCCTATAGCTGAAGGGACTCGTGTTGGTCGGGTTGGAAATCTTTGCGTACTGAATTTCTGGTGTATACTGTATAAATCCATTTCTCCACCACCGACTACACTTTTAGAAGCAGTCTTCACTGCATCATTTTTTTTTCAGTTTAAAGGTGAAAATGAAAGTTTAATGTTTCCACCAAAAAACTTTTCACTGTAAAAAATTAATTCACAGGAAATGTCTGTTATTTTGAGGAAATGATGCTGTTAGTTTCGCTGAAAATTTCTAGGTTGTGTAATAGGCATGCAAAGGAGCACTTACTTAATATACTACCTGACTGAGAACATATTTCGGTAGAGTCATTCGAATATGATTAGATGGCGTGTGTGTATGCTTGAAAGACAGTAGAAAAATGCATTTATCTACGATATCTGGTGTGGTAACAGTGTGACGTTTTCTGATGTTTATAAGCTATAAATTCTGCTCTAATAGTCATCTAATAAATAATACTTTATCACCATGTGCTTTCTCAAATATCCAATCTCCGGCAATCTATGAAGATTGCATTCACTTGTTTACATCAAGAGAAAGGGTTTATTGTGAATATTATATAGTACAAGTTGAGTAACAGGACAATTTTTGAGATGAATGAGATTCCTCTGTGATGGACTTGAAATCATTCCAACTGGTTATTGCCCATGTATTTAATCGTGTCATAAGCTTTTGTCCATTGTAATTAGAAATCAATAATCACCCAGCAATATACTTACGGATTGTGTGCAACCTAAGTTCCGTAAATTAACACATAATCAGTGAATTTTAATTTTTTAATGAATTCGCCTTTCAAAATGCTCTCTTGTGAATCATTTCAGAATTTACGGTCGCATTCACTTGTCTTTAACCGAGTGTCATCTTTAATACTTGTTTGATAGTCGTTTAAACGCATTGTTTTCATTCAGTTGGGATTCATCGAGTAAAAGATCATTTTCTAAAACTACCTGACAGAAACAAACCGACGTAAATCCTGATGCTGAAGTGCACCAGTTCAAGTTGCCGCGTTGAGTATCAGTATGAAGAGAACAATTAGATGGAAAAAGAGTGATATTAAATTACGCAGGCGTATGGGGGGGTGGGGAGAAAATGTTTGCGAAACGAAGATAAATGAAAATGTTGTCACTTTAGATATCAAGGAGTGAATACATCTGCACCACTGTGACAGGTTTTCAACCATATCATCAAGAGTCCTCAGTCATTGATTCCGGTGCTCTTGGGAACCCCAGCCAGATAGTCTACACTCCTCTACACGGTTCAAACCACCAGTCATGGACTTCATGAACTGGTGCTACGTCTTGATCTGACCACCCTCAACTCTCTTCCAATCTAATCCAACTTCCCCTAGCATTACGTTTTGGGGTAGGCGGTGACTTGGGGTGAGCAGTATATATCCAAGCCATCTCAGTCGCTGAATGTTCACAACCTCATCGACCGACTTGCCTATCTTGCCTAGTACCCGTCGCCTGACTCCTACATTGCTGACATAGTGATTCCACCTTACGCAGGTAATACTAAGAAGATACCTGTTTAAAATCTGTGACCTCTTTAGATCTGCTTATGGCGGTCATTTCCAACTGCTTTATAATTGGGAAGAGAAGACTGCATTCCATTCAGGTTCGGTTTGGATGCTAGGTAGCTGAAGTATTGCTGTAGACCAGTCGCACTATTCTTCAGAATGTTCTGCACAACGTTCTAGCTGCCTGTCGTAAGTGTTTATAGGAATCTAATCATTTTCAGTGATGGTCTCGCTGAACATTATCTTGTTCTTGGTATTATCTCTAATAAACCTGAATAACTGCCACGTATTACGTAATACTGATGTTTTCTCCATTTCCCTCGCTTTTGTCACCGGTCACTGCTCATGATCATGGCGAAGACTCTAATCACTTTACGTTTGAGTAGCTTTCGGTACTTATTTTAAGTTAAAGGCAGGTAGAATGAGTCTTTTCGCATGAATAAGTCTGGGTTAGGTTGCGGAAATCCACTGACTTCTGCTAACCTTTAGATATAGATTCCCATCTGTCTTTACCTGTTTCTAAAGCAGACTGAATATCACACCAGGTTTAATCAGAGTGAGAGTTGCTTTCACGTTTAAATAAATCTCTAACTGTCTTCTCTACAAATACATGCTTGATTTTCTCATCTTCCAGTTGACCAAATACAGACCTCACTGCAATCCATATTTTTCGACCAATAAGATACAAAGGTGCTCGTTCCCTTATTAATGTATGGTTGGAGAGGTACTTCAGAAAGAACGATAGTCGTCTTCCCCTCCTCTCCACTGGTGGTTGATAGCAATATGTTTCACAAGTATCCACCGCTGTCCTGATTTCGGTGGTCGGCAAATGACTATGTCTCCCTATTTTTGAAGTTAGTACTGATCAGAAACAGGTGATTGCCGGGGCGAAATTGTAAGAGACGATCTCCGTTATAGATTTGTTGGCATCGCATACTGTTGATACCTCCAGTATGCCTTTCCGATTGAGTCAGCTTCTCTGTTTGGGAGTTGAATTTGATTGCTACTATGATTATATCTGAATATTTTGCCTTCTGTAGCTTTTTATAGAATTCATGTGTTGTATCGTCAGAACTGCAGTCGGTGGGTGTATAGGTGAACTCTAGGAAGAGATATTTTCAAGTGTCAGGTCTTTTTTCAGCCCTTACGAATCTGTTCAGTTAGGGAGTGCATAACCTGCTGTCAAGAGCTGCACTTTCTGCTGTGCGAAGTAATTCTATGCCCACACCAGCGTTTACTTCCCTCTCAGAGCTTCATCAGAGCATAGGCTATTTACTCTACAACGGTAGCTGCTTTTTGTCTTACTATCTAACTGATCTTTATAGTATAGTAAGAGTTCAAAGAAAAAACGTTCTCGTCAGTATTGATCGTTGAATCATGCATGATATAATGTCTCGACCATCACTTCAAAGTAGCAGCTATCAATCAGCTTTATAGTAATAAGTCTGTCTTTTGTGATTGTCTTCTTTCTCACTTAGCAGTCGAGTATAGGTCAATGAGGGGGTCGTAATTAATCAATATTTGGTTTTATGCTGAATAATATTCTTGACTTTTCGGTTGTTTTCTTATGTTTCTTTACTTAATCTTAAATTCAATCCAGATCCCATCATCCTACATTTCATTCTGTTTTTAAGTACCTTCTCATCCACACCCGTGGTCGTTTAAATCGTATAGTCGAAATATTAATATTACGATGTGTAACTATTGTGATTGCTTATTTATAGTTTATGTTTAAAAATTCGACTTTCACGAATTAATTTTCCACTTCAAATCTTTTCTGTACCGGATAGGGGTGTCGTTTTTCATCATTTAGTAGATAATACTGAAATGCGAACACACATGGGTTTCTGAGTGATTGTGTGTTTCTGTCGTGGTAACTCTGTTGAAAGCATCTAATCTCCTGAAACCAGTTTGCGTAAATCAATTCCTTATCATATATGATGAATTGAGTTGGTTGCCAATTATTGAAGTGAATGTGAATATGTAGACACTTCGGTTTAGTGACATACTAGTAACACCAGAGTTAATCATTCACAAATTTGAGGTTATTTTAGCTTGTTGTAAAGTAATTGATATTTGATGACTTGATTACCTATTGATATCATCCTTTCTTGTCAATTATGTTTTTAGCGCTACAATCCCAATGTTTTACGCAAACAAGATGAATCTGGGATCCCGGTATGTTCGTTCACTTTTTACGCTTTGTACCACTTTGTTAGTATGCAGAAATTTCTGATCATTACATAGAGAATTGTGTCATGCTCGTAGTTTAATTGTAGTGAGAAGAACCTGAATCGCTTAGTCTTAAAGTTAAGCACTAATTTATAGTTCTGACTATGGTCTGCTATCTTCTTGAATAAAACGCATATTTGTCTGTTTCAAAGATTGCTGTTCCTGAACCCTAAGATAAGGGTTTCAAATGGGTTACAAGTATTATATGTTTTACAGATAAGTGTATATTTCATAGGCTTGTACCACGATAGGTTAACCATTCATGTTTACCAACCTACCTTTCTAAGTGTTCAGGGTGCGTTGAAACCATGTTTCATTATCGTAAATTTTAGTGGGGGAAAACAATTAAAGTTACCATCCTTATTGATTGAAATCTTGGAAACTGTTTATTTTCGAATTTCTCCTGTCTTACGTGTGTGCTGTATGCATGCTTTTTGGTGTCACTTTTGCCGAGCAACCATTTCAAGTTTGTGCACTGGATTATGAGCCAGACCCCATTCCATGGAAGCTAATAGTACCATCTGGCTGCTCGAAACATAATGGATGGAATGCTGTTTAAAGGATTTAATGGAGAATTGTAACTTGATAACTAATAGTTTTGAACGTATCCAGACCAACGGCGTAAAGAACTCTAGAAAAAAGTGGGTAACGAGCTAATATGATTCATTGTATGCGGTGTATTTTACTGTTGTAATCCTAGTGCAACTTCGTCTCGTTAACTAGTTGACTAGTTACTAACCCGTCCTAAGCCCGGATAAAGAGGGAAGTTTGGGCATAGGGCTAGCAACCCTACCCCGTAAAACCAATCCAATCGCTAAGCAAACTTTTAAGCACAAAGAAAATACGAAAAGTAAAAATAAGCTCATTCCTCTGTGGAATCGGGGAGACGCCAGTTGGTGAAAGCCTTCTGAAAGGCAATTGGCCGATGTGTCTCCTCTCTCTGGATGGAAGCAAAAGTAAGGATGGGGATATGGAATGTCCTCACCATGTATAAACCTAGGAAGGCTGGCCAGATTGGAAAAGCGATGAGAAGGTGTGGAAGGTGTGTGTTAGGAATCTGTGAGGAATCTGCAGATGGAATGGAAGAGGATTCTCGAAGCTGTTAACTGGAGAGTCAATAATCTACTCCGATATTGTCAAGCAGACGACAACCACGAGCACACTGAGTTGTGGAGTGGCTATTATGATGTCCCCAAGAGCATCGAAGGCTCTCTCTCATGCAGTGGGAATCAATCTCCTCCTGCAGGATCAGGATCATGACAGCAGGATGGATTCAACTCGAAAGGAAGGAAGGAAAGTCACAATCATAGAATGCTATGCTGCTACACTACGCTACACACCTACAAATAATTCAGATGGAGAGAAGAAGGAGGAATCCTACAGACAACTGGAATCAGTACTGGACAAGACCCCACCGCAGTTGGCGACATGAAAATTTTAATGGGTGGGGTTGGGTTAGGTGGGGTGGGTTGGGGGTTACACGAATGCGAAACTGGGAGCGGACAACACAGGAAGAGAAGTGATCATGGGTCGAGAGGCACTCAGTGAAGTGATGAGTGAGGATGGAGAACTGTTTGCAGACTTCTGTGCATTCAGTGGTTTGTTGATTGGAGGCAGTGTGCACGAGCACAAGGATATTCACAAAGCAACATTGACTGCACCAGATGGACACACTAAAAATCAGATCGACTTCATTTGAATGTGAAGAAAGTGGAGACGCAGTCAGCCTAGTGGACACAAAGAAGATGAAGAAGGTGAGCAGACGTAGGTTCACACCATTCACTAACTAGTGCCAGAAACCTTCAACATGTGGTTGAAAGCCTTCACAGAAGTTGGTGATAGACCATATTTCAAGTTTAACACCCAGAAGAGAAAGTGCAGGGTGAAACTTCAAAGGACACCTTGACGTCACTTATGAGGAAAAAAATGGGAAACTTTAAGCAGCGTTGCGGAGGAAACCTGCATGGAAGAACACTGGAACTCCTTGAAGGAGACTTGGAAGAAACTTTGTATAGCCGTGTTAGTAAGGAAAAGAGGCAAGATAAGGAGTGGGTCTCCACAGATACATGGAAGCTGACGGAGGAGGGAAAGGAAGGCGGTCGGGCGGAAGATAAACCAGTGTAGTGCATGGATGAACAAGGAAAAGAGGGACTGAACACAACGTATGAAACACTACAGTGGACAAAGAAGTGATAAAGAGTGCGCGGAATGACAAATGACACTTCTTCGGCACACTGGTAAGTGAAGCAGAACAGGCTGCTGGTAGGAGAGACTTGACAACATTATATCTAATAACCAGTCTACTATCTGGGAGAGAAGAGATCAACACAGCGCAGATGAAACCATTGAAAGGTAGTGAAGGAAAGCTAATTTGTAAAGAGGATAATCAAAGGAAGAAAGACTCTTTAATCGACCACCACCTGCAACTCGTCCAGAAATACCCTCGGCAACTGCAGAATTACCAGTGAACACAAACCCTCCGACAAAAGGAGAAGTGAAGTCCTGAATGCCATAAAGTTACTGAAATCCGGAAAAGCAGCAGGACCAGATGGAATTCAACCAGAAGCACTGAAAAGAAACTCAGAGACAGCAGGGGACATGTTCACACCACTGTTGCTGAAGGTTTGGAAGGAAGGAAAGGTACCTGTGGATTGATTGGAAGAATGGCTACCTTGTCAAACTCCCAGAGAAGAGTGATCTAAGTATTTGGAAGAACCTGTGCGGAATCATGCTCCTGTCCACCAGAAGCAAAATATTATGATGCATCATACTGGAGAGATTAAAAGGTGCTGTGGATTGAAGATTGTGACGTTAACAGGCTGAGCGGCTTCAGGAAGAACAAACCATGTGGGGATCAGATTGCAACAGTGCACAACGAATTATCATAGAACAGAGCATAGGATGGCAGTCAAGTGTTTGTCTTACCTCAACTTTATCGATTTTGAAAAGGCGTTCTATAGGGTTGATGGAGAAGTAATTTGGTAGGTGGTTGCTTCAACACTACAGAGTGTCACTAGTCTTTATCAAGCTCATTCAACAGTTATATGATGATGACGCCACATGCCAAGTGATTCAGAATGGAAAGCTCAGTGACGCCTTTGAAGTGAAGACAGGAGTAAGACAAGACAAGGTTGCCTGCTATCACCGATGATCTTCCTGATTGTGGTCGACTGGATAATGCGAAAATCTGTGAGGAGCTAGAAGATGTGCATACGGTGTTTAACCGATGAAAAGATCCTAGAAGATTTGAATTTTGCCGGTGATGATTTATGTCTGATGTCGCACAAACTCGAAGATGTAGAGGGTAAAACTAAGTAATTGGGAGAAGAGGCGAGGCAGCGAAAAGGGGACTTGAAATGAAGGTAGAGAAGACAGAGGTCGAGGTGATGAAGATACCCAAGCAACAGCAACAACAAGAAGCACCGATCGCTATGAACGGAAGAGGCCTAAAGGAAGTAGTCTCTTCCACCTACCTAGGGAGATCAGCATCGTTTTGACTACAGGCGACTGCACAGATGAGGATGTGGAAGTCAGGATAGGAAAAGCCATACAGGCGTTCGTTAATCTGAAATGAGTGTGGAGATCTACTGCACTTCACTCGACATAAGATCCGGATCTTCAACACTGATGTCAACTGAGTGCTTATATATGGTTCAGATACATGGCACACTACGAAAATCATTTCCAACAAACTACAGACATTCGCCAACAGCTACCTCCTACACTCGCTCGATAATGAGGATCAGATGGCCAGAATGTTGAGAATAAGCCACAAGGAACTCTGGCCGAGCAACGAACGAACGAAGAAGCCATTGCCCAACAAACATGCAGAAGAAGTGTAGATGGGATTGGTTTGGGTCAGGTCAGTAGTTGTGTATGGTTGAGAGACTTGGCGCGTTACGGAAAGGATTTCCAAGAAACTACAGACATTTATCAACAGCTGCCACCTCCACTCACTCGGTATTGATGATTAGATGGCCGGAAAGAATAATGAACTAGGCACTGAGGGAACGAAGCAACCGAGAAGCCATCGCCCAACAAATATGGAGAAGAAAGTGGAGATGGATTGGATTGAGCATACACTGAGAAGACCGATTTGGGACCTCAGAGGTGGGGCCGTCGAGTGGGAGCGAACTGGGAAGGGACGAGTTGGGAGTCGGAGGCGAGGGTGACATGGAGGAGATGGTGTGGGGAAGAAGTGAAAGCTTGTTGGCTGGCAGTAGTGGATCCAGGTTGAAAAGACTGAAGAGAAGGGAGTGAAATTGAGATGTGTTATTGAACTTCTATGTTTCGCTTGGAACCCAATGGACCAATAACAATCGTAGTGTAGTATAGTATACTAGAACAAACTTGAAAATTAATTTTTTTAAAATTCATTTCGGTATACTACGCCCTGATTACACAGGTAAAATTTCACCTTGTACGATGAATCTTACTAACTCGGTCCCCAAGTTTTTCCAAACTATCCAGTCCATTGTTGGTTAGGATACGTTGAAATATTTCGAATGGATCCTCGAGGTTTTGGTTTTGCTAGGAACATATTCTAAATTATGAATCTTATATTAAGCTTTCAGGTCGATATTCAGGTTCGGTACAAACATGACTGCTGTGATCATCCAATTCACTTGTCTAATAGAACGGAGATCAACATAAATTAGGCGAGCGATCTTAAAAATGGGTCAGTGAGGTTTATTCAGGTTGTGGAAGTGAGGTAGTACAAAATTAGAGTGAGGAATTTGTTCAACTGTGAAATAAACAGTAGAATGACAGGTCATCAATGAGAAGTAAGAATGGATTATCACTTAGGAAAACTGAATGTGTTAGGAGTAGATTTTATGGAGTAGTGTAAAACCAAGTTGTGTTTAATCTTCTTGTATATTATTTAGAACGCTTTGTGCGAACTACTAGTGTTTACCATATCTCCGAGTTATCTAGTTCACCGCAGAAGAGTATTAATGTTGTGTGGCATTCTCTTCTCACTTTATAATCTATATCTACCAACCAGATGCTAGATCCTGTTGCTTGTCTGGTTGGTAAACCAAATGTAAGCATTTTGGTTTGACAAAATTAGTCACTTAACCTGCAAAAAGTGTATTGCTATTCTTTGTGTATTATTTGCGACCAAATATAACCACAAGTTTTGATCCCTTGAGATTATCAAACGATTAGTTTACGTTTTGCTTAAAAAATTGCAAAATCAATAGCTGTTTATTCGAGGGACGGGACCTCTTTTTTTGAGTATAATCCTAAATCCTGAGTGTGAATTATCTTGACCTGTCAAGAAATTCAAATTTTGTACTGAGAGCTTTTATTACATAAATACTTTTCACTTAATTTTCCGCCTAAATAAAGAAGGCTGTCACTCTGATGTTCGCCTTAAAGACTAGTTGTGAATCCTGAATGACTTGTTCTTCTTCTTGAACATTTGTACTCCAGCTGTAACTTCTTTGTACTAACTGGCTTTTTGCTACAGCTTTCTGTATCGCTTTTAGATTTTTGCTTGGTGTTGGTTGTCGCTGGTATTCCCTCAGTTTTGAGAATCAGATCTAATTTTTATTTGCTCGAAGATTCAGTAATTAGTTCTCATGAGTGTATGTAAATAGAGCAAAAAGTATGATTTTCTTCAATTTTCTCGCCACGATTTCCGCTACTAGTGTTTGAATTTCTATTCAAATTTGGAATTCTTTGTTTCTTTTCTCTGTCTGGTTGACTATGGAAACCATAAAAGATTAATTGCACATCTTTCTGCATTTAAAATAGGGCTAAGGGAAATTTTTTTGGTTCTATGCATCTTTTTGTCGTTTACGGAGTTGGCAGGGTCAACTTTAGTTACACTGTACTTACAGATTGTTTTGATCAAATTGGTTTTCGTCATATTTCCCTTCTGTAAAAGAAATTGAAGCTGAGTATCATTGTTAGCGATTTGTAATTTCATTCGTAACTACCACTACTGATTGTCTTTACCGACATATTTCAGTAGTGAAAGTTCAACTGATTTTGTGGACAATAAATGTACTAAAAATTTTTTCCTGCTGGCCTCAGTTTGCAATGATTCTGGTGGATGGTCATTATGATCTTAACGAAAGTACCGCTTATTTACGTAAGATATTCTCTATTTGGTTAAGTGTTTATCATATTCATTTGCGGAAAAAAGCACAGAATTTTGATACGGAGTACTTTTACGCATACAACGTGCTTTTTTCTTTTAAAGGGAGCTGTTTGTCTCGCTCTTGGAAGCAAAGACCGATCAGTTTCTGTTTGGGTAAGTTGTCTTTTGTCTATTGGTTATGAAGTACATTGTATTTTACAGAGATATGATCCTGTACTATATGGTTAAACTTTGAGCAGTTTTCTTTAATTTCAAGTGTTGATTCACGTTTCCTTGAAATATGTGTACAGAGTTCAACGAAAGTTTGCTATTGTAAACGTTGGTTGAAAACTCAGATATTGGCAGTATTCCATTTGTTTGTTTACTGAATTTTCGTTTGCCCTTATAGACTTGTAATACTTCTGTGAGCATAAAAATAGTGCAATAGTCTTTGTAAGCATCATATTAGTATAATTATTCCTATTGCGACATCAAACAAGAAATTCACCTGGGATTCGTTATTATGGTTTTTTTTACTTCCACCAGCCGATTTTCGCTGGTACTGAAATTTACATGCACCACTCCTTGTTATCAGGCTTCAAATGAAATTCCCTGTGTTACTGCGTTACCTAAGTTAGTTAGGAATTTGTGAACTCAGTTTAAGAATCAAATTACATCCTGACCGGTAGCTGCTACCTGGACGTGGTGGTTGGGTTGCATATCACGACAACCCAACGAGCGATACTGCTGGAAGACTAGTTCCCTCGAGGTCTTACCATTCCAGAAAGGTCTGTTGGATAGTAGTAAGATGGAGAGTAGTTACCGTTGTAGTAGAAATTACTACACTATGATACGGATCTGCGAGCGAAGTCGTACTGCTTCTGGCTAGATCGGGTGAAAATGCCGCAAAGATGATCAACAGTTCCACTCTGATACTACCTTTCCATCAAGAAAGAGGGTTAGAAAACTTCGGCTCAAAAAATAAAAGTCCGCCCTGCCCTATAGTCTTCTGGTGCTCGGGATATGGGTTCTCTCTATCTAGTGTTAGAAGTACAAAACCTCTAAACAACATCCTACAAAAAATCGTGTGTGACAGGCTTCAAGCACATGTCTCAGTACCTTGAGAAGGAACAGCCTTCCAAAGTGTGGTAAGCCAACAATTGCCGACCGCTGGCACGCTTCTAGTACTACATAAGATCCAATCAAACATAACTTATCGTCCCCAATTCTACCACCTCCATAGCCCACATTTCGTGATATTAATATTAGGCCTCCTAGACCTTATCCAACCTCTCACTCTGCAACCCTTGTCAACGATCAAAAACATCGAAACCTCATTCCTTGTCTCCTAAGATCGCCCTCACCATAGATTTCATGTTGGAGCTTCCAACGTCCAAACTCTATACCAAATTGGACACCAAAACTCTAGAACTTCTATCCATGGATGTATGCTGTGTCTTTGACACAGTACCAGTATCAGTACCAGAGTGTGGTTATTGAATTGACCTCACTTAACCATAGTAGTGAGTCTTCAAAATTAACCTTAAGAGTATCTGGAGACCTAGTTGGCTAGCTCTCGTGGACTCGTCGGTGTAGGCAAAATATTGAGTTGTAGAGGAGGAAGTGCCCTCCTCTACTGGAGACCAGTCGACAGCTGTCTATGTGCTGTTAAACTGAATAGATGTGTAAGGACTAGGAAGGATCGTGAGACCAACCGATGCATCTTCGTAATATCCCCCTACTCACCCACCGACTGTAGTTCGGATGATGCGGAGGATGAATTTTATGAGAAGCTGTCAACTTCCTAAACCGTTCCGATAAAGTAATAATGCCAGCCGACTTTAATACCCAAGTAGGGAAGCTGAGTAAATCAAAAACACATCTTATGTGAAATGATGACAACTGTTGGTGTTCTCTAGGGGTGTCCACTGTCACCGTTCCTATTTGACTTCGTCAGAGACGTCCTGTTGGACATAACCTTAGGTATGCACGTATGTTTGGATTCACAGGGATTGACCTACTCCTGGAGGTCATCTGGTTGACTTGCAGTATGCAGACGATACTGTCTCGCCAGGTGAAGACGCTGACCAAATGCAGTGTTTTCTGGACGAGTTGAACAGAAATCTGAGTATGATTGGCATGTGTTTTGCTATCACCTGTCAAATGCATGATGATGCTGCAAGAAGTACTTCCAGTTTAATGATAGGGAGTGAAGTGGTGGAATGTGTTGAGCACTTCACTTAAGTGGTTAGTTGCATCAACTCGGACGGTCTGGTTGCTGACGAAATCTCAGCCTGTTTGACATTCCGCAACTTGCGTCATCTCTGACGCTAACAGGCGATATGTCCGACTATCTATCAAAGGACGAGTATACTGAGTTGTGGTCCGTTCTGTACTGTTCTTCGGCTGTGAGACATGGCCATCAGAAGTAGGAGATATGAAGAGATTACAGGGCTTTGATCGCAGCTGATTTAGTGGCATTGTTCGTGTTTGTTGGAATCACTGTTTGAGCAGTGTTGAAGTTAGAAGGGTAACGGACAAGGCAGACAAGTTGATTGATGGGGTTGTGAAGCTTCATCGACTGAAGTGATTTGGACATGTTTTACAGGTACCGAGTCACCGCTTACCTCAATGTGTCATGTTTCTGGAAGTTGGATTAGGTTGGAAGAAGATTCAGGATGGCTAGACCCAAACCTTTCACCTGTTGATAGAGGTTCTTACTGTTAATGTTAGCCATATGGAGAGATGTAGCCTGTCTGGTTGATGTCCCCTAGAACAAAGGAATCAATGGTTGAGGACTCTTGGTGAAATGGCTGTAGAACGGTCACAGTTGCGCAGATGTATTCACTCCTTGACGTCTAAAGCTTGCTTTTTCACAGTAAACCTTATCTTTGGACTGTTTATTCTCTCATACTACTTTGCCCACTTTGATATGACTATTTATCTATCCACGTGTTCTTTGTATACTACTGTGAAGTGTGGCAACTAGAGCCGATGCACGTGTATACGAGGTTCCTCGTTGTTCTGGTCAGTATCAGTCATGAAATTACTTATTATGCGCTGTCTTTTATGTGCATTCTACACTACCCTGTATCTTCAGTATGTGTAAGAGAACGTAGATATGGAGATTTGATTCCACGTTGTTGAAGTAGTGTAATCATTTTTCTAGTATGTTTTGGAATTTTCAGTGAAATATCTTAATAATTTGCTCATCTTCCAGACCATCTGTAGTGTTCAATAAGGTGGAACGTTGTTGTGTCTTTTAAAAATACATGTTTAGCCTAAAAATGATCTGCTTTCGTATTTTTTTTTCCAAATTCCTTGATAAATTGCTATATTTGGTATAATCTCGGTTTTTAAGTTCAGATAGGGTCGAGCGATAGGTTGTCTGATATTGTTTTCTGTGTGATAAATTTTGAAAAGCATGTCTGGTATGCACACTATTGGTTGCCCAATTTAGTTTACCGACGTCAGAATTACTGTATAATTTTGTTTACGAAAGTAAGAGGTGATTGAAATTTCAAGTCAAAATTGCGACAAAGGATCATGTTGAATAATACACTTACAATACTGCCACTTACCGAAGAAGATAGTCAGACGGTAGATTTATCGTTTATGTGCACACGACCAATTACATACAGGTTAGGTACAGTAGGTTATTTGCCCTACTGAATATTTAACTGTTAGCAATGCTATTTAGCTGACTGTACCTGGATTAGGATTTAAACTTGCAGAATTTCTTTCTGCTAATTTGAATGTCTCAACCGTTCATGTTTGTCTAATCATCTTGTAGCATTTGCAGTTCAACTCAGTTTTCCTGATGCAGAAGTCTTGAATTATTTAAAAGTTAGTTCTATTGCGTATTATGTTTTTTTAGGTATTTTTTTTACTGACTGCAACCCTTATTTTTCTCTTGTTTTACTTTTTAGTCGACGGCTGGTCGACGTGCTCGACTCGTTGTTCATGACTTATTCACGAATTCTGTTTGTGACTTGTCATGGTAAGCTATTGCTATTTTTTCAGCTGTTTTAAGGTAATTAAGAAAGTTCGAGCGTTATAGTAGTCTCAGTTTTGTTGAGTCTAACACACTGAGTAGTATCCGAAGTTCACTTCACCCTAACTGGTACCATCAGAACAAGTATCAACTTCAATCTTTTTGACAATCTTCAGGAAAAACACATTTTTGTATCCCTCTAGCATTTTTATCTAACTGCTTTTCACAACAAATGTGTTACGACAATCTAAACATCCGTTTTTGACGGTCATTTTAGAATTTTGGATGTGAATTTATTTACAGATTAGACAGCAGAAAAGTCGAAGTCCACTCAGCAATCTTACATACGATCATACATCAGGCAGTAAGTTATACCCATTGTGTGAGGCTGCCCAAACCTCAGTAGATGGGCGGCTGCTGGAACCCGTAACCCACTGATTGAAAGTCATCTCCCTAAAATAATAAACCACAGCTTCACATTAGGTAGTAGGTCGTGTAGACTTTCGCATTTTCATTTTGCGATCTGCATAGACCAAGGATTTTCAGATAGGAATTAATTGATAGCAAAGGATATCGTCCTGTTAGTAAAGTAAATCGGCTTGTACCCTGCTATGAATAAGGCTGAAGACGTTCTTTCTATACTGAGTGTTTATTTATACTCTATTGTAAACGAAGTAAGCTGATTCTCTCTGGTAAACTAAAGAGTAATCCTAAGAGATTATACACTGGGGAAATACGGTTGTCACTGTGCACTGTACTTGATTTTGTCTTTTGCAAATAATGGAAACATTTTCACCTAAATGTATAACCTAAATTAAACGCTAACGCTAATTCCTGATTTTTTGTTTTGGAATATAGTTGATTTATTTAGTTGTGTTTTGTTAATGTAAGCAAAGTGACGTTGTGCAGAGGTCTGTACCGAAAATATTCTTTACGCTTGTACCCGAACTTTTATCAACAAAAGCATTGGCTTAGAAAACGGATTTGTGTGCGTTACAGACATGTATAATTATAATCGCACGAGTCTTTCTGATCTTTATATTATGTAATATAATTTCATCTTTTCTTTGAAAAAATTCTGAAGCTATGCATATTTCTATGAAACCAATCTATTTATTCAGTATGTGGTCGAGACTTATCTTCTTGAAGGACTGATGGATGCGGACGACTTTATTTTTGAGAGTTAGATGGAATTACCCTAAATGCATCTATACCATAGGAACCAGTTTCATGTCATGTCGTATAGTCTTCAACTGTTGGTTGGACTGTCTCATGCGCCTCAATCACGAAGCTCAATTACTTCCAAATGGGTCACTACCTATATCTCCGACGGACTCTACTGGTTGTTGTTATCACTAATGACAACTTTCCATAAGTCCTTAAGTAGCTGTGAATTCAAGTTCACAGCCTTTGTGAGAAAAATATACTTGCTTGGTTCTCCATTTGCAATTCGGTGTATCACAACACCTCTCAGTGGATGGAGTTATATACCACTTTAAAACGAGAAAGTAACTATCAGACACCTTACCTAGATTTGAAGCCTGTTTGACCTTTTCGAGTTTGTTGTTTTCCACCTCCACTTAAGCGTTGGATGACTATTGGCCTTAGGATTCTAGACACGATGCTAGTTTTGCTGACAGTCACAAGTAAATCAGTTTGATATCCTAAGGGTAAATCCTATCAGCTTTATAATTCAGATTAAGTCAAGTGAATAATCATTCTTGAGTTTTGAGTCGGAAAAATGGCACGGATCTCTTGAGTCGATTGGCATGTAATACTGTCTCAAAACCCGATCTTCAAATTCATTTTTCCGCTTCAGATTTTAAACTTATGTAGAATATAGTTCATACATGCTCATGAAATCAAATTGCTTAGATGGTTTTTTCTGAAAGTTTTTGAATTTAACTTCGGTGCATTCAGTAGTTTGATTGCGATAAACAAATATGTAAATCACTTCTAATCTTCGGATTCTTTTTTCACCGTACCACTGCGATTATCATGGGAAACTTCATAGTGTTTTAATGTGATTGGATCGCAGAGTATTAGTAAGAAATTCATTCACCAATTACTTATGAAGAACACAGTGCACAAGTGACTTTTCTTCTAAATAATTTTATATGCGCATTGAAATATCGCAGGACTATTAATATATGTGGTGGAATTGACTGCAAATTGGGTGCAAAATGTAAAATCGTTAATATCTCTTCCTTAATTCTTCTACTTATTAGGAGTTCTGATGGTCGTGAACTTATGGCCTGTTCATTGGATGGCTCTGTTTCTTATATGGGCTTTACGCATCAAGAATTGGGAACTCCATGGTCTCTCAAAGAAGTTGTAAGTTGGTTTAATTTCCATTCAGTTGAGTATTTACCTTGTAAAAGTGGTATTGTTGTTTGCAGTTAGACGTATCCATCTAAGTTGAACCTGAAATTTCCAGAAATGCCATGTTTGATGGGTCTCAAGTAGATATCCTATGGGCTGTTCGGTCACGCACCACTATCGATCACTAATTCAATTCTTTTTCAAGTATCTCAAGAAAACGTAAGCTTTCATGATGCATAAAGTAGGCAAATGTCAACTATCTTCACTGCTCTTTCAGTATTGAAGTTCGCTCTGATCATTATTAGTCTTGCGTATCTTTGCCTTCTATTCTTTCCTGAAGTCTTTCAGTTGATATTCCCACTTTATCTTTAGTTTCTTCCAACTCAGCATCCCTTCATAACGACTCGAGTTCACGGAACAAAAATCCATGTCTCACGAAACCGCACTCCAAGTTGCACAATGGAGCTTTAAATATTTGCACTCTATTACATCGGCAAACAAAATTTCGTAGTCGAAACTCTGACATCTCAGGCAATAGAAATACGCTGTGTTTGTGAGACGCATGTTGGACTCAAGTGCTGTTGTTCATTTAGACTCGCTTTGCCAATATGGTGAATTCATGAAATTTACTCTTCGAGTTTCTGGAGACTTGATGGTTAGTTCCAATGGTGTTGTAGGTGTAGGTATAGCAATAATTCATAAAGCAGAAAGTGAATTGGTTGAATGGATCCCGGAAAACTCGCCTATGCGCTATTCGACTGAGTGATGAAGTGAGGACTAAAAAGGATAGTGAAGTTAGCTGTTTTCGTTTCGTAGTTTTGCCCTACGCACCCACCAACTCCATTCGGACTATTTGAAGGATACGTTGTTCCAAAAACTGTCTAGACTTGCTTATAGGAATATCTCTCCCCATTTGACTTTATCCTTAGAGTGCGCAGAAGATACTGTTCTGTTATATGAAAACGTTGAAACGTCACAGAGTTATCTGAACACTAAGTGGTAGTTCTCAACACACTCTGAAGGCAAATAGTAGCTTCAGGACTGGTCTACATTGTTGCCCCATGTAAAAATATGTAGTGAAGTGCTTGAGCTCATTGACTGCAACTCTTACTTGGGAGACGAGATCAGTCCTGGTTGTTCGGTTGCCGACAAAATCTCTGCACTGATAAGGAAGACTGGCTTAGCTTTCGCTGACTTAAACCATCTGCGGTGCCGCCGTGATATTCGATTGCCTATTAAGGGTCAAGTGTACTGTACTGCAGTTCACTCTGTTCTAACAAATAGCTGTAAAACATGGCCATTCAAAGTGCAGGACTTGGGTGTTAAATGTTCGATCACCGTTACCTTCGTACCATAAACTATGTCAGTAATATCTGAGGTGTATAGAGTTTTGGGTAGAAGAGGAAATCAGTCGGTTAGGTTGTCTAACCTTCACTAACTCAGATGGATGTGGCGTGTGTGACGCATGCCTAGTCATCGTCTGCCCGTCGTGGGATGTTAACTGTTATGTCTGTGTCTAGCAGTAATTATCTGATGCATGTGATTTTTCCGTTTAAATCTTAACGCTGACTTTGCGCGTAATTAGCCCCTCATACACCTGCCACTTCTCGTAAGTCCGAATGCACTCAAGCGATGAGTAAAGTCATTGAAACCGTCCGCCTCCCAACATTGTACAACAGATCACAGTCTTGGGCTTATTGTCGGTAGATATTTTAGGCATTCTGAATCATCTGTATACATAGCTGAATTTCCTGTCCACTACGCCCCACGGTTTATAAAAATGAAACATCCGATTTTGCGCATAAAATAGGAAGTTATGCACAATACTTGATCCCACACAGCAGGCAATTATTTCAGAAGTATTAGTCATACAAAAATCGATGCGAGATCGATCGAAAGATTTTCCGTCAAGCTAGACAACATTGCTGGTATTGATTTCTAAAGTAGTTAAAATAATACGACCGGTTACATTTGTCTGGGACTCATGTTTTCCATTTTTCGGTCGATATGACAAGCATAAGGAGATGTACGGTACAAATAGGTTAGAGGCGATTAAACTAAGGAATGATCTCAGTCTCTTAAGTCTTTGACTAGTAGTTTGAGCCGCTTGGGATCTGTGGACATGCTGTTTGATTTCACTTGACAACAGAAATCGGTATTTGGGGATTCAGATGACTCGGAATCGATTTTTGCGGCTCAGACGTCTACACACTATCTTTGGATTTATCGTCATACCGAATGTCCTTATTTTATTATTCTTCTTTTTCCATGAATTACCATCATTTTAACTACTTTTTTCTGTACATCTCTATCTTCCATCGTGATGCCTATTCACTTTATATACTGATATGGAGTGTAGAAGTATGGGTCGTATTGCCAGCTTCTACGTTATTACTGGTTGATTGGTTACTACATAGCGTTTGGTAATTGTTACCTAGATTGACTAAGATAAGTCGCTTCACAGTAATCTTTTTATAAACTTTAATCATGACGTCTCTATATTCAATGGATGCTCTAAAACAGCACATTTACGGGATTTCATCCATCTATTGGAAGCAATAAATCAGCGTTATCTCCTTCGCCTTCAGAACTTTCAAACTTTCACAGCTTATTGTTGTTTGGTATATTTTCTGGACGTAACACAACGGATGTGAAATATTCAGATGGGTCAGATAAAAACAGTTAAATAAATTATATAAACTGTAATCGAAAGGAGATAAAATGTAATTAGGATAATCAGCTTGCGAATTGCGTGATCCACGATGACATTTCACACGACCGAGTAGTTCTTCAATTGTCTCAACCTATCCACGATCACAAGGTGTAATCTCTGATACAAGTGTGGTAAACTGACGAAATATACTATTTAGTAGTTCGGTTCTGTAAGCTGGATTTGTCTAGATACTCCACTGATTTACTTGATCTTGGACAAGCGAAATGGTCGTCCGGTGTTTAGATCACTCTGATCTGGCTAGCAAAATGTACATATTAGCCTGAGTGTTTCCTAACTACACTTGTTGTTAAGTTGTATATTTCATTGAGATCGGATCAACACTATGAAACGTTTGTTGTGATGTCTGCTAGGACAAAATTACCGGTATTATCCAGTGCAATCCACAGTGATCCATTTCTACTCATGGTTCTTATATATGCTCTGAAACAGTTACTGTTACATTTTAATGCTTTTATCTTCTTTCATAGGATACATTTGTTACTATCATTTGTTTAGAGGTATGACTTTTGAGAATATATATATTTAGGCATGAAGATAGGATAGTATCAAACGCATTTTTATCTCCACAGACTAGCAATTTATTTTCAGTGCTTATAATGCCATTGTCATGTTATAACCATAAAGATAACCGTATTCTATCTTCAGATACAGTTACATCATAAGGTGTATGGGCAAAGTCTACTTGATAAATTTCGTCCGATTTCATCTAATGGTTTGCCAACTGAAGTAGATTCATTGGATGAAAATAAAGATATCTCGGGCATATTGAATCAAAGCGATATCCTGCTTGAAACTCCAGAAGCATTGGCGCTGCAGAAAACTCAAGCTGAACTGCGTACTAAGCTGAAAAATTCCCCAACAGGGGAGAAACAGTCGCTATGTCTTCCAAAAGGAGTAAGTACTACTTTTTGTGCGCATCTGAAAAATTATTAGAATGCTTCTGTTATTTCAGTACCATTTTATGTTAGGCGGTTAAAAACATTCGGCATGAAGTACTGCACTTAAGCTTAGTGCTTATTTTTGTATGTCAGTTGGGTTTATCTGTAGCTCCCATAGAAACAATCACTCCCATGTGAACCTGCGTCTCTCAATGTTGAGAATAAAGGTGTTACCACTGAGCCCTTTGGTATGTGCTTCACTTCTTGTACGTCTGAATTAAATTCATCAATCTATCACTGAAGAGTGATGTCAAATAACTGATATAGTTACATCGATCTAGTTGGCATGTCACTTGATGATCACATTGCAAACATGATCGATCGAATTCGTTCGGCACTTATGACTAAAAAGACACCTTATTGAATTGTATCCAGTGGCCAACATCTAATTTAATTACAGTCCAGTACTCGTTAGTGGCCTGCTTTGAGATCATTTTCTCATAATCACGATGAGAAGTTGCGACCTATAAGGTCATCTGAGTTTGAATTGAGGATGGGTGCCCATCGATGATATTAGGTGATGGTTGTGCTGTGTTACGAATTAATAGAAATTGAAAAACGGATATACTGAATTACCCGCTGATTCGATAATAGTGCTTGTCACAATACTAGATGGTCCTGGACTCGTTCTCTCATTGAGTCGTACGTTCACACTGTTTAGTTTTAAATCAAGATGAAATATGTGTTCATTACCCCCAGATTAATCGACGGTTCCCCAGCTGACGCTAATTCGTGATAAATATTACTTTGAAAGTAATCATTCCCCCCAAATATTCTTGTTAAGTTTTAATATATAATCTTTATGAATGGTTTCAATAGTTCATCATTCATGTATGCATCCTCTAGGAAAAAGTATGTAATTATTTCGGAATGACGTTTGAATCATCGTTTCTTATCCTGTGGTGGTAATAGTTCTATCTGTGAAGCATTGGAAGTCATTATCTGAATGATATGATATTACTGTGAAGTTTTAGTGTGTTAAATATTTGGCAGCATTGACTGAGAAGTTCAGGGCTTAGTTTTCATGTTTTTCAATACATATTTGCTAATCGACTGATTTGTACTTGGTACAGTGACACAGGTGGCTAAGTTATAGTCAAAACATTTATTTTGTTAGATCGTATTTTACTTATTTAGGATTCAGGCATAGTACTGCCTTCAAGACGATAAAATATTGCTACAGGTTTGTTGCGACGTATAGCACTATAACCCAGCATCTCTAAATACAGGTGTAATTGTGTTTTGTTTAACAAACCGTGGAAATAAATTATGCATCGAATTCTTCACTCTACACACTTAGTAGCGACCAAAAACATGGTCTTCGGTTTGTCGTTTGTTTTGCTTCTTCGATCCATCCACCAAAGCGATTTTTCCCACCAGCACACCTAGTCCATGTGCAAAATTATCTTCTTGAACTTGGAAGGGAAAGTTGTTAGTCAGTTCGGACATTTATCAGTTAATGGTCGGTTTCAAAGCAGTTACAATTATACATTAACTTCTCAAAGCGGCCTTAGGTAACGTAGGACATTGATGTCTCGCAGATGTCTGGTAGCGAGTTCGTCTTAAGATGTAACTCTCCGGACCTCAGTCTTACGTTAGGTCGAGGTTCGTCACTACACATGAGTCTAAAACTTGATTGAAATAGCTGTCTAGTGTTTCTTTTGTTAACAGAAATTTTCTAGCTAATGTAGATTCTTTATGTGAACTAATTTGGAATTTCACTTACCTAATCATCTAAAATGAATTCATGTAATGTTTGGTACGTTTCTTTTTTCCTCCGTAGCCGTCTAAACAAATCGAAATTCGGAGAGAAGATGGACGCCGAAGAATAACACCTAAATTTCTTGGTCATTTAGATAGGTATATTTTTATTCATTGAATTATTGTGCAATTTGGGTTGATTTCGTATCAATAACAGTATCATAATAATGAGACTCTTAAAACGCTTCACAATTTGGTTACGATATTCCTATGTAAACTTTAGCAACAAATTGTTAGGCTTTGCTCATTTCTATTATTGCTGAGAAAATTTATTGATGCAAACCTACCCTAAGCATTTATTTGTCTTGTTGTGGTACATTTAATGGTCTGAACCTAACGGCACAAAGTCTTTCATGTTATCGTATGTTAACTGCATAGCTTTAGCCCATCCCTTCCTTCTCACATGCTCAATTATTCTCTTATTTCCTTTGAAGAGACACTGTAAACTCAGGTTTCAAATCAAAAGTTAGTGGTTCAAATCTATCGATAGTCAATGTTCAGCTCGAAATGTTTAAAGTTGGTTGGAAAATCGTCAACTTTTAACCAAGAAACAAGCGTTTAAAAGATTTTTACTGATTTTTTCTCTAAGGTAAAATGTTTTGGGATGACGATGAATAGTGGATTATTGCTTAAAATTTGCAGCTGTGGTCCATGTTTACGCACTACTGAAAATTAGTTTGTCCCAGTTGTCAAACTTGGACTTAGGTTTTTGCAGTTTACTTGATTAAAATAAGTCACATTTGTTCACTACTATTCGTTTAGAACCTCGTGTTTTGCTTGCTTTAAGAGTGGACTAAATTTCTACTTTTATGGGTAAACGTCGTGTGATAAACACTATTTACAGCATCTTATGGGTTTCAAGGCTAGTCTTTGAAATAAGCTAGTATGAAGCCAGATGATTGGTCCAACTTATTTGCTATCACTCAAGTCTGAAGTAGTTTTGTTTGATCCTGTTGGTCAGTGATATCTTTGTAGCAAGCAGCATCTTAGCCTAGATAATCACCTCTATAACTAAATAGTCGCATCTTTGGGAATATGTCTGTTATCATACTTTGATGACTATCTTAACCCCTATTTATTTTTGTCATCTTTAATTTTGACTAACTTACGCTAAACATAAGCTAAATAAATGTTATCATCTCGAGTATTGCTACCTTATTTATGCATAAGTGATGTAGTTCATAGACTTAAATATCTGCCTTTCAGTCAGTGGGTTATATTTTCAAACCCCACTGTAATTACCAGTGTTCATGTAGCTAAATTGTTTGTTAGGTGTCCCATCGACCAATATACAAACCTGTACACAGTTACCTTGTTGTATAAATATATAAATAATAATAATCTGTTCGCAATACCGAAGCAAGTTTTCCATAGCAAGTCATTCTTTTCTTCCCGGTGTCACTGATAACCCTTCTAAGCGTATGAGTTTCGAAAAACGTTAGGAAATGTTAAGAGCGCCAATTTTTATCCCGGTCTGAAAAATAAATTCGTTGCCGTTTTACTTATTACATCAAAGTTTTGTACTTAGAACACCTATGAAAGTGTTTTTACTTTTTTCTACAGATAAACATTATCATTATTTTCCTCAACTGTTGCAAAGACGTCAGCTCACTTAGTACCTGAAATGCTCACCTCGATACTTTGTAAATGGAGACGTTAATGATTTTTCGATTCTCTTTTTCATCGTTTATTTGTTTCGTGTAACTTCTTCATGTGTGGTTATGATGTAAAAATGTTGAGCTGATGCACATAGTTGTCAGTTATTATCTTAATATTTTGTGTTTAGCATGTTGTTAATCGTTCGACTGAATATCCTTGTCATAAATTCGTCAAGTTTTAACAGGAATCTTAATCTAACGTATTTGTTTAATATCTAATCACTGTACTTTTTCTCCACTTTCCTCATTACCTTTTAGTCCTGATGAAGATGCTAATTCCAATCCACATTTCTCATCACCTCAATCTGGTAAATGTGAAGGCAAAACCAGTCCAGAAGTTAGTTCAGATTTCACTTTTGACTCAAATAAAACTAACAACATACTGAAAACAACAGCAGTTACTACCATGGCTACCATTACAAATCCGGAAGTCACTCTAAGTAATGTGAATCTACCATCTGTGACAGTTATACCAGTCAATGATGTTGTCCTTAACATTGATAGTCTATCTACTTCAGAAGTTAATCATGCACCGACATCCACGGATAATAAAATTCGAAATACTAGTGTCGAAACAGCATTTGTGTAAGTTCACATTTTATGCGCCTTGTTTAAATAGTTTGCTATTTCCCTTTTTGGCTATTTAAAGGCATATATAATGTTTGCTTTGTGTACAGTAAAGTAATGTAACGTTGCTGAAATCACTTTATTTCCTCATTCTCTGCTTTCAGATCAACTGATGATATACCATTAGATCAACAAAACGTAATATCAAAAACGACCTCTGTAACACAAGCTTCATCTACAAGTGTACACACACTATCGAAAAAATTACCACCTGAACCTGTAGAACAAGAAACTGGTGGTGAACAAAAACGAACTCGCTCAGACATTAATGACGGTGATGCAACTGGACAGACAGATACTGTCAAAGTGGTTACTGATGAATCAGTCAAAATAAACACTGCCGCTAAACAACGGAAAAGACGTATTAGACTTTTTACTGAAGAAGAAAAATCCCCAAAATCTGGAAGTGATTCTTCAAAAGTTGCTCCACAGAGTAAAAAAGTTTGTTTTACGCCTGAATCTTCACCACCAAAGTCAAAATCTATAACTGGATCTATTTCAGAATGTAGTAAGTTAGGTTTCTGATTAAGAGTTGTGTCTGAAGATATTTTCCGATTAAAGTCATGGTATCAATAAATGCATATCTTAATTTACAAATTTAACGGAAGTTCTGACGATATTTGCGAACCTAGTACTGTCTCATGAAGTATGACCTGTCGGTTACACTCATTTTCAACAGGAGTGACTAGTAGGCTTTTAGTTATCTGAACACGAAGTGAACAGATAATTTATTCTGCGCTATGGAAAGTGATATTTTCCTTTGTCGAGCTTTTTGTTTTCCTAACGTTATCGGCAGTAAGCGGTCTACTTCGATATTACCATTATATCATGTTGTACACTGCTGTACACTGTACACGGAAAAGTTGAAAACTTCGTTATTATTTACTGTGTTGCGTTTTCGTACTCAAATTGTTTCCAGAAGAACAATACTTTTTATTTAACTATCGACTTGTAACCAACAAAAATATTTCAACGTCATGGTTCATACGAAGTATAGCATACATCCTAAATTTCACTGTCAGAATATGCTTAAGTTCACCTACACAAATTTGATGCATTTCGAATTTACGTTGATTTTTTAAGATTTCATTTAAATTTATGATTCACGTTTATTGTTTTAAAATGAACAGTATTTTCATTATTGCTGAGTAGTAACTACCTGTATTGTGAAATTGATGTGACCACTAGTTAAACACGCTAAAACATTGCGTAGTTTAATGAAGTTATTGTTTTAAAAGTACAATCGAAGCTTATCTTTTGCTCATCAGAGATAAACTCAGAGGAGATATTGACGTCACCTGAGTGCAATGACTTGCTGAATGAAAAAATCAGCATAGAACCTAGCGCACAGGCTCTACACTTCACATTAGTACATAAATAGATGGATCAAAAAAGTGATATCAAAGAAAAAAAATGTAGTGCGAGAGAAAAAACAATCAGGGGATAAAGGTTTGTGTGAATATGTGAGGAGCGAGTAAATTTGCGCCATTGTGAATGATTTTCAACCATATCACTGAGAGTCCTCAACCACTCACTCCTTTCGTCTCAGGGACCACAATTAGGCAGTGTACATCTACCCACACGACTTAGGTCAACAGTAAGAGACTTTATTAGCTTGTACCAGGTCGTGGTCTAGCCACCCTGAACTCTCTTCCAACCTAGTCCTGATTCCCCTAATGCGGCACGTCGAGGTAGGGGGTGGTTTGATATGCCCAGTCAACTAATGTCCACCACCTGATCAATCGAATCACCTGTCTACCGTAGTACCCTTCGCCTGACTTTAACATTGCTCACATGAAAACATCTCTAATCAAAGCCCTGTAATCTCTTCATATCTCCTACTTCTGATGGCCATGTCTCACAGCCGAAGAACAGTACAGAACGGACCACAACTCAGTATACTCGTCCTTTGAAGGATAGTCGGACATATCGCCTGTTAGCGTCAGAGATGACGCAAGTTGCGGAATGTCAAACAGGCTGAGATTTCGTCAACAACCAGACCGTCCGAGTTGATGCAACTACCCACTTAAGTGAAGTGGTCAACACATTCCACCACTTCACTCCCTATCATTAAACTGGAAGTACTTCTTGCAGTATCATCATGCATTTGACAGGTGATAGCAAAACGCATGCCAATCATACTCAGATTTCTGTTCAACTCGTCCAGAAAACACTGCATTTGGTCAGCGTCTTCACTTGGCGAGACAGTATCGTCTGCATACTGCAAGTCAACCAGATGACCTCCAGGAGTAGGTCAATCCCTGTGAATCCAGACATACGTGCATACCTAAGGTTATGTCCAACAGGACGTCTCTGACGAAGTCAAATAGGAACGGTGACAGTGGACACCCCTAGAGAACACCAACAGTTGTCATCAATTCACATAACAACTCTCCATAAGCCCTTAAACAGCTGCTCGAGTTCCAGTAGAGAGTTTTGATTAGCTTAATGAACTTACTCGATACTCCGTTCACAGTCAGACACTGTCACAACATCTCACGGTCAACATTTTCAAATGCCACCTTCATATCAAGAAACAGAGTATCTGTTGGCTAACGGTCGGTGGGTGTGCTTGTGTTCCATGACCTGTTTAAGAGTGGAAATGTTATCGATGCACTCTCACCCAGGTCTGAAACCTGTCCGATATTCTCGAACTCCAGTTAGGCATCGGATAACTACGGATCCTAGTATCCTGGACACAATATTAGTCAAACTAATTTCCTTCTAGTTATCACAGGAAGAATTCTCTCCTTTCATATAGGGTGATATGATCGATCAGTGAAGCACATTAGTTTAAGGGCACCACTTGTGATTCCCATTCACTATCTAGTACCTCCATCACTTTAGTCAGCACTCTCCTACTCCTATCCTCGAAAATGTCAGGTCTTGTTGCGTTGCATCGTCTAAAGTTCGATATAGCTTTCTCAACTTCAAGTAGAGTTGGAGGACGACATCTAGATCTCATTCAGGTTCAGGCTGGATGTTTGGCAACTGAAGCGTTGTTGATTATCAGTTGAACTGTGCTTCAAAGCATTCTGTCCAACGTTTTTGCCGGCTGTTCTGAGAGGTTATTCCAGGGTGTTCCATCCTTTTCAGTGATGGTCTCTGCACGTCGTCTTCCCTTGCCGGTATCTTTAACAAACCTAAATGTTTGCTGAGTGCTGCCCAACGCTGAAGCCTTCTCCACCATCTCTCTCGCTCGCCTTCGCTACCCATCACTGCTCGCTACCAACGCAAGTAGTCGTGGTCAGGTCAACTTGCGTTTTGGTTGCTTTCACTCTTCACCATGGTGAAGATGTGTTTTTCATTTACTCAGCTTCCCTACTTGGGTACTAAAGTCGGCTGGCATTATTACTTTATCTGAACGTTTTAGGAAGTTGACAGCTTCTCATAAAATTCATCCTCTGCATCATTCGAACTACAGTCGGTGGGTGAGTAGGGGGGATATTACGAAGATGCATCGGTTGGTCTCACGATCCTTCCTAGTCCATACACATCTATTCAGTTTAACAGCACATAGACAGCTGTCGACTGGTCTCCAGTAGAGGAGGGCACTTCCTCCTCTACAACTCAATATTTTGCCTACACCGACGAGTCCACGAGAGCTAGCCAACTAGGTCTCCAGATACTCTCAAGGTTAATTTTGAAGACTCACTACTATGGTTAAGTGAGGTCAATTCAATAACCACACTCTGGTACTGATACTGGTACTGTGTCAAAGACACAGCATACATCCATGGATAGAAGTTCTAGAGTTTTGGTGTCCAATTTGGTATAGAGTTTGGACGTTGGAAGCTCCAACATGAAATCTATGGTGAGGGCGATCTTAGGAGACAAGGAATGAGGTTTCGATGTTTTTGATCGTTGACAAGGGTTGCAGAGTGAGAGGTTGGATAAGGTCTAGGAGGCCTAATATTAATATCACGAAATGTGGGCTATGGAGGTGGTAGAATTGGGGACGATAAGTTATGTTTGATTGGATCTTATGTAGTACTAGAAGCGTGCCAGCGGTCGGCAATTGTTGGCTTCACACACCGTGGGTATCTGTTTGTTTGTTGAGGTACGTGAAACAGAAAATGATTTTTGTGACTACGCGTCCCATGAGATATCAGGTTTAGATTTACCAGATGGTTGTTTGTAGGTTGGTGTTTCGAGGTTTCGGTGTTCTGACGTTGGCTAGGGAGAGCTCATTCCCTCGGCACTCGTAGACGTTGGGATATGGTGTAGTGTGTTATTTTTGGTCGCCGACGTTTTATAACCACCGGTTACGTTGAGAGGACCTCATCAGCATGGCACTGCTGGTCATCCAAGGGAGACACTTTTTTGCTAGCAGCACGATTTCGCATTCAGACCCTTTTAACAATGGAGTAATCTACACTACAACAGTAACGTCTTTGCATCCTACCTGTATCCAACAGACTTTGCGCTGTAGAACCTCGAGGGAACAAGCATTCCACCAGCGTAGCCCATCGGGTCACTGTGATATGGAACTCGACCGCCATGTCAAGATAGCTATTTTCAGTCGCGGTCGAGTGTGACGAAAGCAACGCGATTCAAATATTTTTTGTTCGTTTCGTTATCATCGTAACTGTGATTTCAGTGCGAGCAGAAAGCAGTCATGCATGTTAATGTGTGTGCGTCGTTTGTAAGTCTTCAAGTTTTGTTGTATATAATTTTTTCTAATACACTATCTACCTTTCAGTTGATATATCGTCATCTGTACAAAGCGCACCGACGAGTGTTGCAAGCTTGCCTTTATTTCTTATTACTACTCCGGATCAATTAGGAAATGTTCCCAAAGTTCAGTTTGTTTGTTCAAATTTAGTAGATGGACCGATTATTGTACAGCTCATAAACTCTCTGAATGCGTCTACACGTGGTGAAGAAATTTCTAAGGTTTCTACTTCAGCATCCCGAATATGTGCTAGTCGTGGTGATCGCCGCTTATGGGAACTTGTTTGTCCAGATCGTCTTACTTCTTATGCGTATTCAGAGTAAGTAATATTACATTGGTTGGATAATTAATTAAAGAGATTTCTTGAACTAAATGTTAGCTTGTATTAATTTTTTTGGCTTTGATGGTGTAGTGATAAGTGAACCTAACAATCCATTGAAGCTCACAGGTGCAAACGTTTTTATTCAGCTTTGTACTGTTTACCACTTAAATATTAGGTGCATGAGGTGTAATTCGTTGTGTAGTCTTTGAACAGTAAAATTTTACTGATTCTTATGAAGGCTTATATAACCAGTTGGTTCTTTTTAGCTTGTACACCGTATATAGGACTCACATTTCTATGGATAAACTTGCACTTAATTATAGAGTTACATTGTTTATTGTTAATGTTTAATTGGAAAACGGTCAAAGTTTTTGTTTTTATTCCAGTGAAGTTGTTGCTGTTGGCGACAATAAGGGTCGAATTCAGCTACTGTACAGCACTGGTGGCCGAATATGCCCTAATTTATTATTGGATTCTGTACATACGCTGGCGCTTACAACAGAACCGACTGGAACAGCAAAGTTGACATCAATCAATCAATCATCAGTCAGTCGTATTTCCGTAGCTTGCACAGAATCTTCAAGTAACAATCTTAGCCGGCTACATGCAGTTGTCAGTGGTAATGAACAGCGAACAAATTTTATGAATGGGAATTCTATTGCATTTAATGGCAACAGCATCAATAAATTTAGTATGAATCGTAAATACCGGTTAGCTGCTTTATGTCGATCTGGAAGATTGATAATATGGAACTTTTCTTTGATCGATTCTGGTTTAGGTTCATTACCCACGGTATTCAGTTCTTGTATATTTCCCCAAATCCTTGTGGAAACACACATTAGGGATGTTTTAAATGGTAAGAATTTTAGTGGTTAACACTGTTACAATTGATCAATTCCTCTCTTTTCTAATGATACTTTTCGAATCGGAAAGTGAATGCATAAATGAGCATGTAACGCATCATAAATCTAACAAATACTCTTTCACGGTCAATAGTTCAAATACCACTCAAACCTATCGAGGTTTGGGCAGCCAGGTAATGTAATTAACCCTCATGCAATAGGTGTGGTTCATTGCCTAATGTACAAATGTGCACAATGTTTCGTTCCCCAGCTTGATGTGGTACAGTTTAGTTTTTATTGGAATGCATACTGGTTAACTGTTATATTAGAAGTTCGGTAACCGGACAATTTTTGATTTGATTTCGGTATCTACCCATGGCTATTACCATGTCAATAATATTTCTTGTTTGTCAAGGCAATCTAAAAATAACCATGGTAAAAAATTGCGGTGGAGATGTCGCTTATCTAATCTCATTTCTCTTTTTCTATAAGTTGGTCATATGCGACTAAGAATTTATTTGTGGTTATAGCGCGAACACTCAGAGCGGATATCATACGTGATTATTTTTTTACACCCTAAATACGATCATCTTTAGCGGTCATTGATCTAAGTAAAATTGTCATCTAGGGGTGATCATCTGTCATAAGTCGCATTTTATTCATCATCAGGTAAAATCATGTCGAATGAAATTTACTGGGTGATGATTGAAGGTGGGATGGAAATTTGGATCGCGGTCGGATTCGAACCAGCGACTACCGAGGTTCCGGCATGGTGCTTTGCCAACTGACCTACGAGGTCCAACCGCTGATCAGAGATTTAGCAAAACTGATTATTCTAATGTCATGGGTATATCTCATTTCCTACGTCACCTAAACGTGTTTAATTAAAGTTAGTAGCAGATTCTAAATGAAAATTGCCGCTGTACATTGTCTTCCTACCTCATTTCCGAAATACGTTATGAATAAGAGATTTCGTGCACTACAAACCAACCTCATTCAGTCTCACAAACTAGGATATTTTTCTGGATTAAAATGACTTAAAACTAGATGATTTTTAACTTAGTAGTGTGGTTTATCAATATTAATTAGCTTAAGTTTGTGAATAGTCCTAACCAGTTTAATGTCGTTATTGAAGTTGAACTGATTAGGAGGGCTGGCTAGGTAAAGCGTTTGGAATTCATTCCTGAGTTTCGCATTACCTCTTCTTGTTTCTCTGACAACTAATCTATTAAAATCCCTATGTGATTTGATACCATCATATTGGTTTTTTATTCAATTTATATTCCAATTGGTTGGATTTTATGCACTGATATCATCAACAGCATCTTTAAAAAAATGAAGTTAATTGGTTGATGGATAGTAAATAATGAGTGAAGTGCATGGGATGTGTAGAACCAATCATTTGTAACCTCGTCTCTTTCAATAACATACTTATTTAAGTAGCACAATTCTCAAGAGGAAGCAGCGGGATTGGAACCAGTGACCAGTCGGTTGAAAGTCAAGTCTGCACCACAGAGCATCGACTCATGACCTGAAAAGGTATAAAATCGATAAAAGTACTGTTTAGCCCGTAAAGATTATATATACTAGTCTATAATGCACATTGGCCATGGTAATAGAAACTGTGGGGTTCGCTCTGTACGTTTTTTTTTCATTCAGTGACGAGTAAGCCCCATGGGACTCATCATGAAGTAAAAAGACAGTCTCGAGGAGAACATTTTCTCTTAGATAATTTCCTTTGCTAAAGCTGGAAAATATAGTTATACACAAGTATATCATTGATGAGTAGGTTCGCGTGACTACTGTTGTGTTGAAGAGTAAAGTAAAACGTTTTGTTAAGGGTAGAAATTATATAGCAATAAGTTATTCATAAGACAGTTGTCGAAAGGGGTGATTCAGTGCATTTCTTCTGTTTACAAAGTTTGGATTTGAATTGGCTTATTGCCAAAGCCTATTCTATGCACAAATTGGGAAATCGCGTTTCTTTCAAACCCTTTGTTTTGACTTTATAAACAGTGATAAAAGACAACTGGCTCTGGGACCAAAAATAACCAGATTCTCGAGCATTGGGTTGTTTGTTGATTTGCACTCACTTCTTGACAATCGAGCCCAGCTGAATAATTCTGTCAAATGCGATCACAAAGAGCTCGCTCTGTGTGTCTAATGTGACCAGGTCCACAGGTCAACTTGAGGTGACCCAAAGCTGCTACTTGTCCTTAGTGGATGCGTGTAACAGTTGTCGACTATAGAAGACTATCCAGAAAGTGAAACTCATTGTCCACTTCGGAATCTATCATAAGCCTGATTAGTTATCGGCAAATATTAAAATTTATAATTATAGTCTCTAGACTACTCTTTTAACAAACAACATGATTTTATCATCCATGTGTATCTTATATTAGTGAAACTGTTCAGTCACGGAGCCATCTAAGCTTCTGTGAAGCAATCTACCCATAGGTATAAAGAGGTGATCGCATTGTTTCTTCGTAACTCCTTCTGTGGGACTCTTTGTTAAATCGAAACTAAATGCTCAAAGCTCAGTGCATAAGGAGTACTCCTAGATAATGTGTTGAAAATGAAAAAAACAAATAGTTCCTGCTGTGTACCTATCACGAACTAAAGTCTTGGAAGATCATACACAAACGAGATAGATTGGCGTGCATAATTGAAATAACGAAGTCAGACGACTCTTATGAACGATGTTTATTACTTTAGTTTCAAGTTAGATAGTCCCCAAGAAGCAATAACAGACATTAGAGTGGTGTATATGGATACATTTCATTATTTTGGAGGTTCTTATCATCTGCATACAACCTGGAATATTTAGAATAATAAATTACAATAAAATATTAGCATACTTTAGTGAAGTGAATTCGAACGGGGCGAAGTGCATTCAGCAACCTTGTGGATATTCGTGCGTCAGGCAGTGAGTCATATCTATTGTGTGTAGGCTCCTGATACTACCTGGCTGCCTAAACCTCTGTAGGTGGAGTGAAGTTTGAGCCAGTGACCCAATGGTTGAGTTCAGTCGAAACCGGACAGCAAATTTGCGAAATGGAGAAACTGTTCTAATTAAAATAAAGTCAAAATATCATGTAATGATGTCATCTCAATAGAACGAAGGTTTTTTCATGAAGTAGATGGAGGCGAAAAAACGAATTCCGAAGAATTAAGATGAGATTGTACGCCAAAGAATATGTAAATTAGTAGTTATCAGAAAACAAGTTGTTGTACAACATAATGAATAAAACTCAGTCGATTAAGCTTGAGGTTTGATGTGAAGCCATTGCAGTCAGATAATTCTTCGAAAGGAATCTATCGTCTGTCTCCTACTACCCTGATAGTTTAATTCCTAACATTCCACTCATTTGTTTGCGTCACTATTCTGTTATTGGATTTTTATTAACATTAAACCCCAATTTTAACCGAGTGAATTTTGCTCATTTTGTTCTATTGTATTTTGTTTTCTGATTACTACTTATATGATCATCAACCTACGTAAATGCTTGCTCTAAATTCCTCAATATTCGTTTTTCTGTCCCCATATAATTTTTCCGAGAACTTTCATTCTGATAAGGTGATATCGCTACATGACATTTTAACTTTAATTTAGAGGTTTATGGGGATTTATTAATCGGTTTCAAGCTGGTATTCATCACTGACTCACACCAGTTGCAGAACTAATGGAAACTTTGGGGCCCTAGACGGATGTTCCGTTTTAATACGGAACTCCCCGGCAGTGCGCATCCATGACCCTCTCCAGGGGTCGAACACAGTACCTTTAGGCTGCACGGCTAACATACTACCATTGAGCCTCTGGATCAAAATCCAATGGTCCACATTTTCCCACTTCTATCAGTATACGATATAATGCGACCTTCATCCAGTTTCATCGTTGAGTAGCTGTCCTCGCGTTTGCCTGGGTTTATCCTACCGGTGACGACTTACAATTAGAACTTCGGGAATCTCATCTCGAAGCAGTTCACTAGTGAACAATAGATAGTAATTCAATTTGGAGGTTTATGGTCATTTATTTAGTGATTTCAGGTTTGTATTCATCACTTTATTTTAATTGGGACAGTTTCTTCACTTCTCTATTTCGCTGTCAGGTTTTGTTTGAACTCATTAAAGTTAAAGCAAGTTAATATTTTTCCATATTAGATTTGTTTATTTGATATAAAGCGCACAGTGATACAGTATTATTTACTTGATAACGTTTCGAGCATAAATTATTGTTCATAATCATATCAATTTAATCACACTTCTTTCGATATCTGATTTTATAGTCCTGTCACTTGATCTCTCTTTGTTTTTTTGTTTTTTGATTGGTAGTAAAGTTTTCCATATCTCTGGTATAGGTGTTGCGTCATTCCTATTACATGTGTTGGGTGTGGATTCGATGAAGAAAGATTCAGTAATTAATCTCTCTCTCCACCTGTCTATATTAGACTTAAGTACAGTGGTTTTGTCCCACCCTATTGTGTGGTTGTGTGTTAATGAATGTAATGCAATGGCCGAGTGTTTTTCTAGGTTATTGATCTTATTGGGGTCTGCCGTTCTATGTTTAGCTAAATTCCTATGTTCTGTTAATCTAACTGACCCCGACCGGCTAGTTTGACCTATGTATTTGACTTCACAGTCATTACATGGAATTTGGTAGATTATATTATTTTATTATTATTATTATAAGAACCTCTGATATAATAAAATGGATCCGTATTATTCTGCTCCAATGTTTGTTCATGCTCTTTTAAAGTCGATTAAGGGAAATGTGTTTATGGAACTGGATTCCGTCATTATTTGCATTTATCTTGGTTTCCTTTTGCTTTCTTGTACCTTGATGTAGTAATGTGTGGTGTGGTAACTTGGATGGATGTATTCCTTTACTAATAGTAACTGACTGACAGGATTAAGTCATTTAACATCCTCATTCTGCACTAATTAGTCACTTGGGACTAACCAGTTTCATGTTGCCTTGTCTTAAATGCTGATTGAGTTCCATCGATAACTTCACACTGTGATCACCCGACTAAGATACTCACCTCAGATATGTGCTGTGATTGGTTCTAGTTGGTTGAAGACAACGTGCATGAAGCTTTGGATTTAGGTTTCGTGCTTGATAGCACCCGTCGCCAAGGTGTATTTGCAATCTTCAGAGAACTGATATCCCCCCGTCCAGGATTCGTACCCACGTCGCTCAGTGCTGTGATCAGTAGCCGTACCACTGAGTTATTTAGATTCAGGACTTGCTTTGATCGCCTCCGATAATGTAACATCAATAAAAGTTCACTGCGGAGATGAGGTCCTTACCTGGTGACCGGATTGCAGAATGATCGATAGAATTTGGTCACCATTCAGGACTAGAATAACATGAAATTGGTTACTTTCCAGTGACCAATCAATGTATGTAATCCAATGTTAGAGGAAGTCAATTGCAACATGAATAGATCAATATGAAAGTCGCTAACTACCACGCTTGGTGTCGCATGTTCAAATCTCAGTTCCCTAGAAGTTGCAGATATGCCTTGGTGACGAATACCGAAAAGCACGAAACCTGGGTGCTGGGCTTCTTGCCTGTTGCCTCCAACCAACTAACACGCTTGTTAAGCTTAGCATTTTAAGTTGGTCAGTACGGAAAAGGGCTAGATTTTAAGTGGTTTTGTATATTCAAATGTGCCACTTTATCATTCACTAGCATATTTATTGATCATGAAATTGTCCATTGAAACGTATTATCTTAAAGATCTTTATTTGCCTAATCTATTTTCGCACTAACTTACTAGTTGCTCATGCATTGTAAATTGTATAAATTTAATGACATTTGTTTTATCTGATTTAGGTGGTCGTAATTCTCGATTCGGTTCTCTAACATTTGGTCCGAATGGGTATCCTGTAGTATATTTGCAAGATAATTCATCGTACTTATTTCATATAGAAAGTCGTATTTGGTGAGTTTGAACTGTTGTCAGTTACTCATAATTTCATGACACGATCAGTTTAGGAGGGACTAGTTTCCTTAGTCAATTACAACTGAGACATAACATTTTTAATGAATTAACGGAAGCTTCTCGGGATATTGTGTTCGTCACCTGACGTAGTTGTCTCTGTTACTGATACTCATTTCAGTCGGTTCTAACCGTTGGTATTGCACGAGGTTTCTGTTTTGAGATTTTATCCTACTAACACTAACGGTGATTCTATGGTCCATTCTAGCAACCAATTACATAAGCACTCAGCTTTCTTTATTTTATGAAAGCATCTACTAGCTATTTCTAAGATTGGCTTATAGAGTCACTTTCCCTAACGTCACATCAACAGACTCAGAAAGGAGAAAAGTTAATCGTGCTAGCCCACAATAAACAGTAATGTATGTATACGTCAATTTCTTTTATCATATCCAAAGTTTCTTGTTTGGTCACCGTATATTGAATAATTTGGATAAATATGTGCGAAATCTCCTGATTTCTGATATTTTTGTTCTGTGTTGCCTGTCCTACCTTTATACGGTAACAGAATGTCAATAAAATAATTTTATAGCGAATAGTTTTTCTATTCCTTCACCGGTCCTAAACTAGGTTTTCTCAAAAGCGTTTTCCACTTTCTTTTTTCATTCTTCTGAGTAGGAAACATAGATCACCTTGTTTTGACCAGACTGATTTTCAGGCTTATCATGTATATCAATTAGTAAAGCGAAGAAACGGCAATGTGTCGACTGAAAATTCAAGTAGGACGCTAACTCCGATTTGTTCAACTTTATATACTGTTTCTAAATCCACCAGTTTTATCTACCCTAACCTGTGTATTGTTTCTTGCATTTTGGTACAAATTATAGGATTGAGTTATTTGATGCTTCTGATATGATGCGTTGTCAGTTTGCTGTTAACTCTGCACGTGGTTGCCCACCAGGTCCATTATCTGCTATTCAACAGCTGAATAAAACAATCAACAGTGGTCAGAAGCTCAACTCATCCATGAGTTCAAGTTCAAATGCAATGTATGTCTTGAGCTGCTTTTAATGTATCTAATTCCTTATTTTGTGTCCTAGAGTTACCTGGCCGTATTTGTGTCCAAGACGTTTTGCAACATTCAGTTTTTTATTCTTCCTTATAAACATTCCCAATTGTTTTGTTTTAAATGAGTGGAGATCAGTCGAACTAGTTCAAACTAGTTGATGGCAATCATTATTGACTTTTCTATAATTTCGGTATGCATTATGTGGTTCAGTAATACAAAGGTGATTTTAACGGCAAGAAAAATAGCTGTATCAGCAGTTATGAAGTAATGATGTGTCATTGAAAGTTCGATAATTGTTGTCTTGTATACACTTTGGTTCTTGTTTATTCTTTTTCCTGATGGAGATAAACATTTTTACTGTTCGTTTAGTAGTCGAAATACTCAGAATTCTGTTACTAAAAACTTGTACAAGCAACCCATCATATATCAGTTCATCAAGATTGGTTATCAAATTACTTATGAAGAAATTATTTAGGGTTGTAAATTGTGAATATGATGGATTTACTGTCCTTCAGAAGAGGGTAATGTTCTGTATGAGGAAATGGCCAATCCCGCTTGTTGTTTTTTAACGGTAACATTCAACGAAACAGTTCTTCCTCAGCCTGATTAAATTAATTCCCTGCTAAATTTGGCGATGTTCTTGAATATTCAGAGCTCATGAAATGCCAAGTAACTCATTTTTATCGTGTGCTGTAAAATCTAAAGTGAATTACTCAAGCTGGTCTTGCTAATTTATGCCAAACGTTTGAAACAATTTATTCAGTTTATGCACACAATTTATATCTACAATATATATATATATATATATATATATATATATATATATATATATATATATATATCAGATTTTGATCCCGACAAAAATTGAAATCATTAGTGAAACGTAACTAGCGGGATACCTCCTACGAAAGTAGAGAACTAATTTTTTTCCGGAATATGAGTTTCATTTTCGTTATTCACTGGCACACATCAAAAAAATCATCAGTATCATTTACTACTGCACCGACGACATACCTTTGCATGCTGCACCATTGAAACATCCCTTGTTTTTATTCACTAAACATGTGCATCTCCAGTTTAATAACATGCTATTCTGACTTACTGACGAAGTAACTATGACCAGTCTACTACAGCTCATATTAATAGATAGTAGTAGTTCAGAAGAAACTACTATAAAATCATAAATAAAGTCACGGTTTATACCAAGTTTACCAATGACCGACAAAATAATACAAACACGATGACACTACTAACACAGGGAGATATGAAGACTAGATGCAAATAGCGACTCTTCCATAAACCTGATACTTCACTTAGCCGCAAAAATCAGAAGACAAAGACTGGTCTGTGACTGCAAGGAAAACTTTATTTGATGAAAAAAACATTTATATACGTATTTTCCTCAGAGTATAATGCCACTAGTTCCGAAGCTGAGTACTTATGTTGATTAGTCAACTGCAGAACAAAGTCGTCCAATAAGATCTTCCCTGCCCACACAGTAACACGAAATAAGGTTGAAATCCAAAACTTCTACCTTAGCAACTGGTGACAGAATGCTGATTTCATTTTAGACCGTTTCCTATCAGAAAGTGATAAATATGAACAAAGCATTCGTCATACAACAGGTTGATGTGAACACTATTCAAATTTAGTTTATGAATTTTAAAGTAGATAGTCAGAACATCCTATCAAAGAGAGGAAAAACTTTGTTCCAAAGATGAAATTAGATCATTTGAAGAGTATTTGCGTATCTGTGGATATCCGATCAAGTTTATTCAAAAATGACAAAGGCATAAGCAAAGAAAATCAGTTCAATGCTATAAGAAATAGCCTTTTTTATTAAAACAAAAGAATGTGACAGGGAGAGTTGATGAAAAATGCTTAACTGAGACATAACCGGTCTCTAATTTGGTGACAATGTATCAAATCAAGTATTACGTTGAGCAATTTAAAGTACACAGCTTTGCTGAATCTTTACCCCCATCTATCTATCAATTAATATATGTTGAAGTAAGTAGGGCGGAAATCAGAGACAGATATCTGTCATAGTCTCAGAACATGCTCCATATTTCTACATCCCCTGAATTCAAAGTCACTCAATAATCTGCCATATGTTTGACTGCTAGCATCGCACAAAAATCACCAGTCTTTAGAATTTTATACTGGCTATAAGCATCACTACTATCTGGGATTGCGGAGTCCGGAAGAATCTGATGTGATTTATGTATTCCGTTGCCCAAGTAATTTTTGAACAATGCTAGTCTTTTTCATCATCAATTTACTCTCTTTAAGATAGTACTTATCGCGAACTGACATCACTTGGGTAACCATTGAAAGCATGAGAGCGGTAGACAGCTGTTCCATCCTGTTATGGGATTTCTCCGTATTATGCAACGATGACCCTGTTATTTATGGAACTCAGAACCTTCAGCTTTCACGGTGAATGCATTATCCATGTCTTTATACTTTTTCACAGACTGTATAATTATTATTGATTTCATCCTTCTTATCATATTGACTTTAAGAATTTTCATACTATTACCTGATCATATCCATTTGTAAGGAAAATTTGTCAACCTCAGTTATTATATATTTTTTGTACCTCTCTGGTTGGACAGAGAAATATTGGATTGAGCACATTTGGACTTTGCATGTGAAGCATGTGCATTGCATTTTCCCACTCATCTGTTGAGATTTTTCCAGGTTTGCCTGCCAATGAAAAGAGTCGAAGGAATAAAAGGACACAGTCTTATGCTATATATGGTGTTATGATTGCTTTACCTAAATTTCAATATTTTGCATTATTTGTCGATTACCTCAAACATGTAACTTGACACTTTTTCTTATTCTGGTTATCATTCAGTTCAGCATCGTCTAGAAGAATCCTAAATCAGAACTTCCTTGAATCTCAGACACAACTTGCTCTGATATTTGGATCTCCAAGTGAATATCGCTACTGGCTCACACGATGGTTCCGTCAGCTTATTGAAGATAGTAAGTTTTAGAGTGTTTCAATTAATACAATCTGCGTTAAGTTTCATTTGATTTTCCTATCTCCATCAGTACACTAACCCCTTTTTATATACAGAAGATCTTTTTCTGTTTCCTGATGCTCATTTCTATTTCCTACCAACACTTTCTGTTCTGTTATGTGTTCAACTTCTTCGGGTTTCGTATCTGCAGTAATTATCCCTGGCTTAGAATTAAAACACCTAGTTGTCTTCTAACGAGTTATCAACAAATGGTCGGGTTAAAGAAGTATAATTCGTAATTTTTGACTTTCAAGATGATATAGGTAGGTTGAGCAAAGGACAAAAGCAGCTAAGTGGTATTCTTAAAATTCCAGATATGCACTGATGGATTACTGCAACTGTTAGAGTCATGACAGTCAACTTTGGCAAAATATTAATTGATTCGGTAACTTCTGGCAGAATTATATGATGATCAGAAACCCCTAGCCAAAGGTATTTTGCTGAGTTATAGCTCGCCGGTATGCGCATGGATTTTCATTCAGCAGACCGTATTTCCTAACATACCGAAGTTTGACTTGCCGCATATTATAAACTCCTCCATGCAGTGTTGGGCTCATAACCTACAATACGAATATGTACGAGATTTCTGAGTTGCTTTTATGTATCAGGACACCAATGTTTGCCAGTCTGATATATATTTGATTGTGTGATCTGACAGATGTTAAATTCAAGTTTCCGAATTCATTCCTAAAACAGAATCGTCAACTGGTAGTTTTAGGATACCTATTAAAATAGTACCCTATAGCCAGAGGTTAGTAAAACCTTACTTATCTTAAAAACTGCCCAAAGTAGTATCGTTGCAACTCAGATTAAGAGAGTCTATGGCTATGTGTCAAAGTAATTGAACTGGGTAGTGTTCAATTGTGGAGATAAAGAGTCAGAATTTTACCTCAAATTCTGTAACGTAACTTAGAAGGATTATCTCTAAGTTGAACTGGTCAGTTAAGCCACTTTAATGATGAACGAGACCGTTCATCTAACAAATGAAGTAACTGTTAGTTATTGACGGCAATGTTTTTAATTAACTCCTTTTTAAAAGAGTTTAGCAGATCTGTCGAAAGGAAATATCTGTACATCTAAGAATGCAGATCTGTCATGCCAACTACTGCGAGTGTGGATATTATTCAGAATATGTTTTCTTATTCCTTACTGCCTTGAATTGGTTATTCTTATTTTAATTTCATCTCAAATAAATCTGCACTCAACAGCAACAAATACCTTTTTTGTCAAATTAGGAGGTCTTGATCATCATGTGTTTTATTTGAACTAGGGAACATCAAATGCGACAGTAATAAACATGTGTAAGGCGTCATAAATGCAACAGAAAAAGGAATCTTTGGTCCTTTGTAGAAACTTGGAGTGTGTATACTTCCAGTCCCCCACTTAAATTATGTTTCTTCATAGGAAAGTGATATTCGAATCCTTATGAACATGTTTAGTATCATCGCACTTTGAATTAGGCTTATCTAGGTACTAAGAACTTTAAATGAGCAAAATAAATCGATGAATAATATTTTTTTTCTCTGACTAATGATGGATCAATTCGAAATTCTATTCACTTTAAGCCTAAATATAATGGTTGGTTTATCAGTCGTTTGTAGTTTTGCTCCTACAAATCGCGCATTTTTAGAATATTTCCAAGTTGCCGTTTTGCAAGTTGACAGTAAAGTTTTTTTATTCATATCTCATCTCAGACCTAACAATAACTGGTCATTACACTTTATTACTAGTGTTGCTGTGATGCTACGATCTTTACGTTTAAAAATTTTGTACAAAGTGTAAGTTTGTTTAAGTATTAGGCACTGAGAATTCTATACTGCATCAAGCATATTGTTTGGTGTAAAGTGGTGATTAGTATAAATCCCTGACTGTTGATCTGAGCCGTGTGAGGAGATGCAGACTACCTGTCTGGGGTCCACTAGGCGTTAGGGATCACCAATTGGTGGTATGGCGGAAAATTGGTCATAGCGGCGCACATGTATTCACTCCTTGACATCTTAAGCTTGAATATTTGCACTAACTTTTATCTTCCAATTGTTTACTCTCTCACACATCAGTCTTTCCTACCCACCTGTACTTTGCATACCACTTTGAAGTGCGGCAACTTGAGCTGATGCACTTTTGTGGGAGGTCCCACTCTGATGTTGTTAATCTGGTGCTTAATATCATCATTGGTTTGTCAAACGACAATGACAGGTACCCGTTGTCGCGAACATCTGTTTGTGCTGACTCTTGTGGAGCTAAATAAGACCACATTGTCAGTACGTGCTGGTAAACATATCCTAGCATAACTGTTTGCTAAAGATACTGGAAAAAACAACATTTTCAACTTCGAGCATATTGCCTTTTCAGGTCATGCAGTATTTATACGAAGTCAGTTCACTGTTGTACATACAGTGAGATTTCAGTTATCTCTTACTACATTGGCTGTTGCTATTCATGAAGCGAACATCTAAACCTTGTGTTCAGAAATGTTTTGCTCAATCTCTTTCATTAGCACGGTATCACCGTTATAACTCTGTGACTTCTGTCTTATGATTCTTCCTGTAGTCTATCTCCATTCTCTTCGTTATAGTTGTGCTCTATGTATTATATTACTGTTAATTTTCTCGTGCGTACTATTTCTGTTTCCTAGCTACGTCTTTGTTACAGCAAGCACTTCTGGACTGTATTCACTCCCTAATTCTTCAGCATTACGTAGGAGCAACTCGATAATTCTTACGGTATATATATATATATATATATATATATATATATAATTTGTTATCCGATCCGCAGTTCTGAGTCTTGTTACTAACTTGCACTTGACCTTCGTCCCTTGTTGGAATTTTCCAGAGTATTTCTTAACTTCTTATCTGTACAACGATAATGAGAAGTTAAGAAAAGTCTTTGCTGATCAACGACTATCTCGGAAATACTTCGCAAAAACTTCAGGTCTGTACTGAAAAAAGTTGATTACCTTCAGTCACTTTTATCCACAAAATATTTATCTTAATGAGGATGTAATAGGGATGGAAGCGACATGCCTTCATAACTTGTATGCAGCTGATTTAGTTTATCTAGGTTGTTTCAAGCTATTCAGACAATATCAGTATATTTACAAGAAGAAATGTGGTAGGAGTTTAGAAAAGTGTGTTTGAAAGGACTCATTTATCAAGTTTCTGACAATAAATAGTTAATCTTTCCAGTATTTTAACCAGCAGTGTGAAATTTTGCTCGTCAGTAGTATTAGTTGCATAATTTAAGTTGGAATAATTCATTCGAAATGTTATACAGTACACAACGATAACCCAACAGTAGCTGGCTATTTCGCATTATTCCCTTGCATTCCGTTGTTATTAACATCATTCCAGAGGCTATGATCATGTCGTTTAGAAACATTGTTCTAGGAATAAATTTGTTCAAATATTGCATGCTGTCGTACATATTGTTTGAGATTGTTGTTTTGTGTCATTATCATTAATAACAATGTCTGATTAATTTCCCCGAACCGTATCGTATCAAGGATCAAAAATTGAATTATTGGATTGTCGTGTGAGATCGCATGCGGATGTTTGTATGAAAGATCCTATGGGAAGTCCAGTGGACAATAATTTATTGCAAACTGAACGTGCATATATATGTAAGAGGTAGTTGATATCTTTCCATTTGACTACTGAAAGCAATATGGGATCATCACTTCAAGTTTCTGTAGTTTTTTTTTACATATAATACTATGCACTATCTACATCGTATTGTTTTTCAGATGAGGAAGAGCTCGTCCGGCATATCATTCAGGATCTCATTGGTCCCCCGTCAACTACCGGATTACAGACAAGCTGGCAACCTGAAGTGAAGGTTGGTCTTTCTGATTATATATCCTGTGTATTCAGTATTTTAATATCCATTTGTTCTAACAGCCTATTCAAACGTATTTATCGAAGATTTGACCACCTATTACAACAATCGTGATGTATTTTAGTAAAGAAATAGCCTTTCTCACTGGTTTTTTCGATATTCTGATTAGTGGAACTTCAGCTTTCACTCTCCAGATATTATGCGCGAATCTCTAGCAATTTAACTAGTCACTAAATACAAACAATAAACACTCATCCGTTGTAATCATAAAGGAGTGCATACTGATTCTCATACCTAGTATTAATTTTTCTACCGTAAGTTTAACTGATTTTCTTATGGATAACATCAAAAGACTGACATCTGAAATACTGATGCACTTTAATTCTTAGAACTTACGATTGTTTTATTTGCAGTGTTTCACCTTCAGAAACTGATCTTATAAACAATGACATCTTTCATTCAGTTAGTAGCTATGAGGTAGACTAGACACCATCTCTTAATCGGTTTAAAAATAATCAATAAGACGTTCAGAAAAGCAATTTTCAGATTAATCGTGATTGTGTTGATAGTTCTTCAGCTGAAGGTAAAATCTGATGACCTAAAACCAAACTTTTGACACTCTTGTACAAGTATCATGGGACTGTCATAACCGCATCTTATTTTTAGGGTTGCAACTTTTCTCAGATTTTGAATAATGTAATTAGAAGACGTACATTATCTGAAAAATGTGATGTATTAAAGCCCTTCATTTCGAACGATCTGACCACACATTTACTTGTTATATATGAAAACTGGAAGTGGTTGAAGGACAAATATGACATAAAGGATTAATTTACTTTTCAAAAGGCTTAGTACATTTTGCATTTTATTATTCCTTTGATAAATAATTAACTAACTTGTTTTTAGGCAAGACTAAATATCAGAGCTGTGTATTTGGCAAAAACCAAAAGTTAAGATTTTTATTTAATTCTGCTTCTTTAGTGAGCAAAGTAGGGGATCACTTTTGTCATTCCTTGTTGGCAAAAATATATTTTAGATGCATCTTCACGGCCACAAGTAGACACTCATTCAACTAAAGCATCACATTGTTTCTAGCTCTAGCCGTACACAGGCTTTGTAAAAGGTAACTCTAACTCATGTGAAAACATATGCAACATCGCTGACTACTAAGACTGAACTATGGTGTATCTGAACTCTAGTCGACTGAGAGATGGTTTGAACATGTACTGCGTTTGCGAAGTCACCGCCTACCTTGACATGCTATAATGGAAAAAGTTGGAAGAGGGTTCAGGGCGGCCATACCAAGACGTGGCACCAGTCGATAAAGTCTCTTACTGATGACCTGAGTCGTGTGGGGATATTTAGACTGCTTGTTTAGGTTCCCCGAAATTAAGGTAATCAGTGGTTGAGGACTGTTGGTGACATGGCCGAAAATCATTCACAGTGTATCCACTCCTTGAAATCTTCTAAAGCTTGGATATTTGCACTAATCTTTATCTACAGATCATACATTCTTTCACACAAGTTTGTCTACTTTGATATCACTTTTTCTATCCACCTGTTCTTTGTGTACTAATGTGAAGTGTGGTAACTTGAGCCGATGCACCTGTGTGCCAGCTTCTACGTTGATTTTGCAAGTCAGTCATAGTGTATATGAGTTTTGCAACAATCCTATCTATCTACCTTTTGGCTATAAAAATAAATCACTTAAATTTTGAGGTAGTTGTGGAGATTTGGAATTATTTCAAGTTGTTATTCATCGTAGACTGACATCAGTTGGAGGAACAAAAGAAACCTGGGAACACTGGACAGCTGTTTCGTCCTAGTATGGGACTCCTCAGCAGCGCGCGCCCACGACCCCACCAGCAGGGATCGAACCGGCGACCTTCAGGTTCCCTGGCCAGGTGGGGTCGTGGGCGCGCACTGCTAAGGAGTCCCATACTAGGACGAAACAGCTGTCCATTGCTCCCAGGTTTCCTTTGTTCCTCCAACTGATGTCAGTCTACGATGAATAACAACTTGAAATCACTTAAAATTTATCAACTAGGTGTTCCAGTTTATTCTTGATGTAACGAGCTCATGCAGTGGGAATCGATCTCCTCCTGCAGGATCAGGATCATGACAGCAGGATGGATTCAACTTAAAAAGAAGGAAGGAAAGTCACAATCATAGAATGCTATGCTGCTACGCTACACACCTATAAATAATTCAGATGAAGAGAAGAAGGAGGAATCCTACAGACAACTGAAATCAGTATTGGACAAGACCCCACCGCAGTTGGCAACATGAAAATTTTAATGGGTGGGGTTGGGTTAGGTGGGGTGGGTTGGGGGTTACACGAATGCGAAACTGGGAGCGGACAACACAGGAAGAGAAGTGATCATGGGTCGAGAGGCACTCAGTGAAGTGATGAGTGAGGATGGAGAACTGTTTGCAGACTTCTGTGCATTCAGTGGTTTGTTGATTGGAGGCAGTGTGCACGAGCACAAGGATATTCACAAAGCAACATTGACTGCACCAGATGGACACACTAAAAATCAGATCGACTTCATTTGAATGTGAAGAAAGTGGAGACGCAGTCAGCCTAGTGGACACAAAGAAGATGAAGAAGGTGAGCAGATGTAGGTTCACACCATTCACTAACTAGTGCAAGAAACCTTCAACATGTGGTTGAAAGCCTTCACAGAAGTTGGTGATAGACCATATTTCAAGTTTAACACCCAGAAGAGAAAGTGCAGGGATAAACTTCAAAGGACACCTTGACGTCACTTATGAGGAAAAAAATTGGAAACTTTAAGAAGCCTTGCGGAGGAAACCTGCATGGAAGAACACTGGAACTCCTTGAAAGAGACTTGGAAGAAACTTTGTATAACCGTGTTAGTAAGGAAAAGAGGCAAGATAAGGAGTGGGTCTCCACAGATACATGGAAGCTGACGGAGGAGGGAAAGGAAGGCGGTGGGGCGGAAGATAAACCAGTGTAGTGCATGGATGAACAAGGAAAAGAGGCACTGAACACAACGTATAAAACACTGCAGTGTACGAAAAAGTGATAAAGAGTGCGCGGAATGACAGAAGACATTTTTACGGCACACTGGTAAGTGAAGCAGCACAGGCTGCTGGTAGGAGAGACTTGACAACATTATATCTAATAACCAGTCTACTATCTGGGAGAGAAGAGATCAACACTGCGCAGATGAAACCATTGAAAGGTAGTGAAGGAAAGCTAATTTGTAAAGAGGATAAACAAAGGAAGAAAGACTCTTTAATCGACCACCACCTGCAACTCGTCCAGAAATACCCTCGGCAACTGCAGAATTACCAGTGAACACAAGCCCTCCGACAAAAGGAGAAGTGAAGTCCTGAATGCCATAAAGTTACTGAAATCCGGAAAAGCAGCAGGACCAGATGGAATTCAACCAGAAGCACTGAAAAGAAACTCAGAGACAGCAGGGGACATGTTCACACCACTGTTGCTGAAGGTTTGGAAGGAAGGAAAGGTACCTGTGGATTGATTGGAAGAATGGCTACCTTTTCAAACTTCCAGAGAAGAGCAGCTTCAGGAAGAACAAACCATGTGGGGATCAGATTACAACACTGCACAAATAACTATCATAGGACAGAGCATAGGATGGCAGTCAAGTGTTTGTCTTACCTCAACTTTATCGATTTTGAAAAGGCGTTCTATAGGGTTGATGGAGAAGTAATTTGGTAGGTGGTTGCTTCAACACTACGGAGTGTCACTAGTCTTTATCAAGCTCATTCAACAGTTATATGATGATGATGACGCTACATGCCAAGTGATTCAGAATGGAAAGCTCAGTGACGCCTTTGAAGTGAAGACAGGAGTAAGACAAGACAAGGTTGCCTACTCTCACTGATGATCTTCCTGATTGTGGTCGACTGGATAATGCGAAAATCTGTGAGGAGCTAGAAGATGTGCATACGGTGTTTAACCGATGAAAAGATCCTAGAAGATTTGAATTTTGCCTGTGATGATTTATGTCTGATGTCGCACAAACTCGAAGATGTAGAGGGTAAAACTAAGTAATTGGGAGAAGAGGCGAGGCAGCGAAAAGGGGACTTGAAATGAAGGTAGAGAAGACAGAGGTCGGGTGATGAAGATACCCAAGCAACAACAACAAGAAGCACCGATCGCTATGAACGGAAGAGGCCTAAAGGAAGTAGTCTCTCCCACCTACCTAGGGAGATCAGCATCGTTTTGACTACAGGCGACGGCACAGATGAGGATGTGGAAGCCAGGATAGGAAAAGCCATGCAGGCGTTCGTTAATCTAAAATGAGTGTGGAGATCTACTGCACTTCACTCAACATAAGCGTGAAGAAGATCCGGATCTTCAACACTGATGTCAACTGAGTGCTTATATATGGTTCAGATACATGGCACACTACGAAAATCATTTCCAACAAACTACTGACATTCGCCAACAGCTACCTCCTACACTCGCCCGATAATGAGAATCAGATGGCCAGAATGTTGAGAATAAACCACAAGGAACTCTGGCCGAGCAACGAACCAACGAAGAAGCCATTGCCCAACAAACATGCAGAAGAAGTGTAGATGGGATTGGTTTGGGTCAGATCAGTAGTTGTGTATGGTTGAGAGACTTGGCGCGTTACGGAAAGGATTTCCAACAAACTAAAGACATTCATCAATTGCTGCCACCTCCGCTCACTCGGTATTGATGATTAGATGGCCGGAAAGAATAATGAACTAGGCACTGAGGGAACGAAGCAACCGAGAAGCCATCGCCCAACAAATATGGAGAAGAAAGTGGAGATGGGTTGGATTGAGCATACACTGAGAAGACCGATTTGGGACCTCAGAGGTGGGGCCGTCGAGTGGGAGCGAACTGGGAAGGGACGAGTTGGGAGTCGGAGGCGAGGGTGACATGGAGGAGATGGTGTGGGGAAGAAGTGAAAGCTTGTTGGCTGGCAGTAGTGGATCCAGGTTGAAAAGACTGAAGAGAAGGGAGTGAAGTTGAGACGTGTTATTGAACTTCTATGTTTCGCTTGGAACCCAAGGTACAAATAAATAAATGTATTTAGCCATACAAATTAAACTGAGAAACGATGAGATCGACACGATGAACAAAATATGATTTATCTGTGTGAGATGGAAGCCTAAAGCTTTTATTCCTGGTGATACTAACTTTGTGTAAATTGTCTTCCGAAGCACATGAATCTTATCGTTTTGATTCAACAAAGCTTATTAGCTTGTTAGTCATCTTTCTCTTTCACCCCAGTTATATTATATTCAACCGAGGTGAGTAATCGGAAGGTGAGAAATTTCATATTTGACGTATTGTTTTGCGATATGGTACATGAACCTTCACTTCGAATAACTAAACGGTATGTGCTGTCAATGATTTCGTTTCTGGTGATCTTGCAATCTGTTCTTAAAAACATTCAAAATGTTGTTTGGAAATTTTGTGCAAACGTTTTTTTCAAAATTATGAATTTACAGAAACCAACATATGTGTTTATCTTAAAAATCACTTATGTTTCATTCATTTCTTTTATATCATAATTATTTTAATCCACACTTTTTATCTTTTCTATCTAGGGAATTTCAAAACATGTTTTAGCCAAAGAACTACTCACTTTATTCGCCCTCAATTTGAATTTGCAACGTCTTTATGTGGAACTGAAAGAAATGTTAAATGAAACACAATGTTAGTTATTATGTTTATGTATAAAATAACACCCTCCCAAAGAGCACATATCTTCCATTTCCTTGGTTTTTTCTCATTTATTCTAAATGCCTAAATCGAACACCTTACAATTCTTATTTTCATTCAATATTTTTTGTTACTTATCCCTTCCTTTAGTAGTTATCATTTTTGTATCTGATACTAGAGACTTTTGTTTCTTTCGACATTTTTCTCATAATTATCTGTTATATGCAAACTCAAATTTAGGTGATTTAATAAAACAAACAATAAACATACCATTCTACATGTGTTTCTTGTATGATAACCAATGTAGCAAAAAGCAACGTGATTGTTTTTTTTTTCACATGTAGACTGCACACTTTCAGCATTTATTGTTAGTAACATTATTGACATTACTGTTAATATTACTAAGGAGTATGAATTACAAATACTGATAATGTGATTTCACTTTTCACTAGTTAACCAAAAGGCACAATGTTGGTTAGCATATTTTCAAGTGCTAAGTTGGACATAAGTCATCAGTACAACTTTTACGTAAAGGGAGTGTTTGTGAGTGTGAAGTGTGTAGGATGAAACAGTTGTTCAGTTTACAAAGCTAACAAAGCCCTTGCATACTCCTGAAGCCAAACTTTACATTTCCTCTAAAATGTAAAAGTAAAAATATTATTCTTTCATTGTTACACGTTTATTAGTGATAAATTTAAGCGCTAATAGAATGAATGCTTTCGAGTATGTAACAATGAAAATTAAGGATATAGCAAAAACTGATAGGTAGAAGAGTGGTTGGTTGGTTCATGCAATAGACGCAGTGCATCGCTCTTCATGTATTTATTGCTTTATATATCTGTCTGTGCTACTGATTTATGCTTATGGCTTAGACAGTCGACTTTCAACTGTTGAGTCATGGACTCGAATTTCGCTTCATCTACCTAGGTTTAGGTAATCAGGCAGTGTCATTAACCTTCATATAGCAGGTGTGCCTCATTGCCTACTGCACGAGCGTACATGTAGATATTGAGTGCATTTCGATTTTTAGGCTGGGTTATATGGCGAGTATTACGAATCTCTGGGATATATAGAAGCTAACTATTTTTGAAATCGACCCAGTGGCCTGATGGTAAGGTACTTACCTCGCAACTTGAAGATCCTGGATTCGATCCCTGGTGGGGTCATGGGTGCGTATTGCTGAGGAGTCCTATACCTTGACGAAATGGCTGTCCAGATTTTCATTGGTTCTCTAATTGATGCCATTCCGTGATGTATAACAACTTTGAATCAATAAATAAACCCTTGCAAACCTTCAAACCGAATTATTAATTTCAGTGTATCAATATAATTCACTTGCATAATGACGAACTTCATCCACTATGAGTATTTTAGCCGATAAAATTTGACATAAAATATGTGTGGTGAGGGAACAGTCAATACTCATTGAATGCTTTTCCTAAGAGAAAGTCACTTCAGGTAATCGTTTCTGACTTCAAGACACCTTTACGCTGTATTCTCGTCATTACTGACTTCAGTTTTTTCTTTATATACCTAATTTACTCACCATTACGTTTCCAGTCCAGCTTAATTCCTATTTACCACTTTCATATAGCACTTACTCTGTTGACATTGGATTGTCAATGGTAAAATAAACACTGAAAGTTTCGACCTCAGAAGAATGATAATCGTCCTTCACAGATGTCGCATTCCTACTATTCTGAATATAATTTTCTGGTATTGTCCTCCCACAGTTAGCTGTCGTATTCCCAGGTTGAGAATGGTCGTTGCTTAAGGATTTACTTCCTTACTTGTGGTTTCTAATAATTGCATCACTGTCACTTGTAGGTATTCCCGTTCTTTTGGCGATACTATTATTACATTTAAATTGAAGATGTGGTTAATCGACTAAAGTCCTCTTTTTTCATGCAATTGCTCTCTATGTGGTACTATACTGTACCTACCGAAATCAGGTAACCAAGTGGCATCATTCATTCTTGTAAAATAACTGGTTTGTTTTCTGTTGCAAGAATCTATGGATTCTAAATTGCGTACATATATCTTACTTAAAATTCTTATCTTTTCAAAGTAGTATTCATCACGAACTGACAGCTAGCACTGCACGTCGAGCTAGATGTTGGCTCAGCATGCACGACACATTTTCAGGCCACCTCACTCGCTGAAGGTTCACAACCTCATCGACCCGCTTGCCTTAATTACCTAGTACCTTTCGCTTAACGTCGTCTATATTACTGATATGATGATTCCACTATAGACAAGCAATATTGCGGAGATGCCTATGGTTAGAAATCTCTAACTGCTTCATAACTTCTAATTTCAATAGCCGTATAACATGACGGAAAGGAGTGCAACGCAGTTTACTCTCCCCTTATTAGGTGTTCGGAAATTTTGTCGGTAACCACTAGAGATGCACTTTGGTAAATTACCAACAAGCTTTCTGCATTCAAGCTAAGATCTCATCAGTCACCAGGCCGTTCAGGTTCGTGCAACTCTCCAAGTAGGTGAAGTGATTAATACATTCTACCACTTCATTTCCTATCAAACTCAGATTTCTGCTCAGAGCGTCAAGAGGACCCTACATTTTGTCAGAATCTTCACTTAACAGGACAGTATCGTCTGCATACTCCAAGTCAGATAGATGACTTCAGGAGAGTAGGTCAGTCCTTGTGAAGTCAAACATACGTAAGGTTATATCCATTAGTACATCTAAAACGAAATTAAATAGGAACGGTAACAATGGACATCCCTGTCGGACACCACTAGTTGTCGTCAACTCACATAAAAACTCTCCACATGCCCTTACATGGCTGCATGAGTCCGAGTAGAGAGCCTGAGTAAGCGTTATATGTTTGCTCCGTTCACAGTTAGACACTGACGGTTAACAGAGTCAATTACCGCCTTAAAGTCAAAAAATGTGGCGAGTGTTGTTCTCTGACCGGTAGGTGTGCTTGTATTCCATGACCTGTCGAAGAGTGAAAATGTGGTCAATGTACTGTCGTCCAGTTGGGAAACCTGTCCGGTTTTCTTGAGTTTGCTGTATTCGAACTCCAGTGAGGTGTCGGAAAATTGTGGACAGAACGATTTTTGACATAATATTGGTCAAACTGATTCCCCTATGGTTGTCACAAGGAGACTTCTCTCTCTTCTATAGTAGACTAGAATATGGGTGATGTAGATCAATCTGACGACACTACCTTTGATTCCCTAGGACCTCTGCTACTTTAATTAGCATTTCCCTCTCTCCATCCTTGGAAATTTCAGGTGGCAAACTGTCAATTCCCGCTTCTTCGCATCGTTTCCGGTTCGAAACAGCTTTCTCAACACCTATGAATTCTGGACGACCGATATCTATTTCGCATTCAGGTTCGAGCTGGCTAACTGAAGCGTCGCTGAGGACCAGTTGCACTGTGTTTCACTGTTCAGCCCAATGTCATACGCTTCTATCGTGAGAGATAATCAGGCTCCTGCCGTTCTTAGTGTTGGTCTCACCATCGTCTCATTCTTGTCAGTATCCTTAATACACCCGAATAACTTTGGAATATTTTTTATTACTGATACCTTCTCTATCTCTCACTTTTGCCACCCACCACCACTCAAGATCACTGCGAAGACTCTTGGTCAATTTACGTTTGAGCTGTTTTCGCTCCTCATTGTGGTCAGAGCCTCAACCAGTTTGGATGAGTTCCCGGAAACTTATGTTTACTAGTTTCTTTTATGTATGTTCCCAACTGTCTTTACCTCTGTTTGTATAACCGACCAAATATCATGCCAGGTTTCATCAGGGTGAGGATTTCTATCACATTCCGAACATGCTAGTTTTTTCCTAACTCAATACTTACTTTAACGTACGTATCTCCCAATGGAACACACATAGGTTTGAGTGCCACCTGTTTTCTGCGACCAGTAAGGCTCAGACATACGCGGGCTAATGTTCAAGGTCAAAGCTGCACTGCAGATTATCCTCGTTTATGTAATACTGTGTCGAAACATAAGGTGATACATCGATTCAGAATGGAGGTGGACTTGAAATGTTTATTACCTGAAAGAAATTGATTCTTTTGTAGGCTATGTCTTAGTTTGAAGAATATATAAAACCGTAGAAAGCAATATTTATGGATGTATTATGCAATTGACAGATAATTCTCAGGAAATGCTTTCTGAAGAGAAAATGGTAAACCATTTATTACCTGAGAAGTATAAACAGTGATTCTCGAGTGTGAAGCTATCATTGTTTAACTTATCATTGATGATTCTTTTGATTCATTATTTTCTTATCATTTACGTTCAGAATGCATAATGATTGGTGCTGAATGTATCCATACCCTAAGAAGGTTCGAAGCTCCTGATTTTTAAAGTGTGTTTTCTTGCTCATCCCTTGGCTTCTGTCTCTGGTTTGTTCGAAGATCGTTCCCAGTCTTCATTTTAACACACCGACTGACATCTCACTCCTTCGTAAAGAGTCTTGTGTTTACTTACTTTGATTCATGCAGTCTATATGCTTCTAATATATTTTTCAGTGACAAAATATTATATAAACAGTTTGTATGTACTTATTGGTGTGTAATGCGCATTGATTTGAAGTTCCAATTGCCTACTTGTTCTTAGTCGATAATCTTCATTTTCACATTTGACTGAATTGTGTGATAAGAATTTTCAACAACGTCCGCGTTCAACGAAAACTTTATCACTATTTTTCATTGATTCTATCTCTGATTACGTTAAGGATTTTTTTCGAGTGTCCTCAAAGCCAAAAGCTCGACAGCTACAGTAAGTGCAAAAGGCTTCAGTAATCTAGCTGCAACCCCGGAGATGTTCTTCATGTGAGGTAAGATAACCCGTTTGCTGGCTTCCGAAGGCGATTCCTTTGTTGACAGCGAGTTAGACAAACATTTTGAGCAAGTTGCGGGGATAGCCATTATTCTGGAAAACAGTGATTAAGTAGTTTTCTTCTTTCCTCCGTAAGGTTTTTTTCGTTCGCTGAACAATGTTTTTACCCAACTGATTTTGTGAGTTATATTGTAACTACTGTAGTTGAGGATTTGATCCTTACGAGTTGATTTTCTACACATTTCAGTTTCCAATTTCTGCGAATCCGTTGTGGTGAATTCGAAACCGTCGAAAACTTTGTTGATTAATTTGTAAGTTCATGCATTTAGATCCCTTGATAAATTCGAACAAAGCAAGAAGTACGAAATCCTCAAAATAAAAGGAAATCATTTTATTTCATGAACACTCTTCAGTTGCATACACTCTAAAAGTACAACGCTTATTAGTACACGTGAAAATCCGAATTCGGAACTCAATGATCTCCAGTTGTACAACAAAATCACTGATAATTCATATAACATGTAGGAGAATTACTAACTGTACATGGGTAAGAAATGTAAGAAAGGGAGAGTAATAATAATGGTAATTAGTGAGTAAACAAATGAATAAAATGTTACGGAGGACTGAGAGGAGCGCGTCCACTCCATTGGCTGAGCATATCCCAGAAAATGTGTCCTTGAAATGGGGCAAAATTCTTACCAGTGCCATTGTCAGACAAAAGATATTAGGTTGGAAAGTACAAGAAATCTTTGGATTACTGCGTTTCACAAACTCGATGGCAAGAAAACGTTTTCACTCTGACCTATGCACACAGATGGAGAGTGTGGCTAGTCTCTCATTGCCATAGTGAATATGATTTGATCCTGTTTCACTTTTATTCTAATTACATAACTCATCTGTTTACCATTATTATTCTTTTCTTACATTTCTTACCCATGTACAGTTAGTAATTCTCCTACATGTTGTATGAATTATCAGTGATTTTGTTGTACAACTGGAGATCATTGAGTTCCGAATTCGGATTTTCACGTGTACTAATAAGCGTTGTACTTTTAGAGTGTATGCGACCGAAGAGTGTTCGTGAAATAAAATGATATAATTAGTTGTATTTTGTATTTGCATGTCACGGCGTGTTTGGAATGTAATAATTCCAACGTTTCGCACGGAAGTCCGGTCCGAGCCTCTTCAGGGAAATAATCAAGACTAAAACAACAAGAATATATAAATGAATAGAAGGACGCGTATTTAATCTTCTTGTACAATCCTCTCCGTACAGTCACTGTCTTTCTAAAATATCATTTTGACTATCTGATATAATCGTGCTTTGGCAGACTTGTATTGATGCTGGTTGATGACTGAAGGTGCAACCAGAATTTTAACCGCGGCCGGATTCGAAGCAGAAAACAATAAGTTATGATAACGAATCATTCATTGTGAAATGGTATGTTTCTTGTTGTGTAGATAGTGTGTGTGTGTATGTGTGTGTGTTACCATTCATAATCTCCTCGATTGTATATATCAAACAAAAAGGTGACAGGTGGCACAACCAAGGAGATTATGGGTGTTGGCACACACAGACACGCTAGCCATACAATAAGAAACATACAATTTCATGCTGAATGGTTAGTTATCATAATCTAGAAAGACAAAGGCTATCCGGAAAGGAATGGTCAAGGAGATTAAATACACGTCCTTGGATTCACCTGTATATCCTTGATATTTTTATTCTGATTGTTTCCCTGGAGAAGCTCGAACCAGACTTACGTGCGAAACGTTGGAATTATTTCACTTAAATGACGCTGTGACTCATGCAAATACAAACTATATCTAATGTCACCCTTTTACTTAGCGCCCAATATTTGCCAGACTATTCGGTTAAATCTTGATCATAGTTCATACCAGATGGTATCATTTTATTCTGAAAATATTATACTTCTTGATTCGTCCCAATTTGTAAGCGTTTTCCAGTTTGTTTCTTGGAATGATGACAAACGTGTCATCCACATATCTGATCCAAAGTTTTAGTTTGATCCAGCGGTAATACCACAGTTTTCAATCTTTGCATCACAGCCTCTGCAATTAATCCTGATATGGACCATCCCATTTGTGTTCCTTTTGTCTATTTGTATAGCTTGCTGTTGAATTGGAAATATGTTGTAAGGCGACTTTACAACGTTACCAATTTCTCTCTAAACATCAAGCAGATGGCAAAAAGAACAGAGGAGATACCTCCTTCAAAGAGAGGCTAGTCAAAATTTCAAAACTACGGGCATCAGGTGGGGAAGAAGCAAATGACTTTGTAGCCAGCCTATCCAAACAACCTCTGACCGTATTCGAGGAACCTCTTTTTCAGAAAGGAGAAAATTACTTTATAGGAGATGCTAAGGGATCAGAATTATCCGCCTCTCTACGGCCATCACTGGTGGCTTCAGGACTGAACAATGAAAATGAAAGCTTCATGATTAAACCATCGAGTTCAGAGGATGCAACACCTTCAATATCATCCTCGTGAGTTACAAATATTCTGCATCATCTCAGTTTTATTTTGCTTATCTACAGTTGTCTCACTTATCAGATAGACTCCCCAGAAGAATATCAACCTTTTGGGATCATTGAAAAATGGAGTGCTGAATGTTCATCAAGCAGATAACTGTGGTGATACTAGTAGCATTTCGGGAAGTCGTTGAATTGACTTCTGAGGGGAATTTAGTAAATTACCTTTTAATCTCCTTAAAAAATGGAAGAAGAAGCATAAACAGTGCGTATACAACTCTAATTAAAAGGAAGTTACAATATACTTGTAAAGCTGCATTCATGATAGCTGTAGTGGTATGTTCTATAAATTTTCGAGGGCTTATGTTCGTCACTTTTTTCCAACTCGATTGAATAATACGCCAAGTTGTTCATAGTTGTTTTTCAACTATTCACTCACTGATTCTAGCTAAAATGTGTTTCTTTTTTCTGAATGATTATTGCGTTGATCCTTAACGTAAGCATATGAACATGCATCCTAATCTTAAGGGGGAAAGTTACTATGAGAGTCAGTGTTGCATTTTAGTTGATTAACAGTCGTAACATCATGCTTAAGAAAAAGTTCAACTTACAGTAAATTTGGTTAAAAATACACCACCAAGTGTCCGATAAATTTCTTTCATTTCATCATCTTTTAGAATCATCGCTTCTACTTCGGTAGGTATTGGCTGAAAAAAACAAGTGTTAGCAAGCAAAGTAATGGAGCGGTAATTAAATATACTTTCATCGCATGAATAATACGGACATGATTAATATGTAGAATTATTCTTAAACTGTGATTATATCATTTGTGAAACATGGCTACCAAAGTCAGAGAGTAGCAGTAAGCTTCGGGTGTTTGACCACTGTAGCCTCTTTAGTACAGTGGGTTTGTTGTCGTGTTACCATATCAGTAACATACAAGTCAGGTGAAGAGTTTTACGGAGGAGAGTAAGGTCATTTGATGATGTTGTGAGCCCTCGCCAACTCAGGTGGCTGGGATATGTGTTACTCACATCTATTCACCATCAACTTCGTTGCACGGTGTTAGCTGAACTAGGTATAGACCAGAAAAATGCCTCGCGGGACCACACTAAAACTTGACATTAGTGCATGAAGTCTTTACCTGTTGGTCTGACCCATGTATGGGAATGCAAACTAGCTGGTTGGGGTCCAGACGACAACAGAAATTGGTGGTTGGAGTCTTACGTTATGTGGTTCAGAATCGATGTCAGAAGTGCAGATGTATCCATACATTATCAGTCACTATGATGAATTCAGCATTTTCCCACCCCACCTTCCTCTCTTTTACTGCTTTTGACAGATTCTTCTTCATCTTTTATCTTATCTCTTTGTTACTTGTTGCCGATATGAGTTTTGGGGCCCTACATCGCAACGCAGTAATACCTGATCCTATTTTTATATTGTTTAACGTGCTGGCCATGGAACCTAAAGGTCCTGGATTCGACCCCTGATGGGTCATAGGTGCTGAGGAGTCCCATGCTGGAACAAAACAGCTGTCCAGCGCTCCCGGGTTTCCAGTGTTTGTCCAACTGATGCCATTCCAAGATGAATACCAACTTCGTAAGTTTGAGTCAAGTTTCCACTGTTCATACTATTTTGAAATAAGCTGACAACTACAGCTTCGGTTCAGGATGTTCATTGTAGTTTAAAGAGATTATAACTGAATTTTAAATACCTTCCATCGCAACGAGATTCGAGATTTTCGTGTTTTTACGATGATATCCAGTTACTCAAGTCAAATGGACTGATATAACGCTTCAGATCGAATTACAGTGTATATGGCTTACAAGAGGTCATAATTAAATAAACAAGCAAATTGATTTTATTGAAAGTTATGGACAATTTGAAAATTTGTTATCATAATTGTTCAATTATTGTTTGCAAAACGCGGGAATGAACATTGAACTTTGCATGTTAAACGGTTTCTTTTTCATATTTGTGAACTTTTATCGCATTTTCGCATATTATTAAATCTTCACATGAAAGAAATTTTTCCAGTTTTCTAGGACTTTTTATGAATCAGTAACCCTGTAGGCTGAAACTGTGTAGACTCCGATTTCAAGAGTATAGTCTTTTTGAGTGTTTAGATAACCTTTCGGCTTTCTCCCTTTCCTAACAATATGTATTTATGTGTTCAACCATTAAATTACTACTTACCAGTTGCGATGTTCGAACACGTTCACTGATTATCTCAGCCATAATTCTTCGATAAATAAACGCACAAATAGTTCCCATCACCTTATTACACATTGATATTCTGTTCTGTTCCATCATTTGATTAGATAAGCCTAATTCGAATCCTAGAAACAGCTAAGTAAAAAAAACAAATCAGTGCTTGCATTTTGTGCACTGTTCGTATTTGTATACTGGTATATGATAAATGTATTTATTTAGTCCAGCTGGTGGATTATTTTCTTATCTATAAGCCAACGTATTTGCTCTTAGTCGCCTTGATAGTTGAACATCTTTGCAAAAGGTTTCTTTAGTGGTTACATTGTACCTTTCGAAAAGACATCGTTTTCAAACCGTAACGAAACATTATCTTACGTCATTACCTCATGAGTAAACAGAAAATGAAAGTATTGGTCCTGTAAGATATGCGGTATCTAGTACGGTTGACCTTATTAAGTTATAATTTAGAAAGATTACAAAGAGTTTTGGCCACTGGTTTAATAGAAATCACCAAGCTAAGATTTATTATTAACAAAGTCGTTGCCTCACGATTGGTCGTCTCAACCGTAATGTAACACTAAACACCAATGACCCTTGTTTTATTGGCTATTACTATTCATCAATTATCGCGTGTATTTTTGTACATGAAACTAGACAGATTAAACTTTGTTGATTGAGTTTTCTACTTAGTTTCTCATCACTTGCTATTGGTTGAAGATGTTATATAAAATGGGGTCGATCTGGATAAGTCAACAATGTGAAAATCAAAGAATCAAAATTATTCTTGCACAAAGTAAGCACATGAAATGCGCCACATAAAGTAGTTTAATAGTATCAAGACATCAACGTGAAGAGAAATAAAGTGAAACAGAATTTTCAGTGAAAATGAAGGGCTTTTGTAAGATAAATTAAGATAAGGTTTCATTAATTCTTTACTACTTCAGAAACAGAATATGAAGAGTGATATCCATTGGTTTGAATTCTGAACTATATCTCATAGTCACTAAAGGCACGAAGTTACGTTATCTATTGGGACCTACCTTGTAATTCATAGTACTCCAACATAATCCTCCAGGACCTGATTATCCGCCATCTCACAAGAAATGTCATTCACTTATCACCATCCTGTTTCCTTCACATCAGTTTGAAGCTATCGAAAAATTTTCAGTATGGATGTCACTGAGACCAATTTCTTGACATATCTCCAAGCAACAATACTAGCATCCAAGACGAATTCATTTATTGGATACCGATCTCCAGCATACCTGAACACATACCCCTGAATTTCATAGTTACACCCGAAGGCACCTAGTCTACGAAAGCAGTGTTAACTGAACGTACAGAATCCCAAGACAACTTCAGGTTAGGGAGGTAGGATTTCACAAGCCGTGTATAGAACTTCTTATCCTAAACGGCTGCAACCTTCAGCTTTTACAATCAAAAAAATACTGACTAGGATCACCTTCACTATTATATACAGTCATTTTACAAAGATTTCTTCCATCTATCACAATTCTTAATGTAGTGAAAAGTAGAAATCCGAAGGTGAACTTTGAACAGTACACCCATGACCTAACCGAAACCTTACCTGCTTCGTGACATCATATTTCTCATAAGTTTATTGTAATCTTAAAAGAATACCAGTACCAAGTGCTTGGGATGCTTCTGTTAGCAGACTTATATGTAATATCCTTGTGTTCTTTATATAGTCTGCTTATAGCACTTTCGAAAGTAAATACAATGATACTCTCATTCCAAGCATATGAAAACTGATATATTCACCCGAACGGTGTGATCAACTCTCTGAAAAAAAACGTCAGGTAGCAATTTTTGGACCCAGTTCCTTCAAATCTTCCAGGTAAAGGATCTCGAGCTAAATTCCCTGTCTACCCACTTTACCTTGGACAACCAAGTGGCATCATAAGCTCTAACACAAAATGTTTGTCATCACCCAGAAAATAAACATTATCGGGTTGAGTTGCACTTTATTGTTATACATTGACTGTTAACTACATTGAGCTTTTTATAGATCTCCACTTTCTTATGTATATTGCTCCATTCTGACTGTCGAATACAATGCAGTTCTGAAAGTGCAATAAACAACATTCTTGCTAACCTGCATAGAACGACGACTTCTTTGATCACGGGAAAGCGAGATGAGCTAAGTACACAATAAAACTTGATCTGAGTCTTTTGTTCCAGAGGAAAATGGCAATCATCGGGTGCCAGTAAGTGTGTTTCGCTTCAGAGTTGTCCAATGGCTGAAACCCGATCAATCTTCGTATAGGTGTGAAAGTTTCCAGTTTTTCATTAGCTTGTTGTTCTCGGGGTCTACTTGGGCGTCGGATGGCTACGGATCCTAGAAACCTAAACACAATATTAGACAAGCTACATTTTCTGTGATTATCACAGGAAGATATCTCTTCTTCCTCGTGAACCGAAATAATTTACAATTTAGATCAAAGTTGTGAGACTTCATTTGATTCCTTTACACTATTTATTGCAAGTTATTTTAGCCACTAATTGCTGATGGTCATACTTAAAGAGCTCTGCCAATACGCCTCCAGATAGTGTTGGTTCCGTATTACTTTTTTTAAACTCTTCGATTATTAGTGGGATTAAGCCTTTTTATCATCAACACTTGGATAAGTCGAGAAAGCTGTAGGTAATCTGAAACGAGAAATAGCACCAAGGCTAGACGAATTAGTTCTAGAGGTATTTCACGAAGGTAGTCAATGATTTTTAGTCAAGTTAACTGAAGCCTTAACTAGTATATAGGAGGCAGATATGATCCTTTCTGACTGATCTCAACTACTAATTGTCCCAGTCGTCAAGAGAGGTGAGAAATCCTTCCGTGATAACAACAGAGGAATTAGCCTAACGAATATAGCGTCGAAGATCGTAGGTTCTATAATCACTAGACGTTTGAGATGAGTTCGGGAACACCCAACTTAAAAGAACTAGGAAGGCTTCACATCTGATCATGAGTGGCTTTGGCTGTCAGATAGTTACACTTCGCCAGGTTCCGGAACAAATATGCACTTACCCGACGCCCAACAATGGCTGCATTTCTTAACCTGAAGGTGGCATTCAACTTCGTCGATCAAAAGGTTTTATGGCAGTCTCTCACTGAATGAGGTACCAAATAAGTACATCACTCTTTTAAAAGCTCTTCATTCGAACACTCGTGGGCGTGTTATATCCTATGGTAAGTTGTCAGGTGAGCTGTATACATCGAGTGATGTCCTTTAGTGACGCCTATTTTCTCCATTCCTATTTAATTTCGTAATAGATGTTCTCATGGGGGTCTCTTTCTTGTCGTCTTACATGAAAGGAATTGATTTAATCATATGAGAATCCTTGGTAGACCTAGAATATGCAGATGACATAGTTGTATTAGATAAGACGATGACCTGATGCAAAGTCTCCTGGACACCTTAAGTGACAATTTAAGGGTGTTTAAGATGCGTTTCTCGCCACCCAAATGCAAACTTGCTCCGGGACTAGTCTTCAATGGTGCCCATTCTAGCAACAGAGAGTGAAGCCTTTGAGTAGGTTGACCATTACACTCACCTAGGAGATCGGATCACCTCTTGTGGGTCGGAGACCGACAGAATCTCTGTATGGATACAAGAAGCTAGTTTGGCCTTTGCCAACCTACGCCATTTTCGATTCTGTTGTCATATACGATTTTTCATTAGGCTTTGAGTGTACCTTGCTTCAGTTCTCTCTTTTTTACACTATGCGTGTGAAACATGACTATTAAAAGTAGAGGACGTGAGAAAGCTTCTGGTGTTTCACCACCGTTGCCTTCATAGAAGAGGCCATGTATCGCGGTGTCACCCTAAAAGTAAAGCATATATCAGATGTAAAGTTTTAGGAAGGAGAGTCAGGTCAGTTGAACCTTCATCGACTAAGGTGGCTGGGATACGTGTTACGCATGACTAGACACCGTCTGCCTCGACGCACAATGTTGGCTGAAGTAGGTTCAGGCTGGAAAAGGTTCGGGGTCCCCAGACTAAAGTGTGGTATCATTGCATGAAGTCTTTGACTGTTTGTTTGAACCATGTAGGGAGATGCAGAGTGGCTGGCCAGGCCCTATTTGATAATGGAAACCAGTGGTCGGAAACTCTAGATGATATGGCTCAGAGTAGATGTCACTGGCACAGATGCATCCACATTTTGTCTTCATAGTTACCGCTAAACTAAATTCAGCATTTACTCATTCTTGTTTCCTTTCTTTCACTACTTGCTTCTATTTCTGATCGATTCTTCTTTATTTTTTTGTATGTGCTGTTATGAGGTTATGAGGTGTGACAACTTGCGCCGCTACGAAGTAATGCCTGGTCCTATGTTGATATTGACTGACTCACTTGACCAGGTCAGCTTGTCTACAAACTCGTGTACTGTGTGCAGGTTTATGTACGAATAGTAAAGTTTTGCGTATGTCAAATTGATTTTTCTTAAAGATGAAGACCTTTTTGAAAACATACATCTGACATTGTATGACTTCCTGGATCAGTGATATGGTAAGCTCAATGAATCCATTTACGATGCGGAACACTTCCGAAATGTCCTCTTTTTATAATAGGTGAGTTTTCTATTTTGGCCCAATTTTCTGCAAAAACTACTTTTTGTCAGCATCTTTTCCAAACTAGAGTAAATAATGTGCATATATCCGGTGGGCTAAGGAGTCATTTGTAATGATAAACGTTTCTAAATTATTAAAAGGGAGAAGATGAATGAAAATAAAAATTGAATTCATGCATAGTGTAGTAGCCAACCCTCAGCGAAACATTGGCATGAAATGTCCCACAACTAAGTTTTTTAGTATATCTTTGTGCATTTCCGACAAATTTATAGCATTATAAATGCGTTAATAAACTTAAAATATAAGCTGATGTAAAGACAATGTATGCAGTATCCTAATGGACAGTATGTATAAAAAGTGTATGTTCATTGATGAAAATAGAATTATAAGTAGATAACAATGCATTACTTATTTAATGTGAGATCAACAAATGAAGTAAAATCAAGAGAAAATCTCATTCATCCAATTGTAGTAATGTGACTTACTTTTGTTGTCAAAATTCTTAAGAAAAACAAACCGAATAATAGTATTTTTGCTTCAAACAATGTTATTGTACGTATTGTTCCTGATTCAGTTAAATTTATATGAGCCTGTTTAGAGTAAATAAAAAATAACAGAATTATTGCGTTAAAGTAATTTCATTATAATTTAAATACAGAGTGAAAACTCTAATCATATTGTCTACTACTCGCAAATCAAGTTTTACATGTTTTAACTAAGTTGGTTGATGAGATTTGCTCCAGCTAAAAAACAGACGTTACTGCATCACTGTACCTCTTAAAAAAACAATCTAAGTGGTTGACTTAGAAGGCTATTTTGGTAGTATGAATTTAATTATTTAATGTTCATCTTTTACGCTTACGGAAAAAGCACTACGTTGTAGTCAGCTGACATCATTTGTTTAAGTGAATCATGTATATTATTGGTAATTTATTACCTTGAATAATAAAAAAAAAGGAAAACTTATGGAAGAATTATACAAATTCATCTTACCATTAGAAAAACCTCTTGTTTTCTGGTTTAGATTCATCCTTTTTTCTCACTCTATACTTACAGAATTATTGATATAATCTTACTTGAATTCTGGGTTATTAGTTTTTCTGCCTTCTCATCAGCTTTCTTTATTCTATTTCTAATATTCGTTTAATCGTAATAAATACAATCAACTCTATGAACAGGTTTAACAACCTCACCCAACTTCATGAGTTTCGATCACTCCATGTCTGCATTACTCTGCATTTCAATAACATGCCTTTGTCAATCTAATGAAAGTATGTATTTATGTTTTATTTCAAAGTAATAACGATAGTTATATTAATAATCGCTTCATTCCAAGCAATATGTATGATATAGCATGGAATTCTCAGCATGTAACTGTTCACCAAAGCCATTTTCAGATGAAATGATTATTGCATCTGAGTGATATTAATAATAACACTATTCAAGGCGATAATGTGAAACAGCGTCCGGTTCATAATGAAGAATCAAGATACATTCTGAGCGTTAGTTTGGCGGTGACAGTTTATTCAGGCAGTATAAAAATCTGGAAGTCAAGCTAAATATCCGAGGGATAGAAATATGATACACTTTTACGTACTGAAAAGTCCACTTCCATATAACCTGACACTTTTTCTCTATCACATCATTAAGTCGAGAAACGGCAAGTTGAAAACATTTTAAAAGTAATACATTCAGAGGGCATATTTAAACGATAAAACAATTTGACATATATGTTTGGTGGAAAATTTTGATAGCCCAAGGTTCAAGCAAGCCGCCGTACAAGTCGCAAGGTAGGTAGTATTCATCACAGATCGACTCAGTTGGATAACCAGTGAAAAGCTGAGAGCATTAGACAGCTGTTTCATCCAAGTATGGAACTCCTCAGCAGTATTTACGACATGTTCAGTGATCTAAGGTTTCCATTGGTGCTCTACCTAATGTCCATCCGTAGCGAATTTTACCCTGACATCATTTAACCTCCTCAAACGAACAAACTGAACCTATGTTATATCCCACCAACGATGCATATATTTCAGCTGGAGTGTACTAAAAATACTTAAAGAAGCATTCAAAACGAGCAAATTCATTTTATTCTTCTGTAGTTGTTTCCCACAGAGGACAATTGAATGAATTTTCTCGAGAAAATTTTCTGGCTTATCTTACTGCATTACTGGTTACGAGTAGCGTTACTGCACAATCCTTCGGAAGAATGCATGTAGGGACTTAACACTTATGTCGACAATCTCTAAGTGGTATTCTGTTCCAAACCACGAGAGAAAAGTGATGGCAATAAACTGAGGTTAAAAGATGTCATTTTGTAAGGTACCTATTACATTACTTAAAAATCCAGCCCATAGAAGTCTAAACTAAAATGACAAGTAATCCTCCTAATTCGGTTGCTGGAGTTACAATTAAAAATGTTAAAACTATTTAAAGTTATGCATATGTAAAAAGGTAAACTTATCATCCTATGACTTATTCAATGAATGTTCACTATCTGTTCATTTCATCTTCTGACACCCTTTACTGAGATCCTTTAATTAGGGCTCTCAGTAGTCAGCATTTGGTAACACTGCATCACAAATACAAAAATTTTTAAGTTTAACAGTTTGCATTGTATCATTTACCTCAGATTTCATTATGAACGGGGTATTTAAATTAGACTGAATTATTACTCACTAGATCTTCATTCTAACTGATTGTTTGACCTCTGATATGTACATCGTCTTCTGTATTATCGTGACCTCAATCTTTGAGGAAAACCTAAGGCATCTGACGAAGTCAAGTACCTTGGTTATATTCTTACCATGGATCTAAACTGTATGTAGCAGCCTTGCTCGACTAAAGTATGCACGTTTTTACTGAATTACATCATAAACAGATACATTCATTAATATCCGTACTCTATGGTCACATCGATTTACTTTATTGAGTAAATAACCTCGCCTGGTTAACTAGTTCACTAGCTAATAGCCGGTACTAAGCCCGGGTAAAGAGGGAAGGTTGGGCATATGGCTAGCAACCCTACACCGGAAAACAAATCTAACCGCTGAAGAAACTTCAAAGCACAGAAAAAACACAAAAAATAATAACGAAATTATTCCTCGCTGGAATCGGAGAGGCGAAATGACGCCAGTTGGTGAAAGCCTGCCTTCAGGAAGCCAAGTAGCTGGGCCGATGTGTCTTCTCTCTCTCGATGAAAGCGAAATTAAACGTGGGGACATGGGACGTCCGCACGATGTTTGAGGCTAGCCAGCAAGGCAACCCAGATTGCAAACGAGATGAAGAGGTTTCACATCGAAGTGCTTGGAATTTGCGAAAGCAGATGGAATGGGAGTGGACTCTCCAAACTGTCAACTGGAGAATCAATAATCTACTCCGATATTGTCAAGCAGACGACAACCACGAACACACTGATGTTTGGAGTGGCTATCATGATGTCCCCAAGAGCATCGAAGGCTCTCTCTCATGCAGTGAGGACCAATCTCCTCTTGCAGGAACATGACAGCAAGATTCAACTCAAAAGGAAGGAAGGACACAATCATACAGTGCCAATACTATGCACCTACAAATAACGCAGAGCAAGAGAAAAAGGAGGAATTCTACAGACAACTGCAATCAACACTGGATAATACACCACCTCAGTTGGCGATATCAAAATTCTAATGGGTGACATGAATGCCAAACTGGGAACGGACAACACAGGAAGAGAAGTGATCATGGGTCGAGAAGCGCTCCATGAGGTGATGAACGAGAATGGAGAATTGTTTGCAGAATTCTGTGCATTCCAGGATTTGGTAATTGGAGTCAGGCAGTGTGTTCAAGCACAAAGATATCCACAAAACAATATGGTTTTCACCAGACACCAGATGGACACACTAAAAATCAGATCGACTTCATCTCAATCTCAAGAAAATGGAGACGCAGTCTACTTGACACAAGGTCAAGAAGAGGAGCAGATGTAGGTTCAGAACACTATCTAGTGCAAGGAACTTTCCAAATCAGGTTGAAAGCCTTCAAGGAAGCTGGTGATAGACCTCAATTCAAGTACAACACTCGGAAACTGAAGGATGAAACTACAAAGGAGATCTTCAAGGCAGCCATCAAGACAAAATGGGAGACATCGAGGGACATCCCTGAAGAAACCTGTGTGGAAGAACACTGGAAGTCTTTGAAAGCTATGTGGAAAGAAACCTGCACAACAGTATTAGGAAGGAAGAGGGAAGAAGATAAGGAAGGAATGAATCTCGACGGATACATGGAGGCTGATAGAGTAGGGAGAGGAGGATGGTGAAGTAGAGGATGGACCAGTGCAAGGATGCTCAACGACGAGAGGAACTGAGTACAATGTATAAACCACTGGACAAAGAAGTGAAGAAGAGTGCACACAAAGACAAAAGACGCTACTACGACACACTGGCAAGTGAAGCAGAACAGACAGGCTGCAGGCTGGTAGGAGAGACCTGACAACATTGTGTCAAATAACCAGGTTGCTATCTGGTAGGGAAGAGATCAACACACACATATGAAACCAATAGAAGATGGTGATGGAAATTTAATTACGAAAGAAGAGAATTGAAGGAAACAATGGGCCGACCACTTCAAGAAGCTCTTGAATCGACCACCACCACCACCTGCACTTCGTCCAGAAATACCACCTACAGCCCAGCCACAGAACTACAAGTGAACATAAATCCTCCAACAAAAATGGAAGTCCTAAACACTATAAAGCTACTGAAATGAGGGAAAGCAGCAGGACCAGATGGGATCCCACCAGAAGCACTGAGAGCAGACGCAGACAACAGACAACAGCAGACATGCTCACACCGCACCACTGTTGCAGAAGGTGTGGAAGGAACAGAAGGTACACGGCGACTGGAAAAAGGGTTACCTTGTCAAACTGCCGAAGAGGGTGACCTAATTCTTTACAAGAACTGGCACGGAATCACTCTCCTGTCCACCCATAACAAGCAAAACATTAAGCTGCATCATCCTGGAGAGGCTAGAGGATGCGCTGGATTCAAAACTACAACTGGAACAGGCAGGCTGACTGGATTCAGGAAGTACAACTGTAGATAGCGGCACAGATGAGGATGTCAAAGTCAGAATCGGAAAAGCAAGAAAGGCGTTCATGAACCTGAAACCAGTGTGGAGATCTGCTGCTCTCAGCATGTGGAACAAGATCCAGATTTTCAACACTTACGTCAAGTCAGTGCTTCTGTATGGTTGAGAGACTTGGCGCGTTACGAAAGGTATTTCCAACAAACTACAGACATTCATCAACAACCGCTTACGCTGACTCGCTACTGAAGATCAGATGGCCAGAAAGAATAAGCAACAAGGAACTCTGGGAACGAACCAACCAAGAACCTATCACGCAGCAAATATGCAGGGGGAAGTGGAGATGGATTGGGTAGGGCATAGACTGAGAAGGCCGACTGGGGACCTCGCGCATCAGGCCAGTTGCTCGAGTGGAATCCCCATGGGAAGCGACGAGTTGGGCGTATGTGGCGAGGGTGACATGGAGCAGATCGTGCGAGGAGGAAATGAGAGGTTGTGGGCTGTCGTGGAGCCATGTTCAAAAGATTTCAGAGGACAGAGTAGAATGGAGACATGCTACTGAAGCCCTGTTTTATTAGGAACCCAAGGGACTAATAATAATAATAAAACTTCACTTTGTGGAGCTTTGGCTAACTGGTTTTGGAAGATTACTTTCAACAGATGGATCACTGGTTGGAGCCCCTCTCTATCTACCAAGGTCTGGGAGGCCAGGTGGTTATCACTAGCCCTCACACTTTAGATGTGCTTCATTACCTACTGCACGAATGTTCGCAAGGTCACTGAGCATAAACTTAAAGTTTTCAAATTGCACTAACCCAAGTATCATTTAGAAAGCCATCAAATGTTATTAGCCTCATGGCTTTACAGCTTTACTGCACAAAGCATTGAATATTTTTCAGTGATTAATAAAGAGCTGTTGTAAGAATATGAAACAATTGCTTGGATGACATCATCTTAAACTTACCAATTCAAGTGCGATGAAGTAATTTTTAGGATAAATTTGTTCCTTCATCAACATCAAATAAACTGTTGAACTCTTTTTAATGGCGAACAAAGGTTTGGTTGACTATAACGATAAGAAACACATATCTATATTAAGTACGGTGTAGTAAACGTACATATATTGAACTCTATGCTTTTTTCCTCTAAAAGATTTGAAAAGTGGAAGCACAACAAGTTTTGCTGAAGTTCATATTTCAGATTCCCCTGCCTTCAACCACAAGTAATAAAAACTAGTGATCACACTGTGTCATATATTCTAGACTGGCAAACTGTATATTGTGTCTGCAACTGATGACTGAAGTTGGGAGAATATTCAAGATGTTGGTAAGATACCACTCTTCTTCAAGCTAATTATCCATCATTCAGCCAGCCAATTTGCGAAAGCAGATATTCTGAGGGTGTCAAAGTTAATTGATTTCTCAGAAACCTGTGAAAATCTTATGACTTATAAGATATGTACTGGGCCAATAAAATTTCAAGGTGTTGAACAAAGTACGTTTCTGTTGGCCATGAAAAATTTCATTTTACCTAGATCTTGCCAACTTTTCAGAATAAAGTCTACGTCTTCGCCAGATGTAGTGGAATATGTTCACAGTCTGCCTTCTCAATCATGAAAAGCTCTTATGTTCTTCGGTAGTCAGATATTGCATGGTTTTGTGCAATGATAGAGAATCTTTGTAGTTCTATGCTGAGTGGAGTACAGTAGATCTCCACACTGATTTCAAATTAATGACGGCTTGTCTTGCTTTTCCTATCCTGACTTCCATATCCTCATCTGTGTCCCCGCCTGTAGTTGAAACGATGCTGCCCTCCCTAGGTAGATGAAAGAGACTACTTTGTTAAGTCTTCTTCTGTTTATGGTGATCGGTGTTTGTTGTTGCTATCGTTGTTGTTGGTTGGGTATCTTCACCATCTCTCTCTTCTCTACGATCGCTTGAAGTCGCGTCTTCGCTGCCTTGCCCAGAAACTGAATGACGAAACTCCAAAGGACACCTTCGCATCAGCTATCAGGAAGAAATGGAGATATTAAGCAAAATTGTCGAGGAAACCTGCATGGAAGAACACTGGAACTCTTTAAAAGAGACGTGGAAAGAAACCTGTATGACCGTGTTAGGAAGGAAGAAGAAGGAAGACAAGACGAATGGATCTCCATGGACACATGGAAACTGACAGAAGAGGGAGAGGGAGGTGATGAATCCAAACAGGCTGCAGGTCGGAGAGACCTGACAACATTATATCCGATAACCAGGTGACTACCTGGGAATAGATCAACACAGACGAAACCAATTAGAGATAGTGAAGGAAACCTAGTTAGCAAAGAGGATAAGCAAAGGAAACAGTGGGCTGACCACTTCAAAAAGCTCTTTAATCGACCACCACCTGCAACTCGTCCAGAAATACTCTCGGCAACCGCAGAAATACCAGTGAACACAAACCCTCCGACAAAGTCGAAGTCCTGAACGCCCTAAAGCTGCTGAAATCCAAGAAAGCTGTAGGACCAGATAGAATTCAACCAGAAGCAGTGAAAATAGACTCAGAGACAGCAGGGGACATGCTCACACCACTGTTGCTGAAGGTTTGGAAGGAAAGGAGGAGGGAAGGAAAGGTACCTGTGGATTGATTGGAAGAAGGGCTACCTTGTCAAACTCCTAGAGAAGAGTGATCTAAGTATTTGGAAGAACCTGTGCGGAATCATGCTCCTGTCCACCAGAAGCAAAATATTATGACGCATCATACTGGAGAGATTAAAAGGTACTCTGGATTGAAGATTGTGACGTTAACAGGCTGAGCGGCTTCAGGAAGAACAAACCATGTGGGGATCAGATTGCAACAGTGCACAAATAACTATCATAGGACAGAGCATAGGATGGCAGTCAAGTGTTTGTCTTACCTCAACTTTATCGATTTTGAAAAGGCGTTCTATAGGGTTGATGTAGAAGTAATTTGGCATGTGGTTGCTTCAACACTACGGAGTGTCACTAGTCTTTATCAAGCTCATTCAACAGTTATATGATGATGACGAGGCTACATGCCAAGTGATTCAGAATGGAAAGCTCAGTGACTCCTGGTTGTTTATTCTTGAAGCTTTCATCGTCTTTGTAAACGACATCATGAGAACTAACTTCATTATGAAGTGGGCTGTCAATCTCTCTCCGTGAGTGATTTAGTGTGGCTTGCTCTGATGATATGGTTTGTGACTTTTTGTTTCCTTCGTTTGTTGTTTCATTGACTGTATAGACTTACCTGCTGGCTGTTCCTCTGCTTGACCTCTGACCTTCCTGTCGTTTATCATTTCTCTTATTGATTGGTAGGTTGGGTCTATATCTATACATCTGTTGATTGCTGACTGACTGAATGCCAAGCTTATAGGAATTCTCTGATACTCTTTGTGTTTCCTCTGTCCAAAATGTCTACATTGTCGAAATTGAATTCATGTCCATAAGTATCTACGTGCATTGGAATGAGTGACGAAATGTCGTGGCGTTTAATAGCCAATTGGTGCTCATGAAGACGAAGGCGAAGAAGGAGACCACTTTGTCCAATGTAGTGTTCACTACAGTTATTGCAGTTGATTTTTTAAATGATATTCGGTTTGTCTTCTTTAGTTGTTGCATCCTTTGGTCTGCATAATATTGTTTGGAGGGAATTCACAGGTTTATGAGCTTTCTTTTCAGCTCGAAATTCGAAAGGTATATCATTTAATGTGAGCGTTTACATAATTTTCCTCTTCATGATAAACTAGAGCTCACCTAAAAGCTAGTGAGACAGTTAGATAGAGTTATCTGTTTTGCAGACCTGGATTACTGTAGTAGATTAAATAAACTATTTCTGGGGAGTTTATTATCAATGACGATTAAGAAACAATTCGTGTTATGGGTAGTCTCACAAACAAAGTTTCTAGTAAACAAAGATTTCACTGTTTTACTTTTCAGTAATCTTCTGAACTTTATGTCGTCTCAAAAGTTCATATGGTTCGTAAATTTCCAGCTTATACACTACTGATAGATACACTGATAAAAATTTTGTGTGATACTTATAGGATGTCAAAAAATTGATTTTTTCATCTTAATACCCATTTGATGTGAAAAATTTGCTCTGAAACTTTGAATTCATCTCAAAATGAATTTCGTTCACTTTGACGCCTCTGTATACCTCAATTCTCTGGAACTGTAGGTGCTACTACAGGTAAGTTGACTCTATGCCATTGGTTTGAATTAAAATAACTGGTTTTTCATTAGTTGAAGCGGTCTACGGCGTAATTATTCTTATGCTTTTACACACTTTCTGCCTCAAAAAGTTAGGGTTTAAGAGGCAAATGATTTATTTGTGAAACGAATGTTGTGTAAGTCTACTGTGGTAAAAACATTATTACTTTTCAGGATATAAAATCTTTCAGTACGAAATCCATCAGTATTTGTGACTTCTTAACTAAGCAACAAAATGCAATAAGTGGAACATATAAATGGTATATAAATCTAATAAGACTACCAAATTTTCAGTTATTTCCGTTAATATACAGCTAAGAAATTCTTGTAATTCTGTTATTAATGTTTTCTTTCTATTCTTATCCAATTTTGTATCCAATAACAATTGGAATTGATAGGCTTTCTGTGAATTTAACAATTCCATCCTGCGTCCAAGTTCACAGTTCAGCTTAAACGTTGGATATATTGTAGAAAGGATTTTAAGTCAAAAAGACATATGCACATTAAGAGGTTAGTAGTCAGAAAACGTTTCGAACAATAAATAACTTAAAAAAATTTTCAACACGCATGGAAATCTGTATCTAAAATCATCAGTTCTGTAGTGTTATAAGACCAATATTCTGACTTTTTCATGCAGACTATATCTTTTATGAATGGCGAACTTATTAAAAAAGATTGATACATTTCAAGTTGGTTGTATTTTGTTCTCTGTGCTGGGTTGTTTAGTTTAGCTGAAGGAAGTGGAAGACAAATAGTACAGTTGATGATCACAGGCACACATTACCGGATCCGGAAATACCAATTTGTGATCAACAATCAAAAGAGAAAACTAGAAATCGTACTCACGACACAACACGTAACAACGTTAATAACAGCAATTGAAAAATCAAGCAGACGATACAAAGAACAATGAAGAAAAGCTCTCTCTATCAAAAGTACCTACAACCGAGGAAACACGACTTAACAGCCCAGCTCAGAAAACACAATACAGTCAAGACGACCCACCCGAGCTACAAATATTCTCCACCATTTCATATTTCAAGTTGTTCAAGCTTTGAACATGAAGGTATTTCTCTTGATGCAAAAACAGGCTTATGAACAGTTTACGAACAAGAACATAATGGCAGCATCGTTTTTCCCGGTTAATTTGCAACTCTACTCACAGAAAATGTTTAACTAACAGATCGCATCCAGTGTATGAATTTTGGCACACGAGAATATTATCACAGAGCGAATTCTTAAAATATTACTTATGAGTAGCACGAAGTTTTGTGTCATGCTTTTATTGACTCTTTCTCAACTTTCTATCCCATCCAGTAGGTGTCTGAATAAAACAAGACACTCCTTTTCTTTCCGTCTGTATTCAGTAAATGTTTGGTGGTTTTTGATGTCTCAGCTGAATGGCTTGATATTTTACACTTTAGAGTCTCAAAGATTCAACTGTAAAGATCTATGGCTTGTTGATCTAGATACTCAACTTACAACTAGTGTTCCTGGTTTTGAACTCAGCTGTGCCTACCAAAATATGACTTGCCAGGTAGCATCATCAGCCCTGACACGATTGGTGTGAGTCATTGCCTATTACACGAAGGTGAAGGTAGTTACTGAACACATTTCAATTTAATTTTTTCGACTGCAGGTAATAGTTGGTTTTTGGTAGTTATGACAATACTAAGCCACTTACGTACATCGATATTCCAACTTCTGCTCTTGAAAAGAGGAAAAATTTGAAGATCTGTGGATAATATTTCACAGATTATTGTTATGTTTCAGTTTATCGGTTGACAGTAGCTTAAAAGATGAAGTTAACTTTACCGTTGTCTGTTAACATAGTTCAAAAAACTTGGGCAGGATAACATTTACCTCAGTTCTTGACTCAGACAAACAGGTGTTCAAGTTAGACCACATTTAACAGTATCTCATCGGCTTCTTCAGATACTTTCCTGTAGATCGGTATTTTTAAATATTTATTGCATAAAAATGCCACAAGTGACTTTTCAGTTAGAAATCCAACCTTGTACTCAAAGGTTTTCATCAAAAGTACTCATCAACTTTTCGATATCATCTAATGATAACTAATATGAATTCGGTTGTTGTCATCGGGATTGCCATTAACTGGATAAAATATTTCAGTAGATTGGATTCTGTAAACAACAGTCGGTCTATAACAATTTCAACCAACAATAATTTTAGTTGTGAGTACTAGTTTTTGCTGAAATGTCAATACCTTAATTTTCTGTTTAGCTATATACTTTTATTAAGCACCAATTAGCTTGGTGACATGTTATAGATTCTTCTTTTCTTGATTTCCTCTTCCCTCCGTAGAAGATTTTTTGTCAGCAATAAATTGGAGTGGTTGGTTATGTAGAATTATGAAAACATTCGTAGTAGAGTACAGCTACATCACACTGTCAAATCTAGATATTTTGAAGTAAAGCGCAAAAGGTATCTGATATAGTTCCAGCAACTATATTGTAGGAACAACGACATATAATTAGTTTGAATTTGAACGATAGATAGTATCTCATGACAAAGTGAATGCAATGAAACTGGTGAAACACTGTTCTCAGCTTTTTGAATGGGAGATAGGGACGACCTAAAATGTTCAAATATTTCACTTTTCGTGCTTGTTCCCGGACAAAGACTTTTTAGATAACAGATATAAAATCAGTAATATTTTGTGACTAGGGAGTCTCACCACCAAAGCCACTATATAAACCCTAGAACTAACCCACTGACGTTAGTGCACCTATACAATAAATCTCACCAACTTCATGTTCTCCTTTTTTGTTCTCAGACTTTGACGATGTTCCTTTCGGGGTTTGATCGAATTGATAGGGTATAAATCATTACTATCCGATTTATAAGTTGATACTTGCAATTGTATATCATCAATAAATAAAACGATTTGATTTAAAACGACTGTGAAACAATTAAATTTTTAAAACCCATATGTATTTATCTCCAGAAACTTACATCCGTTAAATAGTCAACTGCCTTTTCCATGGAATGACGTAACATTATGGCAAAGTTTGTGCTCTGTGATAATTTAAAAGGGGGCTGAAATAATAATCAAGAAGCAGATAATGATATATGCTCACTTTATCAGCTGATTCATACGAAGTATTTCTCAAAAAAGGCATCACTTAGTGAGTGAATTCATCATAGATCGTTTAATCAACAGAAATTTCGATTACAAAAGGAAATCATCTTTTCTATGGTCACTTCTTAGTGAATGTTGAAATCGAATGGCAGATAGACGATAATCAAAATGAATGATATAAGTCATCCGGTTTTCATTGTCATATCTTAACATATTATTGACAGAAAGACAAACTTGAAATAAATTCTAAAACGTGTGTATTTCAGTACATGAAAGGAATACTCAAAAGCTACATAAGTGGTAATTCTTTGATCGTGCTGATGACAGAATAATGGTTGTTAGTTGACACAGCATGCTATAATATGATGTAATCCAGTGACAAGTGTTTATGAGACAAAAACTAGCAATGTACTTCTGTTTATCACCATGCTTATAGGACTGGTCACTAGTTTGTTGTATACCGCATCATTTATTAAGATGATACTGCCATTTAGATTCTAAAGTTGAAACTTAGGAAAAATTATGGAAACTTATCGTAGCAATAGTTTGCAGATTATTGAGGTGACGAGTTACTTCTCATCCATGAGTGTGGAGCTGGTTTTTATTTCCTATGCAAGTGAAAAAAGCATTTTGGATTCGTAACCAAAGTCATTAGGCTTCTGGACAATATTTTTAACTAAAGCTAGGGGTTTGAGCGTATTTGTACAAATGAATTGAAAATGATTGCGTTTTTACTAAAAGCCTAATCAAATTTAAAAACACTAGCCTCGGAGTCCTAATATGCAAATATATTCTCCGTAAAAGCAGTTTCGAAATGATTTACATGAACAATGGGAGAGTCATACTGAGCTATTCAAAAACACTAATTCAGCGAAAAGTTTCCTTTCGACAAATCATTTCCAGTAGCTGTACAATACTTTGCTCAGATTATTGATTGGAATTAGTGTTATTAGTTTTGACCTATTTATTTCTAACTTATTAGTCATCAGGTTAATCAACTGCATACTTTCCTCATACACACTTGACCTTACAACCGGCCCACTACTTCACCCTAGAGCACTACATTTTGATGACCTAGTGTTGACCTGTTAGACAGTAATAGACTAATCTGTTTCTTTGTTATTACTATAAATACGACTGCATAGCTGCTGGTTCGTCGAAATGAAATTTTTTTTCACTGAATTAATTTGTATTTTTGAATAGAAAAGTCAGGTGAAAAATTACTGTCATTGACCAAAACGTTGTTATCTGATCATTTTTAATTTTCATCTATACTTAAATTCCTATTTTTCTCAGACAACTTGTTTTCAACAAACTCAGTGTTCAAATACTTGACATAAGAAAGTATCAGTGTTGTAAACAACAGTAACACATTTAGGTTTAAGTATTCACTGATTACTCAAAATCTCGAAGCCATTTATATATCCTTCGATTAGGGTTTTTCACTCACTTCAAGTGACAGCAAGTATACACTAAAGAAATCCAGTTCACATTGTTGTATCCCCATGTAAAGGGAAAAACACCGACAATCGATAAACAGCAGTCGACCTCTACTTTGTGACACTTTTCTTTCATTCGCTAATATTCTGATCGGGTCAGTTACACCTTTTCGATCGTGTGTATTTTCCATGTATTTTGTCAAATGTATTTTTATCCATAGTGGGCTAGAAGAATATACTTTTCTTCTCTCCTGGTGTGACGTTTGCTGTAGTCAAATTAGTCCCTAAGTAGCAACCCAGCGCAGTAGTGGTAGATAGGACCAGTGTTCTGGTAATTCCCGCTGTTAATAAATCATAGGGCCAAGGACGAAACCTCAGCTCATGTGAAGATTAGTAATACTGGATGCACCATAAGGTCAAGAATAAAACAGTGATGACAGCAGGATGTAACATTCATTACAGCAGTTAACTGTTCTTCAAACTAAAAATCGTTTTCTACTCTGGTTTCAATTGTACTTTAAAAAATTTTTCGGTCCTTAGCTAGCTACTTTTTGAAAAACAAAAACAAAAATTCATACGCATTAAGAAAAACTGGTTTCAAATACTACGGCTAAAGCTTACTTGAGTTACTGAATTTTTTAATATGATTGCGAATAATTCAATATAACCAAAAATGCGCAACTTTCTAGCATTCTCTAAGGAATATTAGTGATTTGTAAGGATACCACTCTTATCAACATACCATGATCTTGAAAGATATATGGGCTTCTAGAAATATTTATGCGTTTTTCATCTGCAAATAAACAGATAACACGTTTAAGATGTTTTAAAAACGTTATAAAACTGAAGTAAAAATAAAAACAAGGGGGTGAGTAAAGTCACTACATTTCCCCTGTAGAATTTAATTCAAATGGTAATTTGAGTAAGAGGGTCAAATCATTCAAACTAGTTACTGTGTAGGAGAGCCTAGGTGGAACCTAGCACAGAAGTACGCTGGTTCAAGTTGCTATACACCACAGCAGCATACAAAGTGCAGGCGGATAGAAATGGGTAACAGATAGCCATATAAAAAATAATTAGTCAGCCGTAAGATAACATAAGCGCATGGTTTTATTACTAGATGATGTAGCGAACAGATTTCAGTCGTAATAATTTTATGCCATTAATCTATCTAGAAGTATAAATGGGACAAAAAGATCTGGTTGTTAGTAAAATGTGAGACTGCCGCAACAGACTCAGATGATTGCTCAAAGTAGCCTGGGAAGTTGTTTTTATTATTGTTTTAAAATCACACCAGTTAATCTCTTAACATTTCAGTTGAACCAAATCATTTCGTTTTATCTTCTTTCAAAGTCAATCCACTAAGCATAGAACTTTGAAAAAGGTATCGCAATTGCCGTACTATTTCAAACCCCATCGTTCATAGAGGTTTTAGGCTGATGTATGCATCTAGTACTAGGACTGTTCATTGTCCGGGGAGTGATGAATAGTACTCTTGAAACTTTGAACGGAAGCCAGTGCAAGTAATGCAAGAAAAAAAGTTGGAATCTGGATTTAACAATCTAGCTGCAATTTTAGTTTATTGGAAATTGGATGACAAATCAACTGTTTTTCTTAGGAATTATTCTAAACTAGTCCATGGTTGTGTAATGCTTCGAACAAGAGATTTGAAGTAATTCAGTATGATCATAATCATTAGAAATTCAAACTATGTCATATCTTTATCAACTGTTTTTTGAAATACCTACAAATAAAAACCTTATACATTTAGAATACTGAACTTACTGATGCGGTAAAATATACCATGAAAACAATTTTGATGCTGTATGCAAAGTGGCTAATAAAAACCACAAGTACGCGCTCTGATACCTTACTCATGTTAGCTTTCAGACTTACAGTGTTAGGCTTCAGTGTGTATAGGGATAAAAATTTTAAAAAGATGTTTGCTGAGATATACGAGCTCTTTTAGGCTATAAATAAAACACAAAAACAGTCCAAAATCTAAACAACAATTTTGTTAATAGCTTTATCTGGGTAGTGCAGAGTTATTTTAACCAGGTTCATGGAATGTCACTTAAATTGTCACTTAAACTTCCTGTTTAGCCTTACTTGACTGGAGCTACTAGCCCTACTTATTGAAAATTCAATAAAAGCCATCTAGCAGTTTTTCAGATGTTGAATAAACAAAGTTATCTTTCGGGCTAGGGAAATTTCGGGGTTTATAAATCAATAAAATTTTCAGAGTAAGGGTAAGTGCATTTTTATGACTATTTTTCTAGAGTACTACTGCTACACCCTTGAAACCAAATGGTGCGCGCTTTTTGCTGTGTATAAGGCTATCATATATCACAAGTGATCTCCAGTAATCTAATCTAGTAGCGTATGAATACTCAAGAGATTTGACACATTCAGATATTTCCTACGCAAAGCGTTCTAATGCTTTAAGAAAAGAAATGCAGTTACAATAATCTGTGTAGCCAAAACCCATAAACCTAACATTTTTTGCTGTCAATCTTAGAATTTTATTTTCTTGTCAGAAACTCATTTTTCAGCAGGCAAGGAGTAAGCTGAAGCACTGGACCCCATCAGTGTCGGTATATCAGTTTACTTACTCCTATGATGCCAAGTAAATTTACCGCATCATGCACCAGATTATACAACGCGCTCCTGAACACTACCCGACCTGACTAACAAGGGGAGTAAGGAAATGCATCGTCGGCTATCTAACAGAACACCTAGTACACTCAGGATATTTGTTTCACTTCGATATATCCCTCAAACGTTTTTACAAATTGCGTCCAAGCCAATGGAAAGGGGTAAGGTTAAGACATCTGGGGATAGGTCAAGCATTGACGGTTCGAAAGTCCACATCATTATTATGCGTTCAAAAGAAATATGTACCATCTCTTCCTTTGCAATGACATCATAGGGGATAGATCACTCTAGATAATTTTCTCCTGACAACTATTTTTCATTTTGTGATCATTTTGTTTATTGACCCATTTCAAACGCCTATAAACATTACGTAGCTTTCCTTTATCATGCAATTTATTTTCGCCTTTGACTGAAAATCACTCTGGAATGTTCTGTCCTCTCTACTATGTATTCACGAATGTACAGTCGATAGAATGATTTCGTCGAAAAGAACAATTTTTCTTCACTACAGTCGTCTTCTCTTTTCCTATGATCAGATGGGTTTATTTCGATATTTGAAGAGTAGCAACCATATCGTAGATTTCTTGTAGTAACACCTGAGTAGTTTGGATATTGAACTTTATAATAATCAATTCTGGATTCGAATCCTGCTCTCCCTACTTTAACCTGAGCAACTGCGCAATATGGTTAACCTTCAAACATTGGGTGTTTATATAAGCGAAAAGTGTAGAACTCACTTTTATTCTACAATCATCAGGACAAGAATCAGCTGAGTACATCTTTTTTCCTATTATCTTAAACTACTTTTGTGGCGAAAGACAAAACTCAAATGAAGTGGTTCTTAATAATAACTTCATGCCTATGATTAAACTTTTATTCGCCTAATCTCCTATGGATCGCTTACTTTGTCAATTCATTTCAGGAGTTGAGAATTTCTCGCTGTACTATTGCTACAGTACATGTCAACAACATTCCATTTTAAATCTATGAATCTTTGATAGAAGTGACACCTGTTTTTAATTGCCTGCCCGTAGGATAGATTCAATTAGGAAAGGAAAAATAGTGTTAAACTTATTACTGGTTTTTCGTTTTCAGGTTTAACAATCGTAGACATGCTTGGTGTACCATGTACAAAAACAAAGAACATAACTTGAAAACGTCACAACAATTAGAGTCATTTTAAGCGAAAATATTAAGAAACCAGGAGAGGTAAAATAGAGTAAAGTGGTCAACGAGTATCCAAAGATAGAATTGTCCATGATTTTCAGGAAGTAAAGCAGTCGGTTTAGAAGTTCCACGCCTTTGCCGTCGGATAAACATGTAAGGAAAACGTTCTCGTCTCGCCGCTCTTCTCAATTCCTGTCTAAAACAGACTTTCAAACTTCGTCAACATCTAGAAGAATCATAGCTTTGTCATGTTTAGGTCACGGCTAGGCAAAATTTGAATACTGACTGACCGAACCATCTTTCATCGTGTTTGCTTCAATTTTCCAATGTTCTTGCCATAGAGTTTGTCTGAAACCTAATCGTCACCTTTTGGCAAAGCAAGTGACTGAACAAACCTAAGTAGTTTTTGATTATTGTTTAGTGGCGTTTCTATTCTTCTTTTATCCCTTTCACTTTTACCTATTTTTGTTTCCCATTGTCATTTGAGTCAACAAGATTGAGTTTTAATGTATCACTTGAATCACAAGTTGACCAATAAAGAGCTTATGATTGGAGTTCCAGGAGCGAAAGACATAAAAAGCTAGAAGCTAAAAAAATGAATTGTCAGTTGGTAAAGTTTACACTTTTGGTTTCAGTTTTACAGTCCAAACAAAGTTCAAAGGAACAGAAACTCCGTGGTAGGTTGCCAGTCTATTCACTCACCCCTACGGTACAAACTGAACTGTATCCTGATTTTATGTACAGCGAAGAGAACAAAGGGATATAAATGTATATTTTCTATCTAAATGCGACTCATCTCTAATTTTTGGATGCTCATCTTGTAATGGTAATTCTTAGTAGATAGCTAAAGGTTCAACTAAATATTAATATTGGACAATAAATATAACTCCTAGTGAACTTGAGGAAGCATGCAGCAATTATTCGCATTTTCTGCATAAATATGTGATCAAATGAATGTTCAATGGAGTTAGTGTCAAGACGGTAGAAGCACAAACTAAATTAGGTCATTTGGAAAATAATTTTATTTGAATAAAATGATTTAATTGTCTCACCATTTTTCTTTTCAACTGCCTTTTCACCTGTACTTTCTAGTGCTAACTGTCTCCTTTCGTAATCCATTTTCTGATTTCTACCACTCTCCATCGGAAGATAAGGCATCATATATGGTATACATTCGTCTGAATTGAAACCAAAACAATAGATTATTAGAAAAGGAAGTATTTTTATCTTGTTGAAAACGTCTAAATTAAAGACATTACCTGAATATTCATCTTCATCTGAAATACCGTTTACAATTATTTTCTGATTCAAACTTCTGTCTGTTCTTGCTGGTATAATTAGTTTTGAAATAAACTGTTTCTAAAATTGCCATGCAATGGTTCTTACCAAATTTCAGAATGTTGTATCGAGAAAATACATGAATGAGATTACACGAATACTGAAACGATTTTGATTTTTGATTATGGCTGCTTAATAATGACAAAGATAGTTTCGAAGACTTAAATCACCAACTTAACCACTCCAGGTAAGTGATTAGTATAAAGGATATGTGTTAATTCAACTGTGGGGTATAAAAGGGACGAAGGCAGTCATGCCTTACTAACCGCATATTCTTTAATTCTTCTTCAACTTCAAATAGGCATTTCTTTTGTGAGTCCATAATTCCTGGAATAACCATTGGTGACCATAAAGTGCCGTTAAATGTTATACGCAAGTGGTATCTTGTTGATGAATTTGCAATACATCTGGAACCACTAGATGATAGTCACGACTGTAAATATTAGCAATTGTCGGGGTAGGAAGAGGATAAGTCAAACTAAGTCTGTTAAGAGCAAATTAGGAAACACGCCATTCGTGTCGATTTCGCGGGATATAAATTTTGTGTAAGAGTTAAGCATAACTAAGTAAACAAGTAAAAAGGTAACAGGAATAAACCGTTCATTAAGTTACTTCAAAAAGTAATGAACGGATTCATGATTTAGCGCAAACGAGAACACCATATAGGTAACACTGAAACGTGTAACCAGTTTTAAAATCAGTTTATTTATCATTGATACCTGTAATTTGCCGTTGCTACACAGGGTCGAATCTCTCCTGCGTTTATCGAGTCCATCTACCAACGGAATTCCACCCAGTATAGAAATGGGAAACTACAAGTACCAATAAACAACAATTCATATCCCTTGCACAACTGGTGACTCCTGTACCTCATTGGCCTAGTGGGTGACGCTTTGGCATATGAAGCCACAGGTACTAAGTTCGAGTCTCAGTGGGAACGACATCACTCACTGGGGTTCGAGCACATCTATCTGCCAAGTCAAAAAGAGGATGAAATGCCCGTCGTGGGTTTCACTTCTAGCCACCAAGTAAACTACTGCTGTGAAATATAGCAACCTGGGCTGAAACAATTGTGTGCGAGGTTCTACGTTGACTTTGTCAGTCAGTCAGTAAGTTACAGTTTTAAGATCTGTTTTAGATGTTATCATTTCGCATTACTGGAATACTGTATTATAATAAAAAAAATGAGTTATTTGAGTATTTCCTTGTACAATCCAACCAACACCTGCTACTTAGTGTCGGCTGGGTTCCCATATAGTTCTGTCATAGTGTAAATAACTGATGCTATGCTGATGGGCTAAGTTGTACTACTGGTTAAATAAGGCCTTACAGTAGTAGAGTGTTTTCTGTGAATGGTTGACACTGCATACTGAAGCCACCTTTCCTATAGAAGGAGGGTTTTGCAAAGGTAAACCCCCGAAGTAGAAATTTAAATCCTAACCAGTTGTTTTTCATTGCTGTTGATATGGGTTCTACTTAACCAATGAAAGCACAATAAAACCTCAATCCGAAATTCTTGAGGAGGCTCCATGTTAACAGCCAGAAGGAAATTTTCTCTGTGCTCCGAGGTCACACAAAAATAATCCCTTTTGCTTTTCAGGTACCTTGGAGAAACAGCTTCAGTCTTATGAGCAGTGGCAAATTACCAATCGCTCACATACTTCAAGCACCAAACAAAAGCCAACTAACGATAGTATGCCTCTCTCAACCCAGTCTACTTCCTTACCTTCAGTTCCTGATGCCAAAATTAGATTGTTTATAGTCCCATCAACCTCCTCGATCGATGCTAGTGATCCTAGTCTCCTAAAATTAATCTGCCAATTCCATAGTACAGCCTACAGTATAAAAAATTATGACAAACTGAAAAATAGATTTCGTTCTCCAAGAATTTACAATCTTGGTACATGGATGTACGCCGTGTTTTTGAGACATGCTTATAGGACACGGTTTCGTTATTTTCTTGACCTAATCTGGCTGATGTGGTGAATCTGCCAACTTCACCTTTCAAATGTTCGTGAATTCAGCGGCTAGTGCTCATGAACTAGCTGGTGTAGATATAGCTTTACTTGGTAAAGCTGAAAACCCACTTCTTGACCGAATACCAATAACCATTGGGCTATGAGCTCTCACGTTAAAAAGGATCTGTAAGAAATGGAAAATCCTGTCTCTTTTGTCGATACCTATTAGTAGTTTTTGCCTATGCGCCCACTGACCATAGTTCGGATGATTGTTGCTTTTAAGAGCTGTCAATTTTGCAACAGAAAGCAAAACAATCAAATACAATCACTATGGCAGTCGAATTCAACTCTGGAATAAGGAAGCTGAGCCAATTAGAGACGTTTCTTGAAGGTATCTATGGAACACTATGCCAATGCAGATCGTCTTTAACAATTTCCCTCTCTAAATCACTTGTTTCTAACCAGGACCAACTTTGAATATAATGGGAGAAATATTCTCATTCGGCATTCGCTGATTTCTGCGGTGGACACGTATAGAAGACGCTGCTATCAACTGTTCATGGAGAGAATCGGGAGAGGATTACCGCTCTTTCTTGAGTACCTACTTGGTCTCCATTTACGCGCTGATAAAGATGCGTTTATATTTACATCTGGGTGGACCTAGGAAACAAACAGCGGTTAAGCCTCTATATGTTTAAATGAAAGATAAGAACTTTAAGTGTGGATTTGGAAGCTTGAAGTAATATCCGGTCTGCTAAGGAAATAAAGATAAGGGAGTTATTAACCCACGTCATGGGATCAGCAAAAGACGGTAAGTTTCCCTGACTTCATCCAAACCGACTGTTGCAAAGAGACCTATACTGACCAGATCTGTTGATGTGGAGGTAACAGGAGTTTCTAACTGCTAAGAGAGTGTTAAACGAGGCTCACCAACCAAACTGTCACATCTGTATAAAGGTTTGTAGTGATATATCATCTGAGTTGATGACGAGCAGCGGTGTCCACCAAGAATGCTCACTGTCTCCATTCTGTTTAAATTCATTACAGAAGTGCAGATGAACATAACCCCAGGTACCTTCAAAAACTCAGGAACTGAATTATTTCGGAGAGGACACCTGGCTGACTTGAAGGACACAAGTAACACAGTTCTATTCGACAAACCTTTTGAAATCTAGAGTCTTCTGAATGCCTTGAGCTGAAGTCTGAATATGTCTGGCATTCATTTTGCATCTTTCAAGTGTAAGACGATGCTTCTAGACTAGTCTGAAATAATTCCTAGTTTAAAGATAAGGAAGTGGTTGAGTGCGTTGACTACTACACCTACCTGAAGAATTGCACAGGCCGATTAGGCTATTTCCCCACATTACAAAAGGTTCATTTGGCTTTCGTCAGACTGTATAACCTCTGGTCCCAGCGATACATGAGAATGCTTATATTGTGATGCAGTCTACTCTTTCGCATTATGAGGTTGCGAGACGGTCGTTGAAGGTAGAAGAAATGGAAAAGTTGCGGGTTTTTGACCATAGGTATCTTCACAGCACTTCTCATGTGTGATGCAGTCCCTGTGTGAGTGATGTCGAGGTAATGGAAAGAGTACTTGTCAGATTAGCTGATAAAATTATGTACCCTCACCAACTGACATGACTGGCACATATAATGCACACGTCAAGACACCGCCCGCCTCTGTGTAAGAGGTTAGCCAAAAAGGTAGCGGACTGTAATGAAGACAAAACTAAGGCGTGGTATCAATTCATTTAGTTTTTGATTTCTGTTGTAAGCCACTGAGAGATGAGTAGTTTGCTTGACTGGAATGGGAATGACAGGAATCAATGGTTTGAAAGCCTTAAGGATATGGTGGTAAATTGGTCACAATGGCCCACTCTTTGTCATCTCAGAAGTCTTGAATATTTTCATTTACCTTCATCTATATGCACTTATTCATCTCTTGCACTTCTGTTCACCTTAAGATTCCTTTTGCGTCCACTTCTGCCTTGCATGCTGCTGTGAGTTGCAGCAACTTGAACCGATGGTGTTCCTTTCCAAGTTTAATATTGGTTTTTTGTTTTCTTCTTCCACCTGAATGCTACATCCTTTTCAGAAGAACTAAACAGTTCATTCCAAAATAATTGGGAATTATAATAAAGCATTCTTAAAGTGAAGTCAGCCTCGACACTTCATTTCTAACATGACACCCATGATCTGAATATTTATTTACTATAATTTTTACGCATATAATGAGAGAAGAGACGAACATTCTACCATGTTAGGATTCGCACTTTAGAGTAAGAAGGATTGTATAAAAACTAAGTTAACATTTCTTCGAAAAACTTTGTAATTTAGTTTAATTTGTATGCATGTAACGGTAACATGTATTAGGATTATACTAACTTTATAAATAAAAAAGGACAAATAGGAATGTACTGAATGATGTTAAATTGTCTGCCATTCAAAATTCTGTGCATGAAGATGACCACAGGTAGGGAATTCACAAACTATCTTTAAAATTCCTGCTATCTTACAGGATTCTGTTATGCTACGCAGTGATAACTTTCCTTTAACAGCTGTCTTTACTGTTCATTTTTAATCTTGCAATATGTTGAATGTTGCATGTGTTTAAAAACAAACGTAGTATGGTTTCTTGAAAATCAGAGGGAATATTATGCCATTTCATGACTTTGCTATGAATGCTGAAGTCATTCTTAAATCTGTTTTGCATATTTAAGTATCATTTCCCATGAAACTACATGAATCTTCACGCTACCGTTTAATGATCATTCTTTTTACTTTGTATATGATTTGAAGTAACTATTACTACTTTTATTAGAATAATGTTATGCCTCTGTCATATTCTAAAGTCTGTCATATGATTCAAGATCTTGAGTTTTCAACCGTTAGCAACTCATCAGTTGAGTAACTAGTCCATGCCAATGGGATCTGTTGATGCACATTAAACTTTCAATGCAAGGTTTCTATTTCTGGAGGAGGTGAAATATTCCGTAGACAATAATCACTGGGGTTGGTGAAAAATCTCTTACAAATATGTTGAAAATTGTATATATTAGAGTGAATCCTGATGAGATCTAATCGAAAACAATATTGTTCGCTTACACGTCTTGTTATAGTTTTCATAATGTAATTTTTTAACACTAAAATTGCGTGTGAATCCTAGTGCATTAAAGGTGCCCCATGAGTTCCTGAAGTATAATGCTAAACTCACTCAAGAGAAAACGTCAGTAGAATTTATCAGTGATTGTACACTAAGTGTTCCAAATTATACCAGAAGTCTTTACGACGTAACAAGATTTCTCTCAATTCCAAAACACTTTAAAGATAAGCGCTTACTCCAACTGACTCTTTAAAAATGCAATATCGACACTTAAAA